GATTTATCAAAAGATGTAAATAAATTAACTATATTACTGTTTAACAGAACAACTCAAAATAAATATTGTATCATTTTTCCTGGGAGGGAAATGAGCAACAGTATAATGGATGCGAATTTTGTCGGTGCTTAGGGCAAGAACATCAATTGAGCGGAAGAAAGAAAAGGTACTAACCATTTATAAATGATGTGGTATTTCTTTTTTTTCCGCGTTCAAGGAGTCTTGAAAATTTGTCTTGTTTGAATTCGCTTATTCTCCGAAACTAGGAAGATGTGAGTAGGGACAGAAATGACACATTGGTTTGACTTCATAAAATCGCATAATTTAGTACTAGAAACATACATAGAAGACGGTATTTAAAATATACTTGTATGTCGATTTCAGCTCATGAACAAACGTCGAAGGCAACTGAAATATTCATTACATACTTTTACCATATTAAAGTTCATTTTATGGTGTAAAATTTGGTATGCAATCCATCTCATTCTTCTTATTAATTTTATTTCGATTTTATATCGCGGTGTCTTTCAAACCTTCAAGATGAAAAGTGAAAATATTCACATCAAGGTAATATTCATTGTTATATGATACTAGCAAAATTTTTTGGTGATTGACCGCAGTCGATCTATCGTCTATCACAGTTGATTCGGTCATAATGTAAATATAAGATTTACCGAATGGCAATATTAATACAAAATTTTCAGTATGACTAATTTTTTGGTTTTCTACCACCCGGTACATTCAAAATTACACGACAATTGCAACCCAGCTATTAGGCTAATGTGTCCATTTTGTCCATTTGCACAAATTGCAACTTTTAAATTTTGTTTGCTGTAAGTTCTAACTTGATCCTTCTCTTTTTTTTTTCTCGTGTTATTGAATGTGTTTAATGTTTTAATATCTTCAGATGTGATATATTTGTGATATATATGTGCTTGGTAAGTTTTCTGAACGCATGAAATAGGTTCACTTCTATACTGTGGTCCTTTTTTCATTTGCGTTTTAAAAAAAACAATCCTTTATGTTCGTAGAAAAAATTAATGCTTCTTTGGTACTTCCTATGCAAAAGGGGTTGAGAAAGAGTAAATCTGCATCTTACTTTTACCATCACTTTCTAAGTTTTTCATCAATTTGAATATGAACACAGAGTCTTATTACTTTTTTAGCATGTCGTGTTTAAGGAGTGGGTAGTTAGGTCCAGCACCTGTTCGACTTCATAAACAATAAACAATAAACTCACTTGCCTTTATGATTGACTTTTTCTTAGTAAATTAAATGTCCAGGAAGAATTGTTTTACAAAGTCTAAATAGTAGGAAAGTGTTGTAATTTTGGTAATAATATTTAGCAAAAGAATCTGGGGGGATAAGACGAGTCATGTGCCCATGCCCATTTTTCGGCTATGCAAGAACATTTATTGGAAAAAATCTCTCAATTGTTCGAATTTACTTACGCATTTTAATGTTTACCGTAGTTTTCAAAATGATATTTATATTCTGAACAAGCTAAACAGTTGACTTTCATTTACTGTCACAAATGTCTAACATGGGTAAGGACTTCTATTAATTAATCTGCATATTGAGTGTTTACACTTATTGTGGAGATATTATAAAAATGTTAACATCGTATATAATGATAATGGTGATCTAGAAGCGCTTTTATTTAAAATAAATAAAACGGGAATAAAAGTATTCAAATATCTATTATAATTTTTATCCGGCATTTTAAATAATTTACTGTAAATAAGTTTATTACTACATGTATATATTTTATTTCCAGTGAAAATATGTTATTCCTATAGAAATTTTTTATAAAGTAAAACAAAATTAAAACCAAAAAAAAAAAAAAAAAAAATCAGAGCATGACTCGAACACTTTCCTCCATAAACGTCCCTTTAAAGAGCTCATCGCTAACTACTAGACCACGGAGTCACACTAACGTTTCCATTTAAATAGCATACAGTTCTCTATAATTAGCAAGCGTTTTTGGACTTAGAATTTTTTAAGACCACGGTGAAAATTTAAGTAAGTTAACTTAATTTTTTATGTAGAGTGGATCTTCATACCAAATTTTTGCAAGTGTAAAAAGCAACATCTTTCCATTGCCTTTCATTAATCGTTCTAAAAAAATGGTACGATGACCCACTCTATTTAAAAAATGTAGTTATATCATCCAATTTATGTCAGTTTCTGTGAAAATTGAGCGTGATGCCATTTTGTTGTGTTAATCAGAATCATTTTCGCTGTTACAGTATTCAGGTTTTGTCAAATTTATATGCAAATGGTAATAAGCATTACATTAATTCAACAAAAAGTGAAATTTTTGTAAAATGAATTTATTGATTTTTTATCGATCGTTATGTAGGCATATGGCTCGGCTTATCCCCCCAGTTTCTTTGCTTGATATGTAACCTAAAGATCTACAATTAATACCGTGGAGCTTTTCACAAAATCTCTTACGACTGATACAAAAAAAAATTTCCATTTTCCAAGAAGTATCTAAGATAAGTTTCTTTTGCATCTGAATATGTGGTGAGTTATCTTTTAGAAAATAAATTACTATCTTTATTAAACAAAACAAAATAAAAATAATAAACACAGAGATGTCAATTTTGTTTAATCGTTGTCTTTAGATTTTTTGTGAAAATGACTACTGAACTCTATGACCGAGTGCCTGGCGAGAAAACTGGAATTCAAACTCTGTTTTCCTACTCAGTGATTAATCTCATACAAACAAAGAATTGTACTTTCGCCTCTTAGCTCTAGTTATAATAGTTGTTACAATAGGATTTTTTACCTGTTTGGTATCTCCTGTACCCAAATAGCAATTTCGAAAAACTGCCACAGCCTTCATAAAAATGTAAGTTAATATTCAAAACTTTGTTTTTGAGAGAAGTAAATTTATGACTGGACACCTGTATAATTTCCCCGTGATATGTATATTGAACTAATAAGATGCAGCATATAAAAATGTATTAGAATTAAACGAGGAAAAGAACTGCACTTGTTACTTCATTAATCTCAGTTTGGATTCCGATTAAAATATGACAGCAAAACATGAATATTTTGTTGTAAAAGTACAATTATTAAAAGAATTCCACAAACGTGGTGACAGTTGAATTTCAGGGGAAAAATAGATTCATCACCCGAGATCGAAGATTGAATCCATTGTGTACATTAAGCTGTTTGTTCACATTTGGAAAATAGGATGTGACCTTGCAATTGGTTAAGGTCAAAATTAAAATTTCTGAAGGTCACATTGGATTTTGTTATTCCATGCGGAAATGTGGATTTCTTCTTTGTTTATCAGTAACGCCAAAATCAGCTTATTCGAAGAACTGTTATCTATGTCTTTGGTTACAGTGGTAATTAATCAAAACTTAATTGTGAAATAAATTAATGAACTGAGCAGATGTTGTGTGTTTTGGGTCAAATAATGTCATTGTCGATAAAAAAAAGTTAAGATTGAAATAATGTTCTGTAAATTACACGTACATGTAATTAATTACAGTACCGGACTTAGTATGTCACTTTTAATTAACATTTCTTTTAAAGTTTGATAAACGATGAACTTGATTATATATTCACGAACAATAGATCAGTAACCTAAAGATTTTTTTTTATACATTAAATATGCAGTTTCGTTTAATTTACAAATTACCTGCAAATGCCAAGAGACGTTGGAAACTGTTCTCTTTCAATATTCATCCTAAAATCGCAAATCTTTGTTACTAATTCTATGTTTCTATTTTTTATCCTATTTTGAATTATAAATACACAATTCCATACAGCTTTGAATAATACCTTATTATCATATGCCCTAAAAAAGACTACGTTTACAACAATTGGAACTTAGACAATAAAAGCAACGTATTTTTGTCACACACTCGCCATTACTATTGCTCTGTAATTACAGAAAATTCATATGAACCCATTTCTGAGGATTAGAGCAAGTATTTTAGATTCTTAAAGACAGAGTCATCAGCGTGCTACATATGTATATACCATGTGTTAGGGAAAATCACAATAAGACCAGTAATGCATAGTATCTTTTAATGTACATGTTATTTCGTTGATGTTCATATACGATTTCATTTGTAACTACCATGTATATTTTTGGTTGGGATGGGATTGTAAAAGAGATAATGGGTTTTAACAACATTACATAAAACTCGAGACAAGTTATAAGATTTTTAAAGAAAATTCTTTTCAGTAAAGCTTCTTTCAGCCCAGAGCTACTGTCTTCAATGAAGCTTGTTTTTTTAATTTGCCAAAAAACATCATCTGGAACGTTTATTGATGCTTCCATAATTGTCAAATGACGATTAAAATGCAATTTTGGGAAAGGAGAGGGGGCCTAACTGCATCAATGAATATATCAGAAATATTATTTATTTGATTTAGGATAAATATGTACATACACTATCAAGCTACAGTGACTGTCTTCTGAAGTTGTACCCCCACTGTCCACTACGCAGTCTCGCATAATCAAAGAAAAACCAGTTAAAGGGTATGTCAAATGAAAATAGGACCGAACAAAAAAACCTTGGTTTGATTTATTCAAATGTCTTTTGAATAATATTATGTATTTCGGAAAAATATAGTAGCCATGAAGTGGAACTATATACGAAAACTGCATTACAAGTATCAGCTTCTTTCCAAGTTTGACTTCTTACTGATGTTTCGAGACCAATTTCAACTGTTCTTAAAATAAAAAAGAGCCTCTCCCATGTTGCTTGGTTTAATTTGGAGAGAAAAAGTTGTTAAAAAACACTTTATTTCAAACTTCGGATAAATTCAAAACTCTGCATTCACTCCTAATATTCTTTAATGCAATATGAAATATTTTCATAATTACTTATATAATTAAAGTAGTCCCATAGCCCCTACTTTTGTCCGTATTTGGCAATACCTAAGCTTTAAGGTAAAATTGTGTATTGTGTGGCATATATATTATTTGAATACACACACGCACACAAAATCCCTTCCGGCCTCTCATCGCTTGTCAGAGCTAGGACGGCGGTTTATCATTAGTCCAGTGGGGCTAAGTCTCTTTAGTTTAGTGCAGATGACAGACTCGACAGACGGGATGTAGGGACATGGAGGTAGAGCACACAAAAAATCGAGTCTAGCTCGCCAGTACAAATTAGTGAACTACTCAGTAGTAAGAAACCAACCCTAATCGGAAGCTCGACTTTAAGCATTACAAAATTCTTTTAAGTGTTGTTGAATTCTTGGTCCGACTTGAAGGGAACGTTTTTATTTTTCGCTGATTTAATTCATAATTTGTGATATAAGCTCCCAGCTCAGCCTTTTTGATATTTTAACATCTAAAAAATCACAGGGAATTGTTAACATTTTGCCAACAGGTCAAACATCTTATTGCTACCTTGAATCCTGATGTGGAATTTGACTTCTTGATATAAAACAAAAAAATGTCTGTGATACAACGAGAAATGTTTGCTTCCAGAAATCCATTATGTACAATATTATATTTTATTTGGACTATCCACTTCTCCGGAGTATTGATGTTTGCTGGACATTTAAATGAAAAAGGTATGTGCATTATTTCAGCTATCAGTAATAAGGAAATTCCCGTAAAGAAAAAGTCACAATCTGTCAAAGAAACTTTTGACAGAACAGAAAACGCACATTGTATGCAATATTTGTTTGTAAGGAATGTTTGGTTTCACTAACACAGCAGATTCTACGGACATTGCCATTATAGAGCTATAATGTGCATATCGTGATAGATTTGTGCCAATAATGTCGCAAAAAGTAATGACTACCAAACCAGTGTGGCCAAACGAAGGAAAAGTGTGTCCTTGCAAGATATATATAGATTTGGCATAAACAATAAGTTTCTATCTATACAACACGACAATACTGTTCAGTAGGATCCTGATCGAGAGATTCCATTTGAATTTGTACAAAAATGGTTTGGGGAGAGGATTGGGAAGGGGGTTACTTTCTGAAAAGGAAAAGTTGCTACCTGTCTCTGAAACATTTCGGAAACAAAAAAATGTCGTACGTTTTCTATCAGTGTATCTTTGAGAAATATTTCAAGATAACGATGCTCTTTGCCATTCACTGGCCCCTTGAAAGTAAAAGTCTTTTTGCAAATAATATTTTAGACAATAAGAATACTGAAAACTACCAGTGGTATTCTCTTATCAAAAAGAGAACAAGATACCAGTATTAGAGCAATTCAGAGGTTAAATGTCATGCCCCACCAAACAAAAAAAAGGTACCGGTACTTCAAATATTCTTTGTTACGTTTATAAGTTTTTGAGGGAAATGTATTGTTAGTTAACATGGACAGAGGGTCTTTAACCTAAAAAGCACACATATAACAAAAAATAGAGGAATATGACATTTAAAGAATTTCATATGAGTAGGAGACAAAACTGCGCTGTATCCTAGCAAACATATACATTGCACTAGGACAGAGTGGTACAGATCTAGGCCGTGCGTAGATAAAACTAAGGAAGATTGGACAAAGAGAGCCCATAACTCAGTAAGATATGTATGGCAGCCTTAACTAAATCCTCTCTGTCTAAAGCTAAATAAAAGTCCGAGTTCCATACGTTAAAATTACCACATGTCATTAAATACACATTAAAGCTGTTCAAGTAGTACAGGATTATACCACAAATGCATAAAAGAAGTTAAAAATCTCTCAAGGCAATCTTGTCTAACGGTGTTTGTACTGAACATTGAAGAGATAAGACAAGGTAATTTGAATTTGGCAATCAAATTTTATTCAAAGTTGGCATAACTTGAATTCGTTTTGATTCTCATTAGTATTGATTACTCAGCACGACATCAAGTACGAAATAAAGAAATCTTAGCAAGCGTTGTACATTATTCTTATTTCAAAGATAAGTTCGTCAAAGTGGCATAATTCATTTTTGCAAATCAAAACATTTAGCCTTGGGTCACCAGTGTCATAGTGTTTTGACAAAGTAAGCTTTTTATATTTAAAAAAAAAATAATATCAGACAATAAGAAAATAAAGATGATAAAAAGAAAATTTAAAAAAAAATTCTCTAAAAAAATGAACAAATTACACTTGGATTGCATTTAAAATTTCTCGTCCTTTTGTCGTCTCATCCTTTTGTCATATCATATTTAACATCACTCCAGTAATCTTAAAACAAAATGCTCGTTAGCCAATGTTTATGGTGAAAACTGCACGCGAACAACATGCTGATGGCAGACAAAAAGAAACCGATGTGAGAAGCCATTATGCGTTTATTAATTATCTTATGTAACTATGTCATATTACACGACATTATGTGTATTCTTAATTGATAAAACTAATTAATATGCTATAAAGACTAGTGTTTGCTTTGCATTATATTGCAAACAATGCATTATGTAATAATATATGTTTTGACGAAAACAAACATATTTTCGTCGTTGGCAATCAGATGTAGATTTCGAATTTTATGCCATGCAGTATTTATCTGGAAATTGCATCTGCTTTGCGATTGTAAATACAAATTACGTCAACATACTTGAACCGGAAGTCATTGAAAAATTGAATATGTCGTCACGAAAATTTTACATTTGCCTTTTTTTGTCTCAACCAAAATGCAAATTAAGTTAAATATCAATATTTAATAAACTTTTATGTGTATATTTAGGATTTCATATAGGGTAATTTAAACACAACAGGTACAATCCCAATTTTATTAACATATATGTTAAATTTTCAAATTAATGTTATGGTGAACCAATGAAGCAACCTAAGTTTTTAGCACGCACATACCGTGAAAAATAAACCCTATAAGATACTTACCACAATGACATACTCCATTGATCTGTCAAGTTTGAAAATTAATTAAAAGATCTTTAAAAAGACATTTACATGATTGTGGTCGGTAATAAAATGTTGATACCAATCTGCATGTAAATATATGCAGATAACTGCTTCATTTTCCACTGACGACCATAGATTTCTGGTAATTAGACGCGAGGACTGTCCGTTCAGAAGAACAGGTGCGTAAATCTCCTCGCGGTTGCTAGAGGTGTTAAAATAGGCAACTTCGGTGGTGTTTACGAGACGGGTGAACAAGGAATCTGATTTATTACTTTATATACTTTTCATACATACTAACCTAGAATTTAGAAAAAAGGTTAGAATTAAATACCGAGAAACATATATTGCTTAATTATTTCATTTGAAATTCATAGCAGTCATTTTTTGACAGGCTTCAAGAATGTTCAGAAATACATGTATTATACTGCACTTAATGAAGTCACAATTGTGTTTCTAGAAATACATAGTGTTGTAATCAAACCTTGTTCAACGTAAGACTTTCTGCATTTGTGGAGAGTTCTTATAATATGTATGTGTGTGTACATGTATATAGTTTTATGACACTTATAAGGAAACAGAAGTTGAGTCAAGTTATTTTACTTGCTAATAGTGTGATCTGTGTCATATATGTTGGTATGGTCAATAAAAATAGTCTCACAGTCAAAAATAAACACACAAAAAAATCTCACAATCAAACTTGAAAAATCCACTAAAATAATTTGGAAATAATCAAAAACTTCAATATTCTGTAAACCAAATTAAATTTCTTACATAACGATGTATTGTGGTATTGTGAAACGAAATTTTGATTAGATCATATGTATAGAAAATTAAGAAGACTTGGATTCCATGATGGGAATCTGAACGAGAATGAATATATTCAAAATTCTTTTTGTTTGGACATTAATGACCATTTGTGTAATAAACAGGTAATTAACCACGTATCACTGATCCCTTTATGTAGATTTCATTGATAGTCTAATCATCGTAGCTCCGTAGCGTTTTCTCATACGGGGCACGCCCGTCCGACATCAAAGTATCACTGCCAAAAAGACTGATACAGGACCCAATGTGAAAACTAAGGACTATACTTGTGAGAGACAACTGACAGTTTTCATGGATTTTGGACATGAGACAATCAGAGATTATAAATAATTTTCAGTACCATTTTTGTCGAAGCAAGAAACGCTACTTATAGCAACTACATGAAATTATAATGGGGAGAAAAAGAAATGTTATATTCTGATGTCAAATTCTGTTAAAAGCAGGGAGATGAGACTTAAGTGTAGGTCACTTGGTTTCTTTAAAAGTCAGTACAGATAAGATTTTGACATTAAAATAAACACTCTATCATAGTCTGTGTGAAAGAAAGAAAATAATTCTATAGTCGTATAAAAGTTTATAGATTTTTTAAGTCAAGGTCATCTTAAGTCAAGTAAAATAAATTTTCATGAAAAGAAAACCCGAAGATTCTTGCACATCCCAAAACTAACTACAAAAAGTAATATAAAATATTTCTTTGGTTTTGTGGTTGAAATAATTCTATTAAATGGTATATTTTGGTTTTTAAAGAAAATATGTGGCCTCCTTAGTTTCAAATCAGAGCCTAGTAATTTCAGTTTAATATACTATTTTATGCTAATTGGTATTACTGACAATTTTTTCGGTAAGTCTTGCAATATATAAAATTATGATCTATTTTTGTTGCTACAAAAAGCTTCAACAATATGCTGACTTCTTGGTTTTAAATAAGAGCTCGGCGATTTCAGTTTTATATACTAATTTATGCTTATTGGGATTGTTGACTATGTTTTTTGGTAAATCTTGCAATATATGAAACTATAATCTTAATGATTCAAGGATATCTAATTTCTTCATTTTGCAGAACAAACTTACACGTTAAATATACCATGGCACTTTGGAAACTATCATCCCCGACACGTGCAATATACAGTTCACGGCATCCCAGAAATCCAAACATTAAGACTCAAAAGAAATGATAATATAAACATTAATGTACCAACATGTGTTATAGATCAAGGATTTACTGTATGTGAATATGGAAATATACAAGTGAGTACTTTTATGAAAGCGATTTATATTTTCTAGCGATATTGTATTCTTTTTTTGGCAACAAATATGCTACGGTCTAATGCCACAATTTTTTTTATTGCAGGATATAGCTTTTTATCATACTACCGATAAACAAGGGGCATTTTCAATAAGGTTAGACCGCGGGGCACCAACAAACACACAGACACAAGTGGTAAGAATCGATGGTTTCTTTTCTCTTAATGACACACCAAACTTCTGTATATGTAGAACAGTTAATGATGCCTTGTAACAGTGTCAATTTATTGGAGCATTTTTCTCCTGAAAATTGTAGGAAGGTGTTTTAGTGGCGGGAAAAGATGCGTTTGTCTTGGAGCCCAATGGTCCCCTCAGCCACACCCTTACCCCCGCACATAGCCATAGGATCATGAAGAGAAGCTCATATATCAATAGTAAGTAAATCTGAATTTATACCATCCCATCTTATCTATCTTATTGTCAACATACATGTATTAAAAATGCAGAATAAAACAACGGATACAATGCACCATTACGCATATGAAAAATTGACACCTAAACAAAGCACAAGAACTCGACGATTGGGTCGCAATGTCACAGGGAAACAAGACCAAGAACAATGTTGTTCCCTCCCACAACCCCTCTTTAAATCTATAGAGGCCATAAGGAACCGATAAAATTTCTCTGCCCCCGTATAGTTGCCGTATAAATCTGTTCGAGTTGTCACAAAAACTGCTTTGATACCTTTACAGTGTGATATATGGATAAATTAACGGAGAGTGGCCAAGGAAGCGTCTTCCGATCCGTCGTCATTTCATTGCTAAATGTATGTCATGTATAAGCTGGGAAAAAAATTGAGCTGATCAATATGATGTTCGAACCCACACAGTTACCCAGGAAGCATAATTGTTAATATTATTTAATTTTAAATAGATCATAAAATTTTCTCAAGTAATAAGGTTTTTCAAGAAAAAAAATAATGCTTATAAGATTAATATTTCCCTTCCTAAGTTTGCTAATTACATTCGTTTTTTAGCTTGTCAACTAACAATTACCGAAAAAGGTAACACGAGACATACACAATTCCTATTGTCTAATATAATTAACTCTTGTTGAACAAATGAGTGGAATTAAATCCAGCAGGCAGGGGCTAAACATTACTGTGATAAATCACACTTTCTTTTCCCAATGACATTTTAACTTCTTGCTAAAATAGTGTGAATTTTTTTAAAATATCAAACTTAGTGTATATGCAGATTTGTAAATTACAGAATCACGCTCTCTTCTATGTTTGGTTTCAGAAACGATTTCAAGACGCTTTATGCTAAGAGACAAGAAACTAATTGGGTGGATAATTCATGCAAAGTTTTCTTGAATGCAAATGATAGCAATAATTCTCTTTTACTCATCCATACTTATGAAAGAAACACAATTTTCACATTATTGCTATCCTTTTCTATGTAGACTGGCATACATCGACGGGTCGTCACGAAATGACGTATACAGATAGACGAATGGTCCATTTAACAGACAGACATACATTCCAAGATTTCCAAGATAACATGCTTCATGATATCAACTATAGCACAAAAAGACCGTATGTCGTGGAGGTGTTGGTACTCATAGATAACAGCTTATATCAGAAGTAAGTCTACAATACACGTAATTAAATGTACTGAAAAACATATAAGAATACAATATTCACAAATACATCTTATACCAGATGTATACAATGCTTTTATTAGGAGATTGCAATCTCTATATACAGATTCGCAACTGCTCATCAGTAAGCATACATACAGATTCACAGACAACAGGTTGTATTGAAGAAAAAAAAAACATACAAACTCGAAAACAACAGCATGTATAAGAAAATATTCACAGATAATAGATTGTATTAGAAATAAGCATACATACAAGCAGTGAACAACTTTTATCATAAGTAAAAATGCATACATATTCGCAGAAGAAGAGCATACATACATCAGCTTGTACCAGAAGTAAGCTTATGTGTAAATTCTGGGACAGGTTGTATCATATATGAAAAAGGAAATATTCCTCATGCTAGAGGTGTGAAAATTTAATAAAAGAACCTTCTTCATTAGAATTACAAGACCAATAGTCTAGCAGGGAAAACGATAGATTTTCTATAACAGTTCTGAACTAATTCTTATATTGAAATTTGCTGTACCCACAAAACGAGTATTACATTTACTGAATGACAACTGGATATAAGATTTTGTAGACATATTTCGAGACAGCATGTGAACAAAAAGTACGTGAATAAGGGACCTACAGGCAGCAAATTAAAATTTTTGAAAAATCCTCACTGACAATTATGTAAAGAAAGATTCACGAATTTGCATTAAAAATAAAGGAAATAAGAAAAAAATTGACAAATTTATATTCTATATATCTACATCTCAGAAAACACTTAAAAATCTACAAGGAACTCTTTTTAGACATTTCCTTCTCAAGATCAGCTAAAGTAGAAAATTATATGTTTAGCAGATGATACCCCCACTTAATCCTTATATCAGCTAAGTATTATTGACTTTTATACATGCAATCTATATATGTTTTTCCTCCTTTTTATTGTAGATTCTACAAGAGACATGGGGGTGACGAAATGGAAACCATGACAAAACTTAAATACTATTTCGCACATATTGTAAATGGTGTAAGTATTTAGTTTACATTTGGTATTTTTAATAGTTTACAGAAGGTTATAGGACCATATCACTGATGGGTATTAAAATATAACTTTCAATTCCAGATGGATCTTCGATATTCTTCAATAAATAATACCGGGTTTACCATTTCTATCCGGCTGGCCGGTTTCTTCATTGCTAAGGTAAGACCTCTGACTGACCTGCACAAAATTCAGGTCCTTCGTCAAAATTCGTGCTCGGTGAATTTATTTTCAAGTGTCAGAAAAACGTTTTGGAACGCTAGGCGTCGGGATAACTTTTGACAGATATTAGCATAACTTTGCAGAATGTCAGCGATCTTCCTTTTGTGATGACGTACAGGCAAGGTGGCGACAGGCGTTCTAAGGTGGACGGAAGCTCTACGCTTCTTGGACTGACCAACTTCTTAAAGTCAAAGAAAGATTTACCACACCATGACCATGTCATGCTATTTACCGAGTAAGTCAAGAGGAGGGCAAATGATTTTCCTTGCATATCATAACAAGTGTAGTCAAATAAATGTTTCATCTAAACAAATAGAAAATTTCCTTGCAATTTATCATTTAAAACTTGGATTGACACGTTGTACCTTTTGTATCAACTTTGAATACATTTGACATGAAATTATTCAAATTCCAAATCTAATTTATACTGATTGTCACTTGTTAGACCAATACGTTTACGAAGAATCAAGACCCCTCTGTGTTCCTAGTTTTCAAAGTTTTAAAAAAGTCTATGCATTATGGATATAGAGTGGTGTCTATTTTTCTCTCGCGAGGAGATAATCGTGACGGTGATTACAAGACAGTTTTTGTCACGTGATAAATTGACATGTTATTACCCTCAAGATATTTAATCATCCAATGGAAAAGCGAACTGTAATTCAATTCACTTCTTTAAAATTCAACATCAAGATGTTCCATTCGGATTCTATTCACTATTAAAATTCGTGCTTATAAAGTAGTCTAGATTAAAAAAGCAATGAAGGAGCAATTTGAATTACAACAAATTTTTTAAAATTTTATTTCAGCATCCGTGTTACTACATTTTCTGTATAAAGTATCATTGATAAAAACGTTTTAAAGATTACAGACCCCTGTTCTTAGAAAAATGTTATCAACTACATGTATGCTGAGCTCTATGATTTCGAGTGTAAGAAGGTCGTTTTGTTATGTGTGACACTTCCTTACAGAGAAAATTAATGTTCTAGCACATCATTCACAAGCAACACCTCTGCAAAATTACATAAACTAAACTCTATATTATGAAACTGGTGCATTTTATTTCCGCAGTTTCCAAAAAATTACATACGTTTTCTCATTTAAAAAATAAGGTTTCATCACATTAAAAATGTCTTTTTGGCAACTTTTACCTTATCTGCAATATTCAAATAATTTTCCAATTACTCTTTTAGTTACATGTAGTTAGTTTTTAACCCACATAAAAGTAATATGCTGGTCCTAGCTCAATATGTAAAGACTTTGGTACAAAGATACTGGTAAATCAAGATGAAATAGTGGTTAAAAGTAATCTACAAGTATTCAAAATGCAGAAATGAAAATCAATTTCTTGCATAAAAGAAAACTATAAACTCAAGAAGATTCTAATCTATCTAAATTCATTCACATTGAGTTTGAGAAATATAATTGTACTTAAACTAGTTTCTGACTAGAGAAATGATTATTGAGAAGAAAAAAGAAAGATTGTGTTTCATGTAGGTCATAACATTTTTCGTTTTCACTAGAATATTAATTCTGTTTACTTGGAAATATGTAACTCATTAAAATTGCTGATCTTCATTTGATGTCAACTTTATTCTCGATTTCAGAAGAATTATGACCAGAAACTCATTAACACCATTTTTCTGTATCCGACATGTCAAAATCGTATAATGATACTTCAATTTGCATGAAACTAGGCAAAAATGAATGTATATTCGTGGGGGCTTTCTCATTAGTAAATGATTTATTCTTTGTTTACACTCTCCAATTAAAAGTCATCAGACTTTGAAGTATTGTATTCCTTGTAATACTTTCACAAATAATATTGTCTTGCGACCTAACTCGATGTTATATTTAGACTTGACGCATTATTCATGTGTGTCACGTTTTATACTCCACAATATGACATTTGTGAAATGAGATACATTGAGAAGAGTTCAGATGCAAAATGTTTCATAAGAACACTATTTAAATGTAAAAAGTTTCAAAACTGTCTATTTAAATCGTTCCAGAACACAATGTCCATCAAAACATGATGAATAACAAGTTACTACTTTTCATGTGTCAAAACGGTCCTTCAAATTTAAGTACTACGGCATTTAAATAAGTTCTTTATATATATAATTTCAAAGTACCTCGTTAGTTTTATTAGTATGTACGTAGCTGGTGTTTTACATAATGTTGGCCAGTTTCGCAATTATAAAAAAAAAGTGCGAAGTTTTCCAGAAAGATTTCCATCAAAATATGATGAATAACATATTCTACTTTTCAAGTGTCAAACCGTCCTTAAAATGAAAGTACTTTGGTATTTCAAAAAGTCCTTTACATACATAATTTTAAGTACCTAGTTAGCTATTTTCTTTTTTAAGTATGTACGCAACCGCGCCTACGCAACGAGTGTTTTACATAATGCCAAAGTACTTCTTTCGCCAGTTTCGTAATTAAAAAAATAATTTAAAAAAAAAACTGCGAAAATTTCTGTAGAAACGTGTACTGCACTCACATGCCTAATGATAAAAAAATAATGAAATTAAATGAAAAGAAAATAATGTGGTAATTTTTTTGCTTCCTTTTTAATAGATATGACGCTACAAATGGCAGGGGATACATATTAGGTATGTTATAATTCAATTAGTTTGCTAGTGTTCTTAAATGTTTTCGAATAAGTTGAGAAGATACTAATACATAGGTATATTATAATCGGATATCCCATAGTAATTTTAAGCAGTTACCCTTATTGCATTCATTGTATTTATATAAATATGATTTCTCTTTTAGGAACGAGTTACCTTAGTGGTATATGTACAGCAATGAGTACTTCTGTAATAGTGGACCACGGGTCCTATAACTCGGCTGGTATCGCAGCCCATGAGCTAGGACACAAGTAAGTAGTCCCTTGGTGCTATTATAAGGGACTGTTCAATTTCTGTCTGAATCCCTCCACTCTTAGTATCTCTTTTATAATTATAAAAAATAATATGTAGAGATCGTCAACCATATGATGAAAGCATCTCTTTTATCACAACGGTATATTATTCGGTTTTCAAGGTACTAATTCTATGTATCATACTTGTTCTTTCTTTTCCTTCAATTTTTCCCTCCCCGATCATTTCATTTATTTCTTTGTATCGGATAAAGTGAAACCCACTGACTGTATGTACATTTCACATATGATCCTAATAGATAGTTTGAATTAACTAAGTCTTATACTTGATCACAATTCCATGTGTAATTTTACAATAAAATTTGGTTGTAAAAAACTAATTAATGATATTTATGTACATGTACTAGTGGCAATGCAAGAAAGGTACTTTTAAGCAAGAAGCGCTGTAATCTCAGGCATTGCAATGCAGACTTATAATGGAAAAGTAATCAGTTACTAAACGTCATATAAAAAAAGGTTTTAGTTCCGAAATTGTGTTATGTTTAAGTGGCGAGACAAGCAGACTTAACTGTATTTGAAAATGTCTCAAATCGAATGAGAAACGTGTTTATCTTCCTTGAGAAAAAATCGATAGTCTTCCTTATTTATCATAAATAGAGAGAAAAAATATGCTGTCCAAGTACTTAATGATTTTTTGCCACCATTTTCCCAGTGGTTGAGAAATATGCCAGATGATAAAAAAGAAATTTGTAGATTTGACAAATAAACGCGATATGACATGTTGACAAAATGCATATCAACACTTCTTGATGTTATAAGAGGAACATGTTTTCTACGGTGACTTGAATTTTTATTTGTAATTTGCATACTAAGTATGTTGTAAGCTTGTAGTAAACACAGCTTATTTCAAATGTAAATTTACTTTAGCCCGTCTGTCTAATTTCTCTGTATGACAGTAATTGCCCTATATACGTAAAGTGTTTCGAAAGATTGTACGGTTAATATACAATTTTGTAACTACAAACTTATTAAATTTATATAATTTATATAACAAAACTTCGAGTACCACAAAATGCCCCTTAAAGAATTATATAAAGAACTGGCTTATAGTGCACGTTGGCCTTGTCACTAAGTCGCATATGTATTAGCAGGAGAAAAACTCTGTCAGCTTAGAAAACTAATTCATGACAAAATATAAGTTTTGAAATCAATCAAAATAAATATTTTTATAATTGCATATTATTTTATGAATAAATTTGAAAGTAAAAGAATTTTGATCATTTTTTTTTCTCTTCTGCCAAAACAATTTCAGTTCAAATGTTGAAGATTTAAAGTTTTAATCTGACTCTTGATAGAGGCCATCATTCGATATGACAATGAGATATTGCCTAAAAGAACAGAGATATTGCCTAAAAGAATAAAACATCATTTCAAAATGTTTCCTTTCTTAAAACAGTCTTGGAGTAATTTACCATGATGGTGATGACAACCCGGTATCAAGACGTTGCCCACGTGAACTGAACTACATCATGGCGCCATCATCTGCAATTATAAACTCAAAAACCAAAGAATACAGCTTCAAGTTTTCCGATTGTTCCATAGCTCAAATGGAAGATCATGTTAATTTACTGACACAAAGGTGAGACTCCAGACAAGGAAAAATAAATACATCGGCTCACATATTATAGTCTTGGTTTAAAAAAATAAAATTAATAATGCCTAATTTTGCTGTATGACATTATCATTTATTAGTATATAATTTCTGATTTTAGAGCTCGAATTTTCCGTAGAAAAGGTAATTGTTTAGCTGATGACTCTGGTCCATCTTATGCTACAATGGTGGTAAAACCTTATCTCAGTATCCCTCCAGGACAATTAGAGGATGTTCATACTCAGTGCAGGCAATTGTATGGAAATGAATCCTTTATGTGTGTAAGTAAATCTTTGTGTTTTGTTGATTTTATTTTAATTGCAATTTTATTTTGAAATACAAATAATTTATATCAGATCTGCGTACACAAGTTGATATCATTTCTAATAATCTGCAGCCACCTGCAACAACGGACGAAATGTGCTACAAAATGTACTGCTTTGATCCCGGAAGGAAGATGTGTATTACCGGAAGTGAACAAAGAGCTGCTATGGGAACTTCTTGTGGTGATAAGAAGGTAAAGATGAGAGGGAACATCTCACTGTGTATTTTGTTTAAAAAAAGAAATCAATATATGAATCAATCTTTGTACTTACACTTCGTCTTTGTATTGTAGTGGTGTAAACTTGGAAAATGCGTTCGTGATGAAAAAGCACCAAATGTACCAGGTACACACAAACTTAGCTGGTATTAAGAATTTCAAAATCTACTGTCTGTTCAGTTACCCTTGAGATATTTATTTTCTGCCTATTATTTATATCTTCTGTTTTCGGTTTCCTTTTTTACTTCTAGATTTTTATTACCTCTTGGGTGTATATTACATTTATTTTAGATAAAAGTGCGGTGTAACAATTTGTAAGACATTTGCTAATTTCACACGTCATTTTCTTTCTCAGACAATTGTCCATTCCCTGATGTTCCTCCCCCAAGAGCGTCTTGTAAAGAAGACGCCTCACCAATGCAATGCCAGGATCCAATATTCTATAAAAGATGCTGCCAATCGTGTAACAGAAGTAAGCAGCCAAATCAGTTGTAGAATTAATAGTGCAGTCATGACACAATGCTGTGTAGACATTTACAATTGCTATAGACAAAACATTTTTATATCTTTTATTTATTTATCATTTGCTTTTCCACTACTCAGCGATCTGATGGGTTTAAATATATGGATATTTGAGGATTTTAGAACAAAAGCTATATCTATAGGGCTTTTATAGAAAACGGCTTACAATAAAATTATCAGCTGTCTTTATATACAATAGCTTCTACTATAGAGTACCTGCTTAACCCTCTATCCATAAAAAACAAATCTTGGACGCCAAAGTATAGCACTTACTTACCTACAATATAACTAATCACACGTGAGAGCGCCGTTATTTGATGCTTGGCAAGGTATTGGCATGGCTAACGTTATACTTGCGCTTTCTTACTTTCAGATTTTACTGAGGAGGATTTTTGCAGAGATTCTAAAATTTTAATAAATGGCTTTAAATGCGACCAATTTATTGCAAAATATACACAAGAGATATGCAATTATGACCCTAATGTCAAGAACTTTTGCTGTGCCAGCTGTAAAAAGTCTAGTGAGTACACATACGGATTTCATAATTTTTTTATTTGTTGTTCTTTTATTTGGCAATTTGCTCATACTTGGACAATAAATGCTTCTGCTTTTCAGACTTATAACTCCCCTCCGCGTGTTTTATTTGCAACGTTCATATTACTATGTAAAAACAATTTTACAAGACTTAAAATTTCCAATCCTCTGATTTACATATAGATATATTTTATCAAATGTTAACCATGTTACTTTTTCATTTTAGTTCCGTATGCGCCTACGCCGCCATTACCTACCCGCGCTGTGCCTATGAACTGCCAGGACAATCTGTTCGTGAGAATAAACAGCCTGCCTTGTGAGGCATTTGTAGCCAAAACTGGTCTCTGTGACAGACCTATCGTACAGCAACATTGTTGTGAAAGCTGCCAAGCATGGAATTTAAAGAAATAAAACACTGTAACCAGAGCCCACTTTATTTTTTTAACTTTCATTAAAGTACCTCCACCAAAAATGGGAAGAAAAGTTATGTTTTCACCAGCGGAAAATATCTCTTAATTTTGAATGACATATGTTCAGGAAAAAAATATGGAGCGACAAAAAATTGGTCAGATTTTAGTATGTGTCTTAAAAATGGATTGAATTGTTTCCATTTCTTTTTAGAGAATTCGTATAGGTCTATGTCGTCTGTTTCTAAGATACAAACGCATCTCTGAATGTTATGAACGATATACATGATCGGAAACATTTTGAAAAGATTGTATTGGGGTGGGGTGGAGAGTATCGTTGACATTTTCATCAGAACAACATTATCGCACTTCGAATAAAGCTGACTTTTGGTAATATTGACAAAGCGAGATAAGTCATGATTCATTAATAGCCCTAGTGTGTTTTATTTGATTTCTTGTATGGTTACTAAAACTTCAACAAGCAAAATTGATGCAAAGCATCAAATCGGCCGCAAACAAAATTTAGCATTTCAAAAAGTACTTTCACAATTTTAAAAGCATCCATGCAAAAAAAGCACAAGATACTCAAAGCTTGAAGAGTGATCATTTTTATTTCAGACTGTCTTCAAAGTAAAATAAATAAATAATTTAAGAGAAATGAAATAAATAGAAAATTTAGTGCATTTGTTCATCAAATTGACTCATAGGTGTAATAGAGTCTTTGATAAATGATAAGAATTTATTGTCATCAAAATGAAGATGTGGGCGATACCCTGGATCTTTGTCACATGACGATGCTCATGATTTCTGGAGAATAGGTCAGTAGGCTATGCTGCAAGGCGCGGTGCAAAATGTAGAAAAAAAAAATTATCCTTGTGTCATTCGCAGCTGTAGCATATTCAAAACATTTTTTACTAGTTGAACAACTTTTCAATTTTTAATCATCATGCACTTTTACCACTTAATTATTATCCGGAAAATCAAAACGACTTGCTTTCATATCTTACACACTCCCAGGTTGGGGAGTACCTATTGTAAACACTTTTTATGTAATCATAAATTAATAATTATCTGATAAGAAATGATATTGAAATTGAAACATAATAGCAACAAATAAGACCTAGTTTAAAGCAAGTTTTTAATATATTTTACTCAGGATTTTATGCATGTTATCATTTAAGAATTATTTTACTAAACTAATAGAGAAATAACGTCTCATTTCCCCATGTGCACTTTCTAACACAACCACAAATAGATCGGCCGCTGCTGCGGCCAATAATAAGACGAAAATATTATATGATTAATTGAATTTCTGCTATGACAAGGCGGTAAAATTTCATAATACTATCCTTAATCTGCTTGGCTTTCTGAAATACCCGTTCAAGGTACTACATAATTAACAAGGCAAAGATAAAATTTACCGACATTACAGAGTGATACATAACAGTCAACTTCACATACCCAAAAAGACTTGAAATCCAGAATAAAACTGAACATATTAAAAGTAAATTTCAAATTAATTTCTACAAATAAATTTTTTTATTGATATGTAAAAAAAAAGTTTCATATTCATTCATCTAACAATTAAAAAGAGTGATAAAAACACTCTTCTTGTAAACGAAGCGATAATAATAGACTTTTATATTTAATACAGGAAGAAAAATTCTCAACCGAGTCCAAAGTTTATGGGGTTATATAATTACCGAGAATTTCACAATTTTTTTTTCAAAACTTTGTTTTTTTCGTTTTTCCATCTGTTATGATACAGTTCCAAATTTTTAGTTATGATAAAACACAGGTTAATAATTGTTTGTTAAAAAACAGCTTCTTACACATTCGACACGTCATCTGATGAATCACCGTTGTATATTCTCATGGCTTCTCGATATTTCTCCGTGCATCCCAAGCCTCTGTAGAACTCTGCCAGATAGTAATAATTATCTGGCATCCCAATCAGAGCACATGCGTTTTCAGCGTCCTCAATATATTCCGTAAAAAGATCAGTGTCACCCAATTGCTTGAGGCATGTAAATAAGCGTTGAAATGAAAACATCATAACCATGTAATACCGTAATGTCGTCATTTGGCCTTGGTAGTTTGTTTGATAAAGAACCTGATCGTTTTGGTCTTGGCTAAAGTCCGCTATTGCTTTGACTTTCTCTTTCAAAAGGCGGATGAGCTCCATCGTGTAATGGGAGCCGTGATCATACTCTCTGGCTACAGTTAGCTTTATAGAGAGATCCAGTAAGAAAGCTACGTCAGCTTCCTGCAATGCATTGTGGGATTTTGCTTCTTGTAATAAAGGATCAGGTATACGTACCTCATCAAACTTTCCATTCTTTCTCTTCGGTCCTAATAGATCCCTGACTAGTGTACCACCATATGAACCCATGATAAATTTAAGCGCTCTTGTATTGTGAAAATGATCCAAGAAAAAGTAAAACCACCATTGCATACTATTCGGCAAATCTTGAAAATAGGAGCATGCAAATTCTTCCATTGAGGACCCATCTATGTTGTAGCTAAGAAATTCTTCATATAACTCAACAAATGAGTGTGCAGCATCTCTGATGAAATAGTTCCACAATTTATTTTTTACATCTTCAATGCTAATCTGGAAGAAAACATCTCTCTCAGACCCTTCAATGCAATGCCCACTATTTATGGACTCGATATGATCTATTAGTGGTTCCGCAATCGAACTGCCTGGTAAGCCACGCTTTTCGGTCACCAAAACTATCGACATAATCGGAAACTGTCGAATTGCCATAATTCTCGAGTATAGACTTTGACATTCATCCTCTGCTACATCTTCAAGTAAATTCCACGATGGAATAAAATAATCCGGCATTTGCCTTTTATGAATGGAGAATAATAGCCTATCTAAAAGGTATAATAAACATCCGCCTTTGTTGTCTGTCCAAAAAGCCGAAGGAATTTTTTCCATGGCATAGAGGAAAACGGATTTCAATGCATAAGAGGGTAAATTGGTCTTTTGTGTACTAGCAATACTAGCAATTAAAAGTTTAAACACTCTGTAACAATGACGCTGATGAGGAGAAGTTCCTTCTTTAACCAAAACTCGAATGGGTAGCATAAAATTTAGCCTCCAAGTTAAATTATCAGCGGATTCGCATGGAACGACAACACATTTTTCTCCAGATACCTTAGCTATGATATCTTTCTTTGGCCAACAAGCTGGTCTTTCTCTTGCTAGCCATGAATTTAATATATCAAATGGCCATTTGAGACACTCTATTCCTGGAATTAGTTTTACTCCTTTTTTATTGGAAGAGTACTGAAGAAGATATTTTGCTGAAAGATAGGCAGTTCGATCCTTGAATTTGATATACGTCGACGAATATAAGGAGGGCTTGATGACTACTAATTTCGTTAAGGAAGGTGGCATGTTTTCAAGCTCTAGACAAAAATGGTTTTCAACCTGACTTGTCTCTTGAATATCGTTCAAAACGACACAGTCGTCGCTGATGCCCAACACTGTAAAACACATGCTGGGTCTGTCTCTATTGTTGTAAGAAATTCCAAATTTTGGTAAAAATGAGAGATTGGAATCTAATTCCTCTTCCATGTCACCGACCTGTGAAAATAGGATAATTGTAACAACAAATTGTAACCCCGACATTACATAAATTAACCACAAAAGAATTCCATTTCCATTCCCCTTTTCTTATAATGATTTGATCCCCCTTTTCTTAAATTTTAGACCCCAGAAGAGAATAACAAGGTTTAAAAAAAAGGTGAGTATTCAACAAATTAAATTAATGCAGAGGAATTCTCAAAATAACGCAAAAAGTGGCATCCTTACTGTTGCTGTGTGATAACCTTTAGAAGACCGTTCTGAGGTATCTCCAATAACCTTTTCAGTAGCCCAGGGAAATTTCTCGTTGGAGAATGCCTCAGTTGGGATTGTTTTGTTGATGAGGAAATGCAGATGAATGAAAGGTACAGAAGTGAACATATCGGTGGAAGTTCCAAAGTATGCGTCTATGTTGTCTGTAATTCAATTCAAGCACTGTTAAAACTAATATCATATCCGCGGAGTAGTGAGATTTCAAGGATGAGTGAATTCAAAACATTAACGAAATTTAAAATTGAGACTACATGTACTTGGTACATTACAATATGACAACTAATTTGAAGTTTATTTCTTGGATTAAAATTTCTGAAGGAATAATAATGCTGGATATTGCCTTTTTCTTATAAAATATACGAAATGAAGTTGATATTATTATACCACTATCAAAACCTTATTTAAAAGTCAAATTAAAACACAAGAAAAGTATTATATCAGTCTTAAATGAAGAAAACAAGAAAACAAAAATTACACTAACCCGTCTCATCACCAACCACCGAATCTTTTATTTGGACATTATTAACTCTGCGACCACCTGTCGATCACAAATGAATAAATATAAACTAAAACAAAGAATTCTAGACTTAAGCATTAACATGGAGTTACGTAAGACCAAAAAAAAGTACAAGTAACACAGGATGAAAAGCCAGGTTTCCCAAATTTGGAAACCCGATGGAAACATATGGGAATCGTGACATCAGTAGTTTCCATATAGTTTCCATTTTATGGAAACCACATAGTGGTTTCCACGTAGATTCCCGATATGGAAACAATCAACCTGTGGTTTCCCATAGGTTTCCCAATATGGGAAACCGTGGAAACATGCAGTAGTGGTTTCCACGTAGATTCCCGATATAGAAACAATCAACCTGTGGTTTCCCGTAAGTTTCCCAATATGGGAAACCGCGGAAACATGCAGTAGTGGTTTCCACGTATATTCCCGATATGGAAGCAATCAACCTGTAGTTTCCTGCATGTTTTCCAGATATGTGGTTTACACCTATTTTCCCGATAATAGACATTTTGGAAACGTGTATCAAAAGAATAATAAAAAAAACCTGTTTGTGTAATTCTGTGTAATAAAATTGAACATTCTGTGACAAATAAAAGATTTTTTTAACATTTTAGTCTCGGTAAAACTCATAAAGACACGTGAATTTGAATTAGTAGTAAGAGAAGATTTAATACAACTTTTAATTTTAGAAAAATCGGTGTAAACTGTTCAGATAAAATTCAATCATTGCGCTAACCCTTGTAAACGCGGGCACCTGTTCTCAGGTGCCACAGGTGGAGACACGTGTCGCAGAGACACCTGCGACAGTGTATTTTTTGTATATTCTATGTGATTTGAGAGGGTTTTCTACCTAAGGGGAACAATGGGCTGTGGTCAAGCATGTACATACACATAGTCTCCACAAACTCAGTTTAAATTTAGGTGATAACTGCTGGCCATTGATTTGATTTTAAAAAAAATAATTTAAATTATCAATAAGACCACTGAATATTGATAAAATAAGCTACATTAATTTTAAGATGTTCAATGAGAGAAGGAAAAAAAAAAGAATTGTATTTTATTTTTTCATTACTGATTAAAAAACAAAATTTCCTAACCGTTTAAAAATTATATATACTTTTCTATCGGTCTAGAATAAATCTAAATTCTCGTTATGTGTTAAATCATAATTCTTTTTCAAACAAATTTGTAAGTGCATAGATAAATGAAATAAAATTTCTTAATCGGTAAATAACGAATCGTCCTTGTTTGACATCAATGTAAACTTTGAATATTGAAAACGTAGAAAAAAATTGTTAATTATCAACTTTGTTGCCTGCTTAATTCGCAAATTGTTTATGAGAAAGGATGCAGGTGGATCTATTATACAACATAAGAAATAAATTACTAATGTTTTGTGTGAAATTCGTATATAGTCCTCTACAAAGACATTGATAAGATAACACAACAGAATAATATTCATATACAAAATTAATGAGTGTTAACTAAATAACTTATTTTTTTATATATATCTGTACACAGACCCTGATATAGTGAATGTTTTCATTTTTTCGCAGGGAATTACAATAATGTTGGTCTTAAATGCATAACATGCACGTATATTTAATTTAGCTATTTTGTACACAAAGACCAATGCTGGCTCTAAATAAAGAAAAGTCTATGATATTTATATAACATGATTTTCTTTTCCTTAAGAACAACGTCTTCTGAAGAACTGCATGCTAAGGCAATTCATTGAAGGAAAAAAAATTATTAATTGTTTTACACGTAGATGCTTAGCGAAAACTTAATATTTTTAAATCGTGTATTATGTTTAACGGAAGGCTACCCCATTCAAATTTAAGCCCCCTCCCCTCCTTCAAAAAATGGAGAGAAAATAGTTTCTTTCGATATTTAGGTATAATGTACTGATGTGGTGATTGTCAATACTTCTACATGTACAAACATTTCTTTATACATGCCTTCCATTTCTTGATTTTTATACCCCTACATGTACCATTACTTATTTAAAAAAAAAAAAAAAACTGAACTTAAAACTGTCTGTACTCAAACCACAGGCCTGTATAATTTCAGTATGGGGCACAAACTTTACCAGAAAGTTCTTAACTAGCAAACCTTACCAGAAAAAAAGTTATATATGAAAGATACAGGGCGGTACTGGCTGAACGGCTAAAGCCACGTATATATATACAGCCCTGCACATCAACGAGTATACACCGGGCATTATTTTCCAACAAATCAGATGATCAAATATTGACAAATTGTTACCAGTCACGACTAAAATTCTGAACACAATGGACATGATTGTAGGTTACCTACAATAATTCTGAGCTTATTTTAATTATGTGTTTCAGGTCAGTAACAACAGTTTCAAAAGTGGGGGGGGGGGGGCTTCCATAAAAATCTGACAAGCCAAAAAAAAAAAAAATAAGAAGAAGAAGAAGAGCATAACCATTTACTTTCACCCCCTCCCCCCCCCCCCCCCCGCATTCTACGGGCCGGTGTTTTCCAAATTAAAATACTGTTTTCCCTACCTTTGCTTAGATATTGGTTCGTTTTTTCACCTTATGTTTACTCTCTTTTTTTATAAATCAATTTTCAAACTTAGTGTGAAAAATTCTGATACATTATAACGGTGAGAATTATCTTAACTAAAGGCAAAGATGTTTGAAGTAAAATATAGCAAATAGAAAAAAGTCCAGCAATTTCGTCCACTGATTATTATTGATATCAGGCTAAAATCGAAACCAAAAAAGGAGGGGGTTCAAAATAGTATCTAAAGCCGAACAAGAGAAAAAAATCATCAAATCTTTATTATTCTTGAACCGTCCTTGCTGGTAATTAAATTATTTTGTCTTGATTTTCACAAGTGTATGTATTTATACTAGTCTAACATACCCTGATTCCTTCTACTAACTAGCAATTTTTGACACCGAACTTTTCCATCATCACTAAAAATAAAATACTGTTCTGTATATATACATGTCATGTAGTTCATTTGCATGCCAAATGCAGATCGAAATTTACGGCAGATTTCAAAGGACAACATTCTTGTTACAAAATAATAAACAGCTCATAAAGAGTCATCAAACGTTTATTTTGAGGGGCGCAACAGGAAATAAGCTTTGTTTTCTATACTGCAAAAAATATGTTTAGGGACGTATGGCATGTCCACTATGCCCCCCCCCCCCCTATTTTCTACGGTTCTCAACTAATATTCATTTTCTGACGCTTCAAATTTTAAAACATGTATACATGAATAAAGGTTTAACATCTTTCGTTGTGACATTATACATTAATCAGAATAATTTAATGAAAAAGTAGTGGGGGGGGGGGAACCGGACATTTTCTGTTTGGATGGGCACTACGTACCAAGCCCCCCCCCCCCCCCCCCCCAAGTCAAATAATTTGAGGGGTCACACCAGAAACATAAAATGTCTCTGGTAACCCTCAGAAAACCTCTTTGTTTTCTATAGTAAACTAATTATCAGCAAATTTATTGAGGAACACCCCCTTTCTATGATTAGTGAAGAACTTCACTAAGGATATGAATTCATAATCACCGTAATAGGGAAATTATATTATATATAAAAACTTTTTTATTACCCTCTAACATAATTAACGTAAACAGGTTCCGTTTCCCATAATGCATCGCTCTGCAGAGGCTTTAATTTCATTGGTCAGTTTTCACGAGGCGCCATTTTTGGAGTTGAGCAAGACGGAGATGGACTCTGGTGTAAGGTGCAAATGTGAAAAGTTAACGATGTTTTCGCCACCCAGTGTCTTTAAAACTATGAAAAATGCAATGATCAACAAGCAAGGATTAGTGTACGTATATTATTATATACTTTTTTACGGTAAATAATACTAATATGGGGCAGAACAAATTTTTCCCATCGAAGACCACATTCGTTTTGACGCCATTTTGAAAAGTTTGATATCAAAGTTTTAAATATGTTAGTTTACACATTGAATAAACGGAAAGAGAAACTTGAATTATACAATATTTAGTGTTTTACGTTCAATCATAGATGTATAGATAATAGACTTTGTATAGTTAGGCCCTATGGCACCACATTTGTCTTTTTCCATGCTGTATGTTGTATGTTAACGTTTCGCCTTTGTAGATTTTTTTAATGAAAATGAATGCTTACTATAATAGTTCTCTCTCTCTATAAATAAATGAAAAGTGTATGAAATTTTTTTCGTTGTTAAATCGGATAATAATGTTTGTACCGAATATGGTTTCTTTGTTAATACAGACAAACATATATCCGGTTTGAATACATGTGTTCTCGGAATGCAACTTGTTGTACTTTTGGACTTCTGGAACTTTTTATGATGTAACGACAAGGTAAAAATGAATTATTTCTCCTACTAAATTACGATTAAGTCATCAATATTTAAACAAAAAGTGTCCGCAATCTCAACTTATCAGATTATTCACGAAGGACATCATCATCGAAAATTTAAACAGCTGAAAGAGAGAGTTCTGACTATTGTAAGCCGCCTTTATTTGTCAGATAAAATTAAAAATTATGAAGAATCATTAGAACAATTTAAATAGATTGTCTGTAACTAGAGTACATATACATCATAACACAACCCTTATTCATATGCATAATGATGATATGTATAGGGAAAATGTATTGGTTTGTAAGTACTTCTATAATAATATAACAACTGTTTAACAATCTAGTGATAGATTGTAAATTGAAATAGTTTACTGTTCAAAAGACAAAATTTCTCATGTGTGACCTGCTGAGAGATTTACTGAAAATGTTGAATCCTCATTTGTTTGAAATTTTTGTTTGATATATGTTGTATGATAACGTTAAATTTTTGTTTGTTTATTTTACTCCTCCCTGGTAGTTGTTGAAGTTTTGGCCATTATTAAAAATACTTTTGTTTGATCAGATGTACTCAGGGTTGTCTCTAAGACCCGGGGGCGGAGGAATTTCCCCAACTATAATGATGTAAATAATCCCCTGGTTATTTCGATATTCCTCCTAAACTCCCCAGTAAGGGATCAACCCCAGTTCCCCTTCTACGTTTTAAATGTCCCCTTCTATTTCAATTCTTAGGGACAACCCTGTGTACTTCAACCCAAATTTTGTAAAATAGGTAAGTAGGTAGGTAGATTTTTTTTTGGGCAGTATCTAACAAATTGATTTTTTGTCATACAAAAACACAGAATTAGAAATTTATTGATGTTTCATTACACACTGGACAGCTAGACAGGTTTAATATTTATTGCTCTCGTTAAAACAAGTGTCTTGGAGAAATTATAAACCTCAACTTTATAATGAAACAAACTTTATTTCCCTGAAACCAAAAAAAAAAGTAAAATTAAAATACTTAAAAAAATGATTGGGTAGGGCTGATTTTGATGGATCTTTTAGAGTACATCAAACAAATCAGTCATCGCTCACCTGAGCCAATGGCTCAAAAGAGCTTTTCTGATCAAAATTTGTCTGTCGCTGTCATTGTCTTAAATTTTTCATATTGAATCTTCTTCTCAAGAACCACAGGGCCAATTTCAATCAAACTTGCTACAAAGTATCCTTGGGTAAAGGGGATTCAACTTTATTTAAATGAAGGACCGTATCTTCTTCTAAGGGGAGATAATTACAAATAAATGAAAAATTAATGGCATCATTTAAAATCCTCTTTTCTGGAACCACTGGGCCAGAAAAAATTAAACTTATTTGGTAGCATCCTCAGGAAGTGTAGATTCAAATTTGTTTAAATCATGACCCCCGGATGAAGGGTGGGGCCACAATGGATGATCAAGTTTTACGTAGGAATACATAGGAGAAAATCTTCTTCACTAGAACCACTGTATCAGGAAAGATGAAACTTATGTTGAAACATCCTCAGCTAGTGTAAATTCTAATTCTGTGTTTTTGTATGACAAAATGACACTCCCCCCTCCCTCCCCAGGAGAATAAAGGGGCCATAACAGGGGATCATAACAGGGGTTATACAGTAAAACTCATTTAGTACGAACACGGATATTGTGAATTAACAGATATAGCGAAGTTTTCTTGGATCCCCAGCTAAATAAATTTTACTTATTCCTTATATGGATATAACAAATTAAGGATATAGCGAAGTAATTTCACAGGTCCCAGTGACTTCGTTATAACCGAGTTTTACTGTAAAAAGGAAGAAAAGGAATATATCAATAAAAATTTTCATCTTAAGAACAGCAATGCTAATATGTATCATATAAATTCAAAAGCATCCTTCGAAAGTATAGAATTCATACCCCCCCTCCCCCCCCCCCCCCCCTGAACCACTTTTATATTTAAACTTTTAAATACAGAACTGATTTATGCTTTTTCCTACCCAAAGTGCTCAGGTGAGCAATGTGGCCCCTAGGACTCTTGTTTATTGTTGGTCTTATAAGTGAAATCAGAATGCAATAAAGTGTAGTAACTGTACATAATATATTCTTTCAGAGAGAAGAAAATTGACATTAAAGGAGAACCAGTAACTAAAGATGTATGATGAATCAAGATGTGATCATGTGGTAAGTGGTAATGAATTCAATCATAAATAGGCATGTATGACAACTGCATTAAAAGAAAAGAACTTGATTCCAATTTTAATTGGAATGTTGAACTACCAGCTGCAAACTACAACAGGTTAGGCATAATAAAAAAAAATGTTTGTTTACGGTTACTCCCCCCCCCCCCCTCCCCCAATATCTAATAGCCAACCCAAATTTTTTTTCATTGTAAAAATCCATAAGTCACTCATTCATCAGTTTAACTTTTACATGCATCTTAATCTACCCACCAACCCTATTTTATTTTAGCATGAAACAGTAAACAAACATATTTTTTTCGTTTGGCCTTATGAAATTGTATGGCTTGGAGTCTTTTTCACTTCTCTATAAAATTTTCTGTCTGGATGATGTCTAGCATAATATACACCATGCAGTGAGGATTTTAGTTCACCCGAGCTAAAAACTCGAGTGAACTTTTCTGATACCTTTTGTTTTGTCTTCTGTCCATCAAACTGTCGATCGAGTGAGCTTTTCACATTTTCAACTTCTTCTCAAGAACCACTAATTTTAACCAAGGTTGACACAAAGTAAGGATATTTTAAATTGTACAGAGGAAGCCCCCTCCCCCCCTTCACCCCAAGGGGAAATGATCAACTCTTTCAGATATTATTGATATGATCATTGTTGAGCAACTTATAATTTTGTAACCTGTAGACTTTATTTTAAGAATAATGAATATTTGTTTAAGAGTCCTTTTGTCAAAGTTCAAAGTTCAATTAAAATTATTTTGTGATACATGTATTTGAGGATTCGAGATATCAGGAGTAAAATATTTAAAGAATACTTCCAAATTACTTCGACATATCTATGGTATTCAAGATGCCAAAGTTCAACTGTATGGCTATGCTAAAGTAGTAAATATTATAACTTACTAAAACTTTCTAACATTGAAATATGTTAAATGAAACAACACAAAAATGAAAAATAAAAATTTACTGATTTCTGGCTGGTCAGTATTTTGATGACTGTAATTTCTAAAATATTCAATGAAACACTTTGAAGCTTTAACTGTAGGTATATGTTAACTATATATACTATAAGATAATATTTATAAATGAGAAGTTTTGAACAAACATTACAACATTCATGTATGTAAATTGGGGGTAAAAACTGGTTATCGGTAATGGCTATTGCCTTAATTTTCAGTGACATAAAACAAGATTTAGAATGCAGGTAAATAATACTAGAATGTGTCTGTACATATGATATAGCATATAGAACTTGTACTGAATGTTGATTAGCTAAATCTTGAATGGCTGATATGTTGGTCGTTTTTGATGAAATTTAGATTATTTGTATGTAAACTGAGTGTACATGCAATATGAAATTATTCATAAGGTATTAAACATGATTAAAACATGTGTATGCAATGCAACATATGATGAATTCATATTGACTTGTATGGATATAGCTTAACATGTATGTGCATTGTTTTTTTTTTAGTGTCCTGTTCTGCAGGTGCCATGAGATGATCTGTCTGTCCATCTGATATCACTTGTCCTGAGTATATTTTTTCTCCTCTTAGTCCAATCTCACTCAAATTTAACTCATAGAGTGCCTGTGGATGGAGGGTAAAAAGTGACCTTGGACCAATTATCAAGGTCAAAGGTCAGTATCAAAACACACTATATATCTTTATTTAAAGTCCTTGTCCAGAGCATAATTTTTCTCCCTTGGTATGATCTTGCTTGTGTGCCATGGGATGAAGGGTTTTTAGTGATCTTTGACAAAATTTCTAGGTCAAATGTCAATAAGAAAAAAAAAAGATTCGTAATGTCCTTGTCCAGAGCACATTTCTCTCCAATTCACTCAACTAAAAGCAGTGTCTTACATGTACGAGATGGTCATATTCTCAATCTTACCTGCTTTAATATTAATCTGGCTTAAAACCTTACTATGTAATGTTCATTATTCGGATTTCATGTCATTAAATTTAAAGACTGAAACTAATTATAATCACTGATATTGGTACATTAAAAGACATTGAGTGATCTTGTAAGATTTCTAAATAATATTCAAAGCATACAATTCTTACATCAAATAATAATTTTATATGAAAATATATTGCAGATCGCAGATGATGTGAAGAAAATACAAAGGAAGCTGATGTTGAAAGAAGTATAGAGTATTTAAAGAAGTTTTTATGAATGGACTTAGATGTGAAAGACTACTTCATTGTGTACCACGATATATGATTTTATTTATTTTGATATCATTTTCAAATAATGTTTTTGCACATCAAATGAATTATTAAACATATGATTTGATAATGCTTTTTCCTTTTTATACATTTTCTTGATAGATTTTGAAAAGAAAACACAGTTTACCAAGGAAATTAATAATATATATTTTGATTTAAACTTGGTGTTCTCTTTTCACATTCTAGACAAGAAAGATTAACCATCGAAAATACAGGGATCCTTGAGCTTCCAGTTGCTTGTCAATCATTTTTCGAAATTGAAATGCTCAACCTACCCTGTAGTTTCCATGGTATGGAAACTATTACACCATAATTTTACATTGCTTCCCGTCTCAGAAAAATAAGGGAATCTTGAAGTTTCCCTGTAATTTCTTTTATGAGACACCAGATAATTCCACCAAGTTTCCATCACACGGAAACCGCTACGCTCCAATTCCATATAGTTTCCTGAGTCATGGAAACTTGAGGAATCACGAGGTTTCCTCTAGTTTCCGTTCATGGGAAATCTGAGGATTCCATCGAGTTTCCATTCCATGGAAACCACTACGCTCCGATTCCACATAGTTTCCTAATTATGGAAACCAGTGGAATCTTCAGGTTTCCCATTACGGGAAACTACATGGAGGCTCAGGAAACTTCAGGTTTCCTGAGGTTTCCGTGGTTCGGGATACCTTATGGAATCGGAGCGTAGTAGTTTCCATGGCACGGAAACTTGACGGAATAACCTGGCATCCGCTGTGGAAACCACTAGGAAACATGATGTAAACATGAGGTTTCCATGTGGTTTCCATATAGTTTCCCATGACGGGAAACTGCTTATTTCACCCAGTGTAACATATTGGAAAAATCGCAAGCTGCTTACACTATTATCATACAAACTTTCAAAGCAGCAAAATTTAACACTCACATTCAAACCAGGTATCTGACCAGTTTTTCTTCCTGAGGCTAACATAATGTTGCTCGTCAAAATGACCCAACTGCAGTGGTTCCTTCTTTGTAATGTCATCGCTAGGAATAGACGGTTCGATTGTGGTTTGATTATGGCCACTTCCAATCGCACTGATGATCGAAATAGTTCTTCCCAGGACACTGCTGATTCCTCTGTAATCAAATTAACATGAATGGTTAAATTGTGTTGCAAATCAGAGTTCTTCATAAAAACTTGAGGAGATAAAATGCACACAAGGGCATGTAATGCTAACATGGGAAACGGATCGTCATATATTACTTCGCAACCATGAAGCATGTACAACCATGCATAAAAATACATCAGCTGACACGCACATTTTAATGATTCTTGGTCTAAACACTAGAGATAAGATCCAGACATGATTTGAACATAATCATACAGAACAGACTTTCAAAATTAACCCATGGTGACAATAAAGATGCATCAGCTAATGATATTTCATGATTCTGCCTAACACTTGCAAGATATGATCAAGAAAATACTGTATTCAATCGTGCAGAGAAATAAAATGCAAAATAAGTCACGTTGACACATTTTGAGTCAACAAAACCCCCAAAGATGCCTCATCTGACAAGGTTGAGTGATTTTAGGTATCAACAACTTACTTTTGGGTTGGAACACACCTTCCCCTTAAGATGCATCATTTGGTGATCCTAGACAATATGACCAAAACACTTAAGCAATAAAACACTCTATTTTTATAGTTAATAACCAACCGTAAAATAAGTTGATCGCCCCATTCCTTGTCTCTGGACATTCTACACAAATATCCATCCCAGGATTCGGTGGATAAAAACATCCCAAGGTGAGATCCATCTTCATGACAGGGATTTTCCCGCAAAAATTCCACCGCCTTATGACGTATAGTTCTAGCTGTCCAATGGAATTCTCCGTTCATTCTCAGTTGATCAACAACAGAGCGGAAGAGACAGTTGCCATCTGGGACCACATCATGGATTTCACAGTCAATGGTCTCAGTTAGCTGCTCCATCGTGGAAACCATATTTCCTGTTTTGCAATTTCGACACGTTCCACATCCTTCAAAACGAAATTTCAACATCTAAACCCAATGTCTAAATTTGTTATTTCTTCATTTGTATTGATGATGCTATTAATGCAATGTGTTTAAAAATCTGAATTTTGCAAAACTTGGATGAATGTACATATATGATCAATAGCTCTACTGCCAAAAAATCCAGAGAATCAATAAGCAATCGATCGACATGTATATCCAGAATGTTCTGTAACTAAACACATTAGTATACTTTGCACTTCGTGCATCTGGTGTAAAATACAGAAAACACAATGAATTTGAAAACATCTGCAACTTTTTTTGTGCTCAATATTTCTGCATTTTTTAATGTATGATTTTAAACTCTATTACATTGTAACTATTGACTTTCATGTAAATATAAAAAATATAGTTCCCATCATACCTTCATGGATTCAATTTCTTTATTTAGCACACAAATAATAAAGTTTTATTTAATTTATTTAGAAAATCTTATTCAGAGAGAATACTTTTAAAATTTTATAAGTGTAAAGTATGTAAAAAATTGTTTCATATAAGTCTAAGTAATTGAATTCCTTAACATAACTTCATTTTATATGTCATAAATGAAATATGAAGATAACGAACAGTATTCAATCTCGAAAGTCCAATGAAACGATACAAATTTGGAGCAGAGCAAACACGGACATCAAAACTCAGAGGTGGGAACAGGTGCCATGGAGGAGTGAGCATCCCCTGCCGACCGGTCACACCCGCCGTGTGCTCCTTGTCATGATCGGGAAACAGAAACCGGAAAAAAATCCGTTGGCAGTTCAGTGTATAAATAATGACCTAACAATAAGTATGAAAAACATCAGTCAGCATTTGACTCAATGATAGGTTGTATGTGCTGACAAGGTCATTATATCGACCGAAAAAACTTGCGAAAAGATGACTTCAAACGAGATTGTTGATATCCTTGTTTCGTCAACTTGTTTGTCAATAGCTTGCTTCGTTTTAGAAATTGTTCATAAGTAGAGCATGCTCTTACGTATCGAATCAACTGAGAGACATAAACCCCTTATGCAGGTGATAAGGGTATATTGCTACATAAGTAAGGGAAGTTGACGATTGAAAAGTTGAAGTCATCACGTTTATCATAAAGTTTTATTGTTACGTTACCATTGAGTCTTTTTTCTAGTAAAATATTTAAATATAAAACAGATGTGTCAGAATCTGTGGTAACTTTTTTTCAAGCTTACTGGGATATACCAAGTCGACATATGAATGAAAGTAACAATTGTTAATTAATAACACGTCGTCGATATATCGAAATGTCGAGTTGAAGGCCACAACAAGTGATTTCTTCGTCTCATGTAGAAATTTTTGAATAAATTCTGCTTCATAAGAATACAAAAATAGGTCTGCTAATAAGGGGACACAATAGGTCCCATGAGAATTCCAATAGATTGTTGGAAGACCTGATCTCCAAAAACTGCATAGAGGCTATCATGGGGCTATCTACTAGTCGGGGGGGATGCAAACATAAGACTGAGATTGGTCTATCAGACCTCACTATCATTAAGGAAATTTACTTCTTCAAGGGTACCAATGTACTACATTTCATGTCTGTGAAGCAAAAGGTTCTCAAGATATTGAGCGGACAATATCTTTCTATGTCCAGTGTAATTGGCCCTTGACCTTAAAAGTTACAGGCGTCATCTACTTCGAGAGAGAAAAAAAGTGTACAAAGTTTAATGACCGTCAAGCAAAGATTCTCTTGGTATTGAACATACAATATCTCCGTGTGTCTATAGAAATCTGACCTTTGATCTTGAGTACTCAAAATCAATAGGGGTCTTTTACTCCACAGGGGGTACCAGTGTACCAAGTCTGACAATCCAAGATTCTCAAGAAAAAAAAACAGTGTATAAAGTTTGATTACTGTCAAGCAAAGATTCTCAAGATATAGAACAATAGTTATACAATATTTTCGTGTGTCTATAGAAATTTGACCTTTGACCTTAAGTCCTCAAAGTCAATAGGGGTCTTTCACACCTCAGGGGGTACCAGTGTACAAGTTTTATATCTTTCTACGTTTACTTTGATTTTTCACCTTTGAGCCTCAAAATTCATAGGATCATCTTTTTTTATGGGCTAACAATGCCCCATTACACCAAGTTTGATGGACATGTACGTCATGCAAAGGATTCCAAAGAAATTTAGCGGTCATTATCTTTGTATGTCCAATATGACCCTTTACCTTGTGAAATCAACAAAGGTCATTTAATTCTTAGGAGAACCATGTACCAAATTTGATGTCTGTCAAGCAAAGATTTTTCAAGATATTGAGCGGACAATATCTTCCTTTGTCTAGTTTGACCCTTTGACCTTGTGAACTCATAATTGACAGGGGTCATCTACTTTTCAGGGAAACTAGTGTACCAAGTTTGATGTCTTTCAAGCAAAGGATTTTCAGGAAAACTAGCGGTAAACATCGTTCTATGTCCAGTTTTACCTTGACCTCGTGACTTCATAATCAATAGATGTCATCTATTTTTTTAAAGGAAAACAATGTACCAAGTTTTATGTCTGTCAAGGAAAGGGTTCTGAAGATATTGATCAGACAATATCTTCTTATATCCAGAGTAGTTTGACCCTTGACCTTGTAACCTCCAAATCAATAGGGTCATCTACTTTTCAGGAGGTACTATTGTACCAAGCTTGATGTCTTTTAAGCAAAAGTTTCTCAAGTTATTGATCGGACATTTGGTCTATTGTCCGACCGACAAACAAATATGACAAACCAATATGCCAATCAATATGTCCCTTTTTTCAAAAAGGGAGGGGGCATAAAAAGTACTAATATATGACGTACAGGATCTTTCATTTTGTTTGATAAAATATCATTTTTATCCAACAAGTTGTACGTTTTCTCACAGCGAGTCTAAGGCGAAGGAAGAAATCACAACATACCAAATCACAAAACATGGGAGTTTCATTTTTTTTATTACTATACTAGTATTATTTCTTGTTATTAATCATCTCCCGATCAATTTCCATCGGTTTCCTCAGAAAGCAGCACATTGAGCACAAGGTCAACAATATTAAATTCATGTTTGCAATAAGTTAACATGACGTCACACGGCACTGGAAGAATGAAAACTTTGGTATCAAAATTTTCCCTTTTATAATATGGTCTCGGGTTTTATTGATCAAATCACTAGAACTCTAGGCATTTTGACTGCCAAGTATTTTTATCAGTACGACATGCTAATTACATGCAATGACCGTATCATTTCATATACATGTACTAGTACATGGTGATTTAATCCTACAATTTAGAACCAAGGTATGAAAACAATTGCAACAATTGTAGAAATATAATATCAGAAATTCATATCATCAACACTCTATCGGTATTGATCAGTATGTGCTTTTTTCACCTAGTTTTACATAAGGATTTCTATGATCAATTATAGTAATAGTGCATTGCTTGAATCAGTTTGGGAGATAAACCGAAAAAAAAAATCATGCACGTGCAAATTCACGAAACATGAAAGTATAATTACCCTCGGCATATCCATGCACACATGGGTAAACTGAAAAAAAAAATCCAGGTGTTCTTGTTACAATCATACATGTAGTAGGGTCTCTGACAGTATAAATTCTCCCTTTTCTCTGCATCTCAGCACATCTTACATTTTTCTACCGTAACTTGAATACATGCAGTTACCTCCAATAGTCCTGAAGCTTTTGGGAGGTTCTCTCTCCACATCGCAGTAATCAAATGGATATTTCTCTTTTCTCTCTTCCTCCTTTCCTGAATAGCTAGAGCCATGTGTGCGGCAGACAATGTGGTGTCCCTGATGGTTGTGGTGACAGTGTTGGTGCTGGTGGTGACAATGATGTTGTTGGTTGTGGCAGTGAGTCTGGTAGTGGTCGCTGTCATAATCATCGTTGGCACCATCAGAAAATTCATCGTCTGCGCCAATAATATAGTATAAATCTTTCATCCATGGTCAAATTGTGCTTTATACATGTACTTCAAAACGTAAGTGCTTGGATTATTTTATAATACAAAATGCTGAGCAGGACTTTAAATTCTATACACAAACTTAATTCCGAATTTATTTTTCAGTCTGTCTTAACCATTAAATATATACAGTGTGCCACCATCCTTACGGTGTTAAGCATCGACTTGGATTTAATCTCTAGAATGTGCCAAATTCATTAATGAGAACAAAAGACTGCTTTTGTAAATTGGACATTTTTTTCTAAATAGAGTTCAATTCGTGAATTGCAAAAGTTATTCATCTTATAGCATGTATCTGTGCAAAGCACTGGTATTGTGGATTGCAAAGGACTACAAAATTATAATAATAATAATAATAATACTTTATTTAAAGAGGGTAATTTAATTAAAAATCGTGCATAAACATCACCTGTATAGCTGTGTAAAACAATACAAAAAGTAAAAATAAGATGTTCATTTTAGGGGGCCACTTATTCATACCCTTATCACATATATATGATATAGTCTTTACCCTACCAGTTTTCTCATTTTCTTGTAATTACAGCTGCTAGAATATACATTTTGGATTTGTAAATACTCTAGAAAATATTATTTTACTAACCTATATATATTTGGGTAAATCACGGAAAAGTATGAAATACACATGCATGCACATCGAAATGTAATATTTAATTCAGATGTCAGCTGTGAGAGATTGAAGTATCATTCCAAAAATTTAAGAACTCTAGATTTTGATGCCGTGCCTTTTTGCATTTGATTTAGGATTTGGTCAAACTCGAACTCGCAAGTTACTGCATGCAAAAACAATCGTGTTAATACAGACCTAGTGTAGATGCACGTTGTATAATTTTTAAAGGTTTAAACAACAGATGAGATTAAACAACACAATATAAAATGCAACAGTACTTTTAACTTATCGAAAAAATACATGCTATGAATTCAACATAAGGAGCATTAAAACATGAAAATAAAACAAGCAGATTTGCTTGAAAATGAAGATCTCTTGTTAAGAACAGAGAGGGATTTGAAAATTCTTTCCTATCAAATTCTGCGTAAAACTGCGTGAATCAGTCTCACGTGATATGATAATTTTAACGTTTAAAACATTATTATAATACAATGTTATGTTACCTGAATACCATTACGCAAAATATGATTTAAAATTTAGCAATTCAAGGACTTTATTAAAGATCAAAACAAGAAGTGCAAGACCTTAAGATAGAAAAAGAAAAACAAAGATTGACCTCTCCCCTTTTTGACCTTGAAATCGATAGAGGTCAACAAACTAATTATTTATATGTAAAGATATGATCTCTTTAGTTATCATCTGGATACCATTTTGAGCATTATATGAATTTCTGACCTTGGCGTTTGACCTCAAAATCAATAAAAGTCTTCTTTAAGTGATAGTGAAAGTCCATTGCAAAATACCAAAGAAAACTACATTAATCATCTGGAAACATTTTATAGATAAGAATTTCTGACCTTGGCTTTTTGACCTCAAAATCAACAGTGATCCTTTTTAAGTTATAGTATTACATGGAGTCATAAATCTTCATTGCAAAATCTCTGAGAGAACTAAAGTTATTATCTGGAAACCACCTTATGCAACACCTAAAAGAATATAATGTAATGCCCTTTGCTATACACGCAGAACCTATAAATGTATTCATTACCATATTTTATGCCTGACTGTGATTTTCGATAGAAAACGTTCGAAAGATCTGTAACATCCATGCTTCTACATGCTTTATGCCTATAGCTTACTGACAGCATGACCATACTTCCGGCCTTTATGTCTTTCCACCCACTTTTAGACGCCTCAGTGGTTGTTGAATCTTCTTCAGAACCAATTTCTTCTTGAGGAGGATTTTCATCATCGGAACTCTTTCTCGCTTCCGATTTTGATCTGTCGGAGTTCACGACGACGATAAGACCAGTAGGTAGACTTGAAGTGGTAAAGATTTCTCGTCCGACTTGAGGTGTTACATCTCTGGCGAAGAAGTTGTTGTGAATTACCTCGTCGTCGTCATCATCGGCAGCATGGGATTTGGCGGGATATGATAAGGATTGCCTATTCTCTAAAAAATCTTCATCCTCTGAATCCGTAATCAGTTGTGACTCAGCAGAATGTGGGCTTGCATATCTATCCAGTCGTATTGTTTTCTTTGAATTTAAATCAATGTTACATTTATCTGTTGTATCAATTTTGGATTTAACCACCTTTGGTTTTGAATCTGCTGCTTTCCATATGTTTCTTAAAAACTCAAGTTGTTTATTTTTATCTCCAAGCTGAATTTCGCTGTTTTCCATATTTACTTCTATGAAAAAAAAATAGAGTGAAAACGGATAAATACACACTCTTATTATTAGACCATAAGCCAAACACGGTCACTGAAATATGGTTACTAGTACCTACTTCAATTAAAATGTATAGCTGTAATTTGGCAATTTAGACATATTAAGCATTAATTTTATTAATCCATAAATGATATACTGTAATCAACAGATAAACCGTTATTTATAGATATAAAAAAATATTCAATAAATATGTAAGTAAGTACTATTATCTATACATGATTTATGTAAACCCAACGTTTAGTGATACTGTAATCATCGATACTGTAACCAATCAATACCTACACGTATATATACTGTAACCTACAGATACGTATTTATTGAAGCAATATAATGCTTTCTTTGTGTATACAAGGATAATTAAACAGTTGCAATATTTTCGGGGGGGGGGGTAATTTTATCGATAGTAAGATGAATACTCTTATTTATAGCAGATACATGCCAATACTATCTGTCATTCACACAAGATAATGATAAATACAAGTTGCTGTCCTTCAAAAAAGACCGCAATACGTGGACCATAGGTATAATTTAACTCTATAGTCTTGGTACTAAAACTGTAATAACGAATGAAAGAAGCACGCCCTTCTCAAGGGTCTTATAAAATGTTTCGACTGCTGAATTGATTAAACAAATTGGGTAACACGCTGTTGATTCTATTTTAAATATAAGGACAGATCACTCTGATAAAATACCAGAATTATACGAGGCGCCGTTATAATATTTTTAAGTTATTTTCTGATATCACAAAATGATTTTTTGATATAAGAATTTCGAATGTTTGATATCAAAAAATCATTTTCTGATATCAGAATATATATATTTTGATATCAAAAAATAAACGAGATTTTTTTTATATCAAAAATTCAAATTTCTGATATCAGAAAATAAATTTTTTGATATCAAGAATTCGATTTTCTGATATCAGAAAATCTACATTAATTTCTGATATCAAAAATTTGATTTCCTGATATCAAAAAAAATCATTTTTTGATATCAAAAATTCATTTTTTTTAATTTCAGAAAATATTTTTTTGATATCAGAAAATGATTTTTTGATATCAGGAAATCAAATTATTGATATCAAGAATTGTTTTTTGATATCAAGAATTATTTTTTGATATCAAGAATTCGAATTATTGATATCAAGAATTCTTTTTTGGTATTAAAAAAATACTTCAAAAATATAAAAATGGCGCCTCATAGAATTATATCTCTTTTTATGCAGTGTATAGAGGTCTATTTTAATTATAGGCCACAGACAAAAGCAAAGGCAGATAGCCCATTCCCTCTTAAATAACTCTTGAAAATATTCAAGAATATTTTAACGGATTTTACAAAATAAGTCTATGAATATATTTTTTTTCAATTCATTTTTTTCTCTGCATGCAATTGACGACTCTTGTACAAACAATACACACAATGAAGGAAGGGGGGGGCATGAAAGCTACTATGCTTATGACACCAAATATTATAAATCTACTTCAGTTTTCCAAGGAACAAAGAAGAAAAAAATTTAAAGAATTAATATAATATGCATTTTTTTACTATATGAACAACAGAGCCCATCTCTCTCTCTCACCAGTTCCCTTGACCCCATTTTTCCAAGGAACAAAGAAGAAGAAAATTATAGAATTAATATAATAAGCATTTTTTTTAATATATGAACAACAGAGCCCCTCTCTCACACCAGATCCCCTGACCCAGGGACCATGAATCTCACAATTTCAGAAAAAGCATCCTTGCTCATCAGAACCATGCACTTAGTTTGTTTGCTTAATGCTGAACACGATTCGTAAAAGGAATTAGTCATCCATATTCTTTATTCAGTTGTTATATCTAAGGGCCCCTATATTTATAAGCCGTTCACTTAGTCACTCTTCAGTGTAATCAGTTATCACCTGTGTAGACGGAAGTACGCTATAGAGCTATTGTAAAACACTCGGAAGCGACAAAAGTAACTGTGTGTCTCTTCCACGGCAGGAGAGAAAGATACCAAAGAAACTTACAACAGTTGCACAGGTCAGGGGTGCAGTATACAAACAAACACTAATAAACGTAAACTGCAATAAAATGTAAACAAAGGTAATATAAGATAACCAGCACAAACATACGTCGTCCATTCCACACAGGTACCCGTGACAAGAAAGCAGTCAGGAGTAACGAATGCAGAGAGTATATCCTAGTGCTGATATCGAAGATAGTTAAATCTATTATCGCGTATGCCTATTTACGATTCGTGTTCAGCTTTAATACCAACAGAGAAGATTTTTAAACAAATATAAATGCATTTTCACTATAATTATGATCAATAGAACCCACCCTAACACCAGGACCAGAACTGACCCAGAGGCCATGAATTTCACAATTTTGGAGACTCCTTTGTTTATCATAACTATGCACTTAGTTTGTCTTCTTAATGTACAGGACGAGAGAATAAGCTTTTTAAAGAATGTATGCATTTTTACTATATGATCAATAGAGCCTAACCATAACTTCAGAACCCCTGACCCCGACGGTCATGAATTTCGAAATTTGGTAGTATATTTACTTTTATCCCATGTTTACCCCTTTATCCCGTGGATATGACTCATTGGATATTTTTTCGATATCCCACACTTAAGTGCAGTTGTGACGTCACAATGGTTTTTGCGTTAGCATGATGAAGTAAAATAAAGTGGAGTCCTATATATAAAACAGTGTAAAACATTGGTTTTGAAGTATTAAACATGGGATAAAAAGAATCTCCCATGATTTGTAGTTGGGTATGACTTTTATCCAATTCGTTGTGTGTTTTTATCCCCTCGCCAAGGCTCGGGGATAAAAAAAAACACACAACTCGTTGGATAAAAATCATATCCAACTACAAATCATAGGAGATCCTATATATAAGTCTTATATACATATGTATTTATACGTAAGGGATTTTGAAAATCATATTTTTCTTTCCTCATCATAGTTGTACAACTTTAAGTAGAAATGTTACACTGAGATTATAATCTAGCAGGAACTATATTTTTGGCGGAACGACGGCGTATGAAAATATCTCCTTTTCTGCTTCTCAAAATTACTATATAACAATGAATTTAGATAAAAAAAAATTAAACAATCAAAGACTTTGAAAATATTTCAAATGTAAGTAAAATCAATAATAATGGACTAAAGTTTTAAAATATATCAAACAAATATGATTTTCCAAACAAACTACAATTTTATTAGCTTTTAAAAGCTTCCAATCTAAGTACAAATTTGAGCAAAAAAACAGTAAAAAGTGTTTTTCTCTCATAGTAAACGGTCAAATCTTTTTGTTTTTGTATCAGTTTGTATCTTTATTTGACTACTTTACCATATGTGATAATAAGAAAAATTTAAATATATGAAGCATATCATAATAACTAATATTTTCTAAAATTTAAGAAAAAATAGAGGAAATTCGGATTAGCCAAAATCTATTTTATTTGAATTATTCTTGTCAATTTGGTAGTATCATCTGAAAGACCCTATATGGTAATATCTTTCTATGCAAAAAGAAAAATATTTAAACTTTTGAAATAGAAGTAAGCATCACATGATTGGCAATTATGGTATTTTTTTTATTTTTAAGGACATACGCAACGTACCTTACCTACTGATAATTTTTCGAGATATTCTTAATTTAAGATTATGGTGCCATCAGATGTTCCTAGACAAAAAATCTGCATGCATTACCAGGGGTTTTGAAAAGATATCAATTGATAAAAATCCTTGTATAATTCGAAGAAATTGTATAAAAAAATTACTAAACATATATTCTAGATGTTTTGTTTATCCAAACTTGTTTTAGAAGAAGTGTACAATAGCATATATAGACTTTAAAATGTAGCACACAGTTTCTTTAAGTATTGGAACTCTTCAACTCCAGGGGATAAGACAATAAAGTTCAAACTACGTTGCGTATGTCCTTAATGTGAAGAAAAAAGATAATGACCTTGACCTGGCCTTGCTTCTAAAATAAAACTCAAATTTAATCCAATTGATAACATCACTTACTGATAATGTCTTCTTGAATCTATGAAAATTTCATTAATTTTCAAATACAAGAAATATGAGAAGAATCCCTCCTTAATGCTTTTTACAATCATGCCAACAGTTAACTCGATGTTCAGGGGTAAAGACCCAGGGACCATGAATTTCGATATAGGGCTCAATGCTTATTACTATCATGCCAACAATTTAACTAATTTTTAAAGATTGCATGAATTCTTATGGTTTTAGCTACACTTCTCATCCCCTCCCCCCCCCCCCCCCGGAAGGCAAAGATTTACATTTTTCCCCTGCACCCATAGATGTCATATGCCAAAACTGGTTCTGCGGTTCAGGGTAAGAGGCTAGCACGATGACAAACGAAATATTTTAATCGCAGGAAAATTTGACCAGTTTGTTATAAAAACGAAAGTAGATTTTGCTCAGGAAGTCCCAGCGCAATTAAGTTCAATTCTGGAAAAAAGGAAGGCAGAAGCCTTAAATACATGTACACTATCATCTCATTCTTACACATTGCAAACATCGAACAATGGTAACTAGTCCTAAATTGTTGCAAAAGTGCTCAAATTCTATCATGAAGTTTCCCCAGCAACGTTTTTTTTTAAAAAAGAAAATAAAAAAGTACCTGAATTGCGCTGCTTCACTTTGGATTACATTGTGTTGTGAATTCCGTTTTAAATTCCACACTTGAGTTAATCATTCTTCCACTGTATAGCAATTCAGCTAAATCGAAAGAAGAAAATTTTCAACACGGAATTTAAAATCCCCGTGTCTATAAATAAACCAAATTTGTATAGTTATCAGCTGAGCAACTCCATCCTTACCTTAGAAAATTCCACCATTTAATTAGAAAGGCAAATTGTACTGATTAAACGCGTTTTACACAAGTCGATCAACTGAATGAAAATTAATAGTAGATTGTTTTGATTTAATTCTCCTCGATTATGAACGTAAAGAAAACCAAGTTCGTGTTACAATGTGTTCCGGAAAGGCGGAAGCATTTGAGGTAGTTATATGTAAGGTGAACATTTTTCCTGCATGTGCGAAATATAATTCATAAAAGGGAGAACGGCATTTTAATGATTGATTTTAGGAAGTAATTTAATCTAATATTAATAAAGCAGATTTAATCATCAATTAGAAAATTTTCATACGGCTTTTTAAAACAGCACATATAAATAACCAAAGCCACCGAGAGCCAAATGCTTAATATCTTGGAAGATGTTTTTCTCCTTAACAGGGTAGCAAAGGAGAACCACCATCTGCACAAAGGCGTGAGACCCCCCCCCCCCCCCCAATCCAAAAATAAGGTTACACATGTATAAATTAATACAAAGGAAAAGCTGTCATAATATTAACATGAGTATTATGTGTTTATCACTATAAGTTGAAATAAATTAATTTTAACAAGCTAATTCAGAAAATTTGTGTCCCCCGCTTAAGGAAAAAAAGAAGAGGTAGGAAGAACTGGAATAATTTTACAGACGGAGAAAGAAAAAAAGGTCAACCGTGATCTTTTAGCTTTAAAGTCAATATAAGTCTTTTTAAAGTTAGAGAAATCCATGACCAACAGTTTTACTACAAAAGCTTACAAATATACTAAAGTTATTATGTATGCAATACATATTTCTGACCTTGACCTTTGGGTTTTTTATAAGGTCATGGGGAATTGTAATTTAAAATTTCATTGTACATTCTAAAAGTGTTTTTAAGATATGGTTTTGAAAAAAAAGTGTTACACAGACAGAATGTACGACCTTAACCTCTGATCTTTTGACCTCAAAATCGAGAGGATTCTTTCTTTAGGCCATAGGAAGTTGATATTAAATTTAATCGAGGCAAGCTCAAAGAGAACTAAAATTATCATGTGGAAAATGTTATTTGCAATGTATGATTTTATGACCTTTGACCTCAAAATCGAAAGGGGTTTTCTTTAAGCCATAAGGAGTTGTGATATGTATTTTCATTGCAAATCCTCAAAGATTTTTTAAGATATTCCTGAAACGAAAGTGTTACACACAAATAAAATGTATGAATTTATGACCTTGACCTTATGACCTCAAACTCAATATGTGTCTTCTTTAGGCCATAGGGAGTGGTGATATAAAATTCCATTGCAAAACATCAAAGGCCTCCTGAGATACCTTCTGGAAACGAACGTGTTACACACAAACAGAATGTAAAATTTATGACCTTGACCTTTGACCTAAAAATAAATAGGGGTCTTCTTTAGGTCATTACAGGGAGTTGAGGTATGAATCAACTTTTTTTCTTTAACCAACCTGTATATTTTATCAACCTGCTAACCCTTTATAGTCGTCTCTACAAACCAATTAACTCGCTTGTTTTGAATTTTCTGCCATCCGACAAAAATTCAAAACAAGCGAGTTTATTGGTTTGTAATGACGACTATAAAGGGTTAGGAGGTGGATAAAATATACAGGATGGTTTAAGAATGTGACTAGAATTACTGAGTGAAAGGTAGGTGATTGACCAATGCTGGAAAGTTGAGAAATTCTCCCCAACAGTGCGCAGAAAATCGTAAATTGTACATTATTTGCATTACGGGATCTGTAGCGTTATTGGTCAAAGACTAATAAATATAAAACCATAACGTTACAGTTTTGCAGCTAGAAACAAAAGTGTTACAGACAGAAATACAGCTAGTAAGACAAACAGACCCAAATTAATATCCCCCACTGTCAGTGAAGAGTGGGACAATACATTTGGTACTCTTGCAAAATCAGCATTTTTTTTTACAGGGTAATCTTAATTCAGATATGCCATCAGTTTCTTGGTATAAAAAAATCTTCGGACATTTTCCTACTGAAGCTCTGTCACTTGTCTCAGAAAATTTTTTAAACACCTTCACAGACCTTGGAAAGTGACTGAAGAATATTTTGTTTAATGTCCCTTCGGGGATTTTTCACTTACATTGAGACGCCACCACTTAGGGTGGAGGGCTGCAAATTTAGACCCGTACTCAGCACTTACAGCAGTGAAGGATCTTTTTCGTGTCAAACAGTGATTTGAATCCGCGATATAAGGATCAACCCCTTACTCCGCGATTTTTGAGCAAACGCTCTAACCATTGTGTCACATGGTGGACAATGATTTTGTTGCAGGTAGAAATGGCGATAGCTGATCAGCAAGAATTTCACTTTCCGAGACTGATGCATCTTCGCTAGCCAGGGGGTTTCTGATACGCTACTCTCCTCATATTTATGAGGAGAGTAGCGTATCAGAAACCTTTGGCTAGCGAAGATGAGACTGATGAAGGTAACTCAAAGAATTTCATAGGGAAATACGGTGACAACATCCATAAGTGAAATGTCTCAAAAAATTTGGTATAAAATACTTTAAGTTTTTAGGAGAATAAGTTCAAAGTAAAGTGCAAGTTTTGTGTGCATATATTGGTTAGGTCCTCCAACTAATTTTTTCCGCCGAGTTTTGCAGCTACATGTAGTTAACGTAGTTGTTCACAAGAAAGCAGTTAAATTATAATTAAGATGAAAATAAATATTAAATGTCTGACTAATATGATACTTATTATAATGTAAACTTCTATATGCGGCTGTTTTCACTTAGTTTTATGAAATTTAAAGCTATAAGGTTACATTTACTCTTAAATCACTCAAAGTTCAGGAGCTTCGTCCCCTGGGCCACCAGCACTTCCACCTGGACGTACTCTGGGCCTTAAGGCGGCCACTCTGCCTCTGAAAAAAACCCCACTTCATGTCTCCCTATTGGAAATTCCTGGATCAGCCACGAAAGTCACCCGAGTATTAAACCTTGACTCTGATGTTCTTCAGATTTTTGTCCTATTTCAACTCTTTGTTCCCATGAAAATATTTGACACAGTATTGTGGTCCAGTGGTCCCACCCTAGCTCCAAGAGATCATGACTTAACATAACTTAAATCCACACAACAATGGGATACTTCAATAGCAATATGACTTACATTTTTTTGCTCTGGGAAAGATGTTTTTTCTGGAATACATTCATTATGTAAAATTTGATCCTCAATATAAGTCCAACAATAGGATATTTCAATATCAATATGACGAACAATTTTTGTTTTGGGAAAGATATTTTTTTCTGCAGTACATTCATTATGGAAAATTTGATCCCCGGCCAATATAAGTCCCTCTACAAACCCCACAATAAAGTTCTCACAAATAAAAAAATGATTTACAGTATATAAATTTTGCTGTACTGTTATTCATTCCTTTACCCACTCATACCTGTAATGAATAAAAAGTAGGTTGAGGTGCGATTCAATTTTTGTAAGTGTTAGAAGTGCTTAAATAAATTCTTTATTTCTGGGATTTTCAAAAAATTTCCATTTATTTTGAAAGAGGAAGAAAAAATTAATGAAAACTCAAGATAAAAGATTAGAAATTCATTTTCAATAATATAAAATAAAACTATGAAATTCACAAATTTCATTTGATAATGACAAAACAGTTATAAAAAGACAAATTGCCATGCATTTTGTCTTGATTAAAAAGTATATTCATGAAAAGTGTCAGATGTTGTTATATATTTAGATTAAAAATACTTCTTTGTCACAGAATATCTGTTTTTAGCTTGAACACATGAAATGTTTAATTTTCTGTGATAAACTCAAAGCTGATTCCATGATGATATATAAACTTCACTGCCAATTTTGGAAACATAGTTTAAAGATTTTAGGTTTTGCATTTGAATTCACTAACACAGACTTTCCAGATCAGGTTTCTGATTTGTCACAAAATATTGATGCTGCCTGTTTAAACGTATTTCGGAACCATATTTGGAAACTAAGCAATATTTCACGAACTTCCTTATGGAAATTTATATTAAAACCTGACATAACATCCCATGTGGGAATAATAGGTTTTAAATATTTAAACTGGCACAGGAGTGCAATATTTCCAAGGGTCTTGTAACATTTCTGGGTGGTAATAATCTTCAATATTTTGACTTCCTCCTGGGTTACATGAACTATCCTTCCGAGGGTTCTGAAAATTTTGAATTGGGTTGAAAAACATACAAAATTTAAAGTATTAAACAATATTAACATAGTATAGAGCCTGCGCATTATGTATATTTAATGGTGTGCAAACCATACATCTAACATTTTAAAGTTCATAACTAATGATCTTGCTTTGTCAAATCTAAACATGCAAGTGTTCAATTACAATAAGTATACAGTACATGTAATTGACTAATTGTGCCTATAAAACAATAATTTCAAATGGATACTAAAAAAGTAAAATCTAAAATTTGAATCATATTGCTTAATTCCTAGAAAGGAATTTACCCTACTTTATAATTTACATATGTTTCTATAATCAATGATAATTAATGCTTATCATAATATTTCACTTAAAAAATATTTGCAAGAAAGTAAATGAAAAGACTTAATGTTTATTAGTACCAACTTAACAGCTGCCATCTTACAATGTCTATACCCTAATAGTTTGACTATTAATGTAAATTGAAATAAAGCACATGGTGAAGAGGGTTATTAAACTACATTGTATCAATTTTATATTAATTAGTAATACCTGAAATGAGTTAAACGATTTTCTCCCACTCCCCCTCCCCCTATTTCCACCTGAACTAGGTGAAGGAAAAGGGATATAATCGGTGTTGGGAGTCTTGAAAAGGTGGTCTTTCGGACTAGATATTCTACGATTTGACGGAGTAAAACTTTCATTAAAACTGTGGTGTCGTGGACTAAACTGTTGATGCCTGGGCGACATGGACGGTCTTCTGTTTGGGTATGAGAAACTGTTCTGAGGTGACGGTGAGCTTTGAGCAGGAGACCCCCAAACGAAAGGTTGTCCCGATTGACTCTGTCCATTTCCATAATTTCTGTTCGTTGAATTGTAAGGAGAATATCCCCTAGGCGAATTATAATACCCCCTGTTGCTCATTTTACCTGAAAAACGAATTGTGTCTTTAAATTTCACTTTTAAAATCATAACATCCACCTCCCATAAAAACGGAAATGCTCACACTAAATTTGGAGTCATACGCGAAAAAAGAAAATTCCGGAATGCTTTCAGAAATAAAATTATTTACCCAACATTTGAATTATTCATAGAAATGAAGCCGATATACATACTTTTTATATGAATGACAATGAGTGACCTTATGACCATGATGACACGCATAGTGAATAACGACTTGTCACTTGACACCAATTATCAAATGCCAGAAGGACAATATCATGAATATCCTATATTTTTGACACTGCATAATAATTTCAGTTAAATCATGTCTAGGTGTGTCAGCGTCTGTGTGAAAGTGTGGTTGGGGTAATCATGCATAATTAATTATGTGTGTTGTGCACACGTACATGTATTTCAGTGTGCTCACGTTTTTGAAGGCAATTTCAAACGGGCGGGGGGGGGGGGGGGGGCGGGGGCACAGTTAATCAGAAAAAATCTATACAGGGGCATCGGCAAGTATTTGACATTGGGGAGGCGAACTGGATCGAAAAAGGGGGGAGGTTCCAACTAACTTTTTGTGACTTGAATTAATTAAAATTTCCGCCAAAATCTCGCTTGATATTTTCCCCGTTAAGTAAAAAAAGTCTAAAGGCATTTTCTGATTAAAAAAGAACAATAAAACATACAAAAAAAAAAAAAAAAAAAAGAAAAAGAAGAAGAAAGAAAGAAATAAAAACAAACAAACAAACAAAAGTTTTATGCATGATTATTAATTTTACATTTCTTGTCATAAGCAGTTCAAAAGAGTCTCATACTTAGAATGCCAAATATACTTAATTAATAACGAAACATAGTCAATTCCAGACCTATGGACTTTTGTTTTAAGTTACATGTACTATATATAAATGAAACAAACCCGGAGTATTTTTAAATAGGAATTTGTTTCTTTGAAACGGCAATTTCTCCGAAACTTAAGCGCGGGGTCACTCTTAACACAGAAAAAAACTTTGAAGGGTTTATGACGAAACTGATAAAGATCAAAATACATCTAATTTTCTATATTACTGTACAATACACATGTATGTATTGTTTCTTGCCAAAAGAACGCATATGAAATTTAAAATGAACTGGCTAATTGATACCTCTTAATCCCTCCATTTTTGAAATTCAGATATTATTATAGCTGCAGAACTGTAGCTCTCTGCTTGAGAAAATTCGGACAGACAAAGCAGAGAGCTACAGATCCAAGCAGGGGAAAGCATTAAATACAAGAAATAATAGCCGAAGCGAGCGACAAAAAAGCGGCGGCGTAAATCGAAGGTTTTTACAACGCTTGGATCTGTAGCTCTCTGCTTTGTCTGTCCGAATTTTCTCAAGCAGAGAGCCACATTTCTGCAGCTAATATTATTAATGATATATAAAAAAAAGAGTCAAAGGAAGTTGTTTTAAAGATATAATAAATTTTATCCACTTTTAAAAGTTTTTTATTTTAATTTATATTGCCTTACCCTGTAATATATTTTGATAATTGTTGAACAGCAGCTGCTTACTACTTCGATTCATCAAAGATTTCCAAAGATCGATTAGACAATGAACAGACCTGTTATACCAGGTGGATGGGAGCAGGAGGTGGAGGGAGGCAAATTTCAGCATTTGAAAGAAAAAAAATCCCGAAACTTAGAGAACCCCCACCCCGACCCCCAAGAAATAGAATTTCTAAAAACCTTGCTTCCTGTGGGCCTTGATTAGAATTTGTGGCAAACCCGTATGAAGAGCGATGGACATCCTGCTTGTCGTTTACACACGCTAGGTAAAGGTACCTATAATTGGCATTATTATATGATTGAATAATTCCCATCTCTCTGATTGGCTGAGATCCAACAATGTTAGAAAAAATACTGCGTTATATTGACTTGCACGTGACCTTCAAGGTCAATATAAGGAATTATTCATTCTACATTGGACCAAAAATAGGATAGGAAAATTCCATTGATGCAAATAGTTTTGGAAAGCTATTTCACTTGCACCTGACTTCCACTCATATGAACATAACATTGAGGGACATACATTCTTGGGTGAGGGGTGGGGGTGGGTGTAGGAGGCCTGTCTCTCTCCCCACCTTTAGAGAATGTAAAAATTTGATTTAAATTTTAAGGATAAAAAATTTCAATGAAAGCCCCCCCCCCACTCGTTTATGGACCTTTACATCCCACTAAATAAAATTTTGAGTTGGGAGAATTCTTATCCTTTTTTGGGGTGGGGGTGGGGGTGGGGGTCGGGTGGGGAGGGGAGATTAGTCAAAGATTTGTTTTCAGGTAAGTTGTCATTTTTTTCCTTTTAATGTCCCCTTTTTCAAAATCAATCCTATATATGTGTCTGACATTTATTTTTTTCTACATTGAACCTAAACTAGAATTAAAAATTCCAAAATAATTAATACAACTGGTTGTTTTTTAACCCCGTTTCTCTCATTATGTTCGGCTAGCACTTCAGTAGATGTGAACAAGTAAGATAGGATTGATTGTTTAATGATTGCATGTGTATCATTGAATCATATAATAAAACAATTATTTCTGTTTTTTCGGTCAATACGATGATTTAGCCACCTTCGAAGTACAATATTCACCTCGCCCTTCGGGATCGGTGAATACTGTACTCCTCAGGTGTCTAAATCATCATATTGACCTCAAAACCAGCAATAATTGTATAATATAATGCAGAGATGCATGTGTATTATTATTATACACGTTACAATGTACATGCAATATACTCCTGTACATATGGCATGTGGCATGTCATATGTTGATTGTTCATACACGTATGCTATAATCATATATGTTTTGTAAACATTCATTATAGGTAATATAGGTTTATTTTATTTTATTTTATTTTTTATGTCGACATGTTGCTGCTATCAATTTTGAATTTCTTCAAATGTGTGTTTTTCTTTACTTGTATGCCCTGAACTTCAGAAGGGCCCCAAATTGGTCTCAATAAATCTTATTTTATCTTATCATATAAATACATGTATACTTGATATAAAAGCCAGCAAAATTTTAAAGGAAAAACAGTTTTGCCTCATGTAGAATAAACAACGGACATGTTCAATACATTGTATATATTATATGTTGGAGAAGAGTATTGAGAATGTTGCACTGCAAACATGCAAATTATATTTATCCATCAAACCACGGGCTCTTGTTTCTGTAATAAATTTAACCCATAGTAAAATAAAAGCACAGTAATACTATGGGTTAAATTTATTACAGAAACAATTGCCTGTGCATCAAACATTGAGAAGAAATTCGAAATCCAGACAAATCAAGTTCAAAAAACTTCCTAAAGATTGATTGACTGCAGCTGATTGCACGCAGGCACGTGCATGCAGCAAGGGGGGGGGAGGCTACCTCCACCTTTTTACTAAACAATTAACTTTTTACTATTGAAAATGCTCATTGAAAGGCCTGCCCCCCCCTTTTTGTTGCAGTATAGTCATTTAATAAGGGTAATATAATAGTGTATGAATAAAATTATTTCGTACTAAAAGAAGTCAGACCCCCCCCCCCCTACAAAATATGATTTCCGAATTCGTACAATTTTCCTTTCCTTTCCCTTTTTTTTTTTTTTTTTGAATAGTCAAGTTTTTTTCAGGTAAGTTGATTTTTTTTTCTCTGGCTTCCCCTTTCAAAAACGATGCTACGCCCCTGGAACGCCAAGTTTGGCATGCAGTATTTCAGTTCGGGTACATGTATATTGTCCGTCGCCCCGACTGTCAAACTATCTTCTTTACCTCTTCAAGGATCGATTTTTGATTATCCACATTTTCGAGTAATTCAAAATAATTATCTAGCTTGCATTCCCAAAGTTTGTTTTCAGTTCATAGGTTAAGAAATAACATCAATTTGAATTAAACATTTTTCGCTGAGAAACAAGCGTACGTATCATATAGTAGTTTTCATTTAAAATTCTAGGGTGAAAAAACCCCCCATAGATTCATTGTAATAAATCTTTACTGACAAAAGCAAATCAGTCTATGTACTTTTGTGATAAGACCCTTTCGCTAAGATATGGTAAAGAATTAAAAGATTTCAAAATAAATAAATAAATAAAATAAAAATAGTTCAATCTTTAATTGCTTGTCATTTATCTTCAAAACAGTTATTCGTGAAATGTTTTACACAAATTATAGAGCTTGTTGTCAAATATAGAATTTAAAACAGACTGTGACAATTTTAAGAAAGTATAAGTGAATTCATCAGAATTGGCCAAAATAACGTACATGTATGAACAGAACAGAACAGAACAGAACATGTTTCAAATAATCACGAAATGCCAAATATAATTTCTCAATGCGTTTTTTTTTACTCCTTTCTTGTATCTTTGCCTAATAGTTTATGTATTCATTAAATCATTTGAAGAATACTCTGTCATCTCGTTAATTTCTACCCAAGCGACACCATTTTAATGAATTTTAGCGAGAAAACAATATTCATCTTTTGGAATATGATAAGTGGTGTCCTGTAGATGTGCAATAAGGTTTTTACCCTGATGGCAAATTGGATGTCGGAAAACAATGTTTTTCTCCAAAAATCATGGTTCCCATAAATCTTCTTATATTTACGCAGTAGCCAAATCATTTTTGGGAACAGAATAGAATATTTATATAGGTGGTGTTTGTATATCTGTTCAATAAGGGTTCAGAATTTTTCCATAAGAGAGGCCATGCATAGGGGCGAATATGAAAACCGACCTTTTTTCCCTCAAAAAACTCGATTCCCAAAACGCTACTTCTAGTTTAATACATAGTAGCCAAGTCATACTGATTTTGAAATATGAATGGGTGTAGATATGCAATAAGGTTTAAAAAAAAAAACATTTTCACAATGGGAGAGCAAGTAGGAGTGAAAAATGATCTTTTTGTACTGGAACCAAGAATTCTTACAGTTCTTGAGCTCTACCTATTTTAATCATCTTTTGCAATATGATTGGTAGTAGTTTGTCAATATGCAACAAGGCTTTGGGTTTTTTTAAATTTTCATTCTACCTGCTGGGGTTTGGAAATTGAATTAAACATGGTTCCCAATTTTAGACAGTAGTCAAACCATCTTTTGGAGTATGATTGGCAGTTACCTGTAGATGTGCAGTAAGGTTTCGGCCAATTGGGGATTGAAACAAATTTTTCTTTCTTTTGATCTTTATTATCATTTATTTATTTCTTTATTTTTTTAACTAAAACCTACTTCCTTTATATTCCAAATCTTCTTTTTGAAAATGACTGACAGTGAACAAGCTCAACTGAGCATTATATCCTCATTTTGATAGTACAGTATACAATTATTAGCTCACCTGAGCTAAAAGCTCAAGTGAGCTTTCTTGATCACATTTTGTCCATCATCCGTCTACCTGTAAAACTTTTCACATTTTCAACATCTCAAGAACCACTGGGCCAAGTTCAACCAAACTTGCCACAAAGCATCCTTGGATACTGGGGATTTAAGTTTGTTCAAATGAAGGACCACAAATTCCCTTTTCAATGGGAGATGATTAGAATTAGTGAAAATTTAAAGGCATCTTTTAAAAACCATTGGGCTAGATAAGATGAAACATATGCAAAAGCTTCATTACAGTGTAGATTCAGCTTTGTTCAAATCATGACCCCTGGGTTAGGGTGGGGCCACAATGGACTATCAAAGTTTTACATAGGAATACATGTATATAGGAATAAAACTTTAAAAATCTTTTTCTCAAGAACACCAAAGCCATAATTAGTCATATTAATATGGAAGCATCCAGGGGTAATATGGATTCAAGTTTGTTCAAATCATCACACCCAAGGGGTAGGGTGAGACCACTTACATGTCAGATTAAACTTTTCAATACTGATTTCTGCTTTTCTCTAGCAGTGACCAAAGTGCTCAAATGAGCAATGTGGCCCATGGGCCATTTATTCTGTCTTATGACAGCATCTAGTTTGATTTCAATCTTGTCAATGGTTTATGTGTTGATGTGAAAATATATGATATGTATATGGTGAGAGATCAACCTTTTACGTACACAAGAATTGAGTCTGACTCCTTATATCACCAAAGCAACAATTACCACTATCAAGACTTCAGACATTTGAAATAAACTAAAAAATACAGTAGCACTGCCATTTTTATGCTTCAATTTAATCATCAACAATTACAATTTTAGATCAATAAGTTATTAATTTATCTAATGAAAACATCCTGCAATTTTTGTTTTGATCATAAAATGCAAATACATGTACATGTATGTGTTACATTTAAGTTCACAATTATAGTTTCTTAAATCATTAAATTTACATAATCTGTATAATAATTATGCAAAATTTGGAATTTTATGAATTTAAGTCTATATATTTTCTTTTAATATTCATTTACATTGTAAAATGAACATCATCAAAATCTTCCTGAATACTCAAATTACAATACATATGTACATGGTTCAAAGCAATCTGAAAAGAATTTCAATCTGATTAACTGAGAAAAAAAATACTTGACTTTTTATTTTATTCACTGTCCAATGGTTGAAAGCACTAAATATTCACCTTCATTCCCTACTCATCTTTTCTCCAATTCTATTTTCTCCAGCAAAAACAATTCTAGCATTAGATGCTTGTGGAGTGCTTTTAAGTTCACACACAATTACACTTTCAGGTGTCATATTGTAAGTCCACAAGTTTTTATTTGGAAATTTTGACATCATTCGCATATCAAGCAGCTCTCCTTGAAAGACATCCTTGTAATACAACCTTAGCTTTGAAGCAGGTATCCCCACAATATTAGAAATGGTTTTCATTAAGTCTTTGACTTTTTGGAGTGTATTCACTTCAACTCGTTCCTCTCGTTCTTGGAAGGGGATCTCTAGAAGTAGATCTAATGTTGTGGTCACACTCATGTCCACTTCAGCCAAAGGGTCCAGTCTCCCATATATAGACTCAAGCTCATAGTACCTAAAAAACACAAAATTCTTATTACCCGGTAATCCCCTACCGGTGAAACTGGAGGGGACTACAGGCTTCCTCCTCATCTGTCTGTCTGTATGTCTGTCAATCTGTCTTTTCCTCTGTTTTTCTGTCAGTCTGTCCCACTTGGTTTTCTGGACTTTTTTTCTAATTAAAACACTTGCAGATACTGGGCTGATCTTTTGTATGTGAATCTACCTTGATGAGTTGCAGATCAAGTTTGCATTTCTTTCTACTTCGATGGTTTTTGATGGAATTATGGCTTTTTTAATATTTAAGGGTTTTTCAAACTTTTTTCTAAACACTTGCAGATATTGAGCTGATTTTTGGTATGTGAGTCTACCTTGATGAATTATAGATCACATTTGCATTTTGTTCTGCTTCAAAGATTTTTGACGTAATTACTGCATGTTCAATTTTTAAGGGAAACAAGATTACGCTTGCAGGTAAGGAACAAGAATTGCTAATGCAATAGTCTCAGAATGCTTGTTTAATATATCTTTTTAAAATAGCACTTTTGAATCCTGTAATACAATTATCAATCTGTGATAAACTCAAATTATACTTCATGTACTATGCCTCATACTAGTATGACACATGTATGTAAAGCTTTGTCTTTCACATTGTTAGAATTTTGACCATGAAATTCTTGTGTATGTGAACATTAACAATTGTATAATGTATTTTCTCCATTCAAAATATTTTATAGGTAGCTTAGACAATTGTTTTACACAATTCAGGAAGTTCTTTTCTCTTGGTATCTTAAATAATCTGTTTGAAGTGTACTGATAAGTAAATGTTGGTAAAATTAAAGCTCATTTCTTTATCAGTTACTGTATGTTACAGCCTTATAATCCAAACTCTTATCGACCAGGTAGTATAGAGGTTTTGTAGATAAGTCCTTTTTCGCTTGCTCAAACTCAGAAACTGATAAGGGAAATTCATAAACACATTTCATTTAATCAAAACTAAAAATAATCATTAAAGCCTAACATACATGTAATTACAGTCTTACTTCCTCATCTTGAACTGGATGGGAATGAGAAAAAAAAATTGAGACAACAGGAAATGTAGAATTGCAGGAATCTAAAAGTTATTAACTAATGATTCAATTCCCTACATTATATATGTAACTTTTTATCTCTGCTCCACACTTCCTCTTCAAACAATTTTGTATTATATGCTTTGAGTGCTTTTATGCTCACATACAGTGACATGTTCAGGTGCATGGTTTACTTGTTTGTCCAGAGGCTTTCATTAGGAGAATCAAAACAAGATCTGAATATCAAGCAACTGTCCCTAATACACAATATGGCACTATGTCATCAGGTCTGATGCAGGTATCCCCTCAATATTTGAGACAGATTTCATTAAATGTTTCACTTTTCTAACTAGTGTATTGATTTTTAATGGTTCCTCTTGGACTTGGAGTGGGATCTGTATTGCTAGTATCACTAAAGTGTATTGAGATGAAAGGATTCAAGCCAACTTCAGTCAAGGGACTCAACCTCAAGCTCATAATATCTCAATTGCACCCAGATCTTATGACCAAAAATATTGCAATGTAAGCTTTAATTTAGGGGAGGTGGGGGGGGGGGGGGGGTAGGAATTCAAGATGAGTTTGCATGAGCATACAAACTCTGTCATGATGATTGTCTCAATTCCAGCCCTGAAATGTAAGTACAAATAAGGCCCATAGGGGGCAATTTAATTTTTTTTTTTTGAAGGGGCGGGTGGGGAGGGGGACACTATCAAGCAAAAATTCCTTATTAAGAAGCAATCATCAGACATTATCCTTGAGGTGGCATACATATAAAGTAGAGATGTTTTCATAAGTATAGAATAATATATATTGGCAAAATTACTTGGGGGGGGGGGGGGGGGGATGGACCTACAGGTTCCTACAGCCATGCACATGCACACAATATAAAACTAGCTCATAATAGGCATGTGTTAACTAATGAACAATGCTCCAATTCCCACTCTTTTTACCATCGATTTCTAAAATTTCCACAGATACATTAACTGACCTGTCTGGTTTATCTTCACTGTTCATGTATAACCTGATAAAGGCCCTCTCTGCATCTTCCCTCTCACATTCTGATATCGGTGTTCCATTTAAACACTGTATGTTGGGTAATCTGGAGATCAACTGCTGTCGGCGAGACTTCTCTTCAATTTCCTTCATTTATTTATAAAAATTTATAAAATATCTATAAATGTACCATTTTTGAAGCAATAAACTAATTATAGGAAATCTTATATAAACTGACAGCAAGAATTCAGTTATGTGTAATTCATAATACTGTAGATCACTAAATTTTTGTGACACCTTATTTTCACGAGACATTCATTAACTCTTTATAAGCGAGACAAAATTTTCAAGAATTGTGGTTATTGTTCTATATAATCTTAAGGAGTACTAATATACGAGAGAATGAAATTTTCGCGAGCACACTGTCTCACATAATTACGCGAAAATAAAGTTCTCATGAATAAAAAGTGATTTACAGTAGATGGAACACTGAAAAGTGAAAAATATCAAATAAATTAAATAATGAAATGCAGTCCAACTAATAACTGTAATTTCATCTTACAACCAAATCAATACAGTATGAAGAAAACACCCATGTTCTTGAGCACAACTCAGTTGTAATATGAACAAATGTGACATTGTTTGACCTTGACCTTGTCAAAATGACCATGTTTAGTGTCAACAATCCTCTTTTTACCATAAGTATGACCTTTTGTTGTTTCACCATTACACATTTATCCATGAATCAGACATTAAATTTACATATTGATCTACTCTCTGTGACCTTGACCTCATTCAAATGACCTGAAAAAGGATCATGTGATACATCCACTGATAAAAATTTACCTTTGTGGTAAGTCTGAGTCTTTAATTCTCCATTACAAAAATATGGACTAGACAAAGGATTTTACATTTCCTATCTCTGTGAGGTTGACATACTAACCTTGTCTAAATGACCCTCAAAAGGACATGACACACCTTCTGCTCATATACATGTATAACCTTTTTGAATTGTTCTATTACTTCAAAAGATATGAAAAAGATTAAAATTGTAAAAAGCCAAAGAGGCGGACAAACAGAGCACACCAATTCATCACCAATCTTTTACTCCGGAGGTGTATAAAATTCTACAAGATTGCTCTCCCTGTAAATGGCAGAAGATTAAAGAGCTACATAACTGCAATGAAACTACAATAGCAGGTTAAAGTCACTATACTTGTTCTCATACTGAGAGATCCCAAATAAGGTTATTTGTAATTGTTTGATAAAAAACTCATGTGGAAATGCCATGTGTAGCCAAAAATCACTTAGACCTTGAGTGAAATTATTCAATCTCTATACTGTATATACTCGGCTATAAGTCAGTTTTTTGGGTATAGTTAAACTTTGGTCCAAAACCCTTTATCCGACTTATACACGAGTTATAAAAAGATTGGTATTTTAGCAAGTCAATCCCTCAAATTTAAACTTAAAAAATACAACCGACTTATAGGCGAACTGACTTATAGGTGAGTATATATGGTAATAGTAGTTATGATGTTAGCTGAAACCAATTTTTTGAAACCAAAGGAATAGTCTACCATGTTTTAAGCCTTTTTTGCATAATTTTTTCCATACAAATCGTGGTACATGTACTGTACCTCTAGAAAAGGAATGCCCAAAACTTTAAGATCCACCAGTGCTGGACACTGACGAAGCATCTCAAAATCTTCCCAGTCATGCAACTTTGTTTGGGTGAGAGAGAGACTCTTCATCTTTGAAAAAATTTCTTCCATGTTGTTTTCCTCTTCATTTTGAGACCTGAGGTTCTCCAAATCCGATTCAATGTTCACAAAATGTTCGACATTTGGAAAGAGTCTACCGACTTTATGTAAAACAGACCAATCTTTGATTTTGTTCTTTGACATATGAATTTTCTTGACAGTTGGGTATGTTTGGAAAGGATCTGGTAGTGAAATGTCTTCATGTTCATTCAGACTTAAGTGAATTTCTGTTAGACTGAAAAATATACCAATAAAACTACATGTATGTTGGAAAGACAAATACATAAACTGTATTTAAGCAACACAATTTTTTTAGTCCTCAGTGTAGTAAATGTATTTTTCTTAAATATCGAAAATTTGCACTTTGGGACAGATGATTTTTTTTTACTTATTCATGATCAAAACAATGTAAGGTTTTGTTACTGCATACACTTTCATTTTGCTCATAGCCAATATTGTAATTTCTATCAAAATATGCTTTTTAACTACTTTGAGATTACAGAATTGTGTCCCGTTTCTTCATTTTTAATATCAATTTATGGATCATTACATGTATTAATGTTAATTTTTCTAATGTGAGATTTTTGTTCTGCATTGAAATTAACAAAAGTAAAATACACTGAGCAAATAAATATGTATATATATAATTTCTGCACACTTACGATGGACACAGAGTTAGAAAATTATGAGTAACATCCCAAGACACCCCAGTGTTGTTCAGAATAAGATGCTGTAGATATGAGAAAGCACCAAGGTCTGTGTCATCTGGCCAGGAGTCATTGTCAAGAAAATTAGCACACAGGTTCAAGAAGTTAATTTTGGGCATACAGTCTATCAAACAAAGTACCTAAAGAAAAAAGGTAAGTTTAAAACTCAACTAATTGAAACTTGAAATGTGCATTCCACTGGTAACCCCCCCCCCCCCCCCCAGTAATTTTTTTTTTGAAGATCTTTTGGAGACTAACATCCTTAAAAAAAATTATCTTGAATTTCTTAAAGAGACTAAGGCCTTTTAATATATTATCTTAGATTTTAAACAAGATGTATTTGTGAAACACTGATGCCCCCATATGGCAGCCCATGGTGAAGTCTAAAGTTTCTCAATTGCAAGTCAACTTCAAGATCAAGGACAAGAAATGTTGGTATCTGAAGAAAACTCTTGTCACATGGAACAGACCTGTGAAATACGAAAGCCCTAGCACAAACCATTCAAGAGTTATGGCAAAGGTTAAAGTTTATCAAAAGTAGCTAGGTTAATCTCCAAGGTCAAGTTGAAAGGGTAAAAAATAATAGTGCCCAAGGGAAGGTCTTATCACAAGGAATACACATGAAATTTATGGCAAAGGTTAAAGTTTTTCAGAAGTTGGACAAACTACCAACGTAGAGATCAAAGTGTAAAATTTTTTGGTACTTATAGCAGTGTTTGAAACTCACAGTAAGATTAGCTACACATGCAGACTGCTAGTGAAAGTTGTCAGCCCTGCCAGAAATTAATCTGCTAGCTTGAGAAAATAATTGTCTTTTATAAATTTGCTTTTGCCAATAATGTGAACGGGGCAAGATCACAATAACTTCCATCCTGAATCTATGGGCTGTTTAATTCTACCACTTTGCTTGTTACACATAACTACGGTACCGATACTTTTATTGATTTGAGATATATTTATCAAATATATGAATTTTAATTTATGGGAAATTTTAACATGTCCAGTCAGGTGTTGATAAGTTCAAATCTGTTCACCTGCAGCATAATTTGTGCGTCTCAGGCGGTTAGGTGGGAGGCTATTTCAAATACTGCTTACGGTAAGGTCTTGTCACAAGGAATACATGTGTAATATGAAAGCCTTAGCTTCAACCATGCATGAAATATGACTGAGATTTGATAACTATTTATAGCAATCTAATTATGTTCACTAGCAGCCACCTCTTTTTAATATAGTAAAAAAATCTGTTAATTATTGCCATATGTAATTTCTGCAATAAATTTGGTGACACTGTCACACTGATCACATGACAGACCAGCTGACACTTACATCTTTCCAATCTGTCAAGAGATTCTTTGTCAGATCCAGCTCTGTAGTGACACTGCACATTTCTTTCAGCTTCTTTATATCACCAATGCTATTTATTCCCTCATTATCTAAAACCAGGGCAGGTGGAAGGATCAGAGCATCTAGTAAAAGGAATACAGAAATATTCCTTATTTCTCTATCAGGCTAAAAAAAATATGTACTCTTTATTTAAAAGTTAAAAAACAAACAAACAAGCATACATACCAGTATTTAATGTTGCATGACAAAAAAAGTAACATTGAATAGCAATTATGAATAAGGTACATTTTCAGATCTAAATGGTTTATCACTTTTAATTCAAGTGTTAGTATCAATAAAAAACACTATAGGTTCTACAGAGGATGCACAATGGTGTCACAGAAACTGTAAAAGATCTAAGGTCTGATATGTAATCATTTTCAGCATAAAGCTTTGTCAATACATATGTACATTTTAATTTTCCTGATTATTCTTTGAAAAATTGAACCCAGTTCAAAAAATTTAATTAAAAATACTTTTTTAAAATTTTCTAAAGCATGCAGATGCATATTTGGGATAGACATTTACCACTCTCACTTGATGTAGATTCCTGTCTTCTCCTTGGGACAGCTATAAAATCAAAGGACTCGTCATCTCCTGGGCCATATTTAGCAATAATGGCATCCACCAAAGAAGTCATATTCTTATTCTGCAATTAAATATTTCTGTTATTAATCCTTGTCAGAAAAATATCTCAAATTTCCATGAAAACCATGTCATCAGCTAGTGTTTTTTTAATCCAAAATTCAGTGGAATACCAAGGTAGTTTACCCAAAGGCAAGTGGTCAGTCAAATTAAATAATTATTTTCCCAATCGTTTTTAAAGATTTCAATGAAATATTTCTCCCAAATAAGATAAAAGGCTTCTTTTAAAATCATGAATGAAAAGACTGTCATCTCCAACAGCTGACTAATAGGGCAAATGAGTGGGAAATTGGAACATCAGGACAAATACATTTTGCAAAGCAAATTTTATAAAGCAACTAAACATATATACCACTGTCAACTTCAATTTGCCAGTGGTAGTTAGTAGTCACCTACTATTTAAAACATGAAAATATATGTTACAAATGTAACCAGAAGAAAACGTGATGGAACCAGACCAAGAATCAAACCAGGTCAACCTGCCTACCTCCTCCAATGACCCAATGGAATCACCATGCAGTCAGGCAGGTCTGATCACCAGTATCCAGTAGGTAGTTTAGTTTGGTAGAGCCCTGACAAGTGATTCAATTCTTGTGATTTAAATCTTGGTGTGGTCCATTGCATTTTCTCCTTGTTATACATAACAGACATGAAAGCTAGGATATGCATGCGCAGTTGCACACAAGTGGAAAAACAAAATTATGTTTCAGAGAGGAAAGGAATGGATCTTTAAATTAACCTTGAGTAAAAACTGAAAAAAAAAATCTGCCATTTTTCACAAAATTTGAAAAAGTTGTCCAACTTCTTAAATATCCCATAAAATCACTACTCAAATGCCAATACGTATTTTATTTCAATATGCTTTTAAGTTTTAAATGTCTCTTCGATTTTTTTATATTGCTTATATTAATGTTTAGAATATGCTTACCAACAATACCTTTTTAACTGAAGTGTTGTAATAATTTTGCCAACTGAAGTGTTGTAATAATTTTGCACAAAAATTGACCTTTTATCAGTTAATCATAATATAAACATGATCAAGTGACCATGAATTTGATCACTGATCACTGGTGACTCATTTTCCAAAAGGTCCACACGCTATTTTTTCAGATGACAGCTTTGCGTGGAATAAAACATACCTCACAAAAACTTACTTTTCAATTGAAAAGCATCAAGAACATTCTATATAAATTGCTAAGAGTGTGAATATCAAATTAAATCAATCTATGTAAACAATGACTTAAATCGAAAGTGAAAGTTAAACAGGGCATACTATAAATTTTCAATAATAAGGTTTTATTTAAAAGAAAAAATAGCTTCTGGTTGTGAATTTCATTTTACTATGGATATTTGTGAATAAAGTAGAATGATAATTATTTTCTCGTTTTTGATTTATAAAATATTAATATGAAAATTTATATGGTAATAGATTCCTCGTACAACTTACCTAGGAATCCACGTCACTCTGTCAGAGTCAGAGGCTAAAACTGAAAGTTCTACCAGACTAGAATGACAGATAATTATGGTTCCAAGTTGGAAGGAAATATAGATATTCCTGAAGTTGACCAAAATTTCAAAGGGTACAGTATATTCATTTCATACTTGATTTTTAATCTAGAAGAGCTCCATTACCATGGATATCTGTTCTATATGGTGTCCGGATAGGGCCATTTGCAAAAGCTCAACAGCGCGTTCAGAAAAACACACCGTCGCCCTAACACACAACACGCCGTCACGCTAACACACAACACGCCATCGCGCTAAAACATCATTGAACAACACGCCGTCTCGCAAACACAAGTTCGCACAACACGCCCTCGCGCTTAAACACACAACTCGCCGTCGCGCTATCACAAAGTTGTGTTAGCGAGTTGTGTGACAGCGTGTTGTGTAAAGTTGCGGTAGCGCGACGGCGTGTGGTGTGGTGTATAAGCGCGATGACCTGTTTTGTATAATTGTGTTAGCATGATGGCATGTTGTGTCTTACCGCGATGGCGTGTTTTTTCTGAATGCGTCGTTGAGCTTTTGCAAATGGCCCTATCTGGACACCATAGTCCTAGGCTTTACTCTCTGATTAATAGGTTGGGACCCAGCTGCAGAACTGTAAAATTATGGCCAAAGACTAAAATATACAAGAATAGATATAGGTTACCCCATATCCAAGATATTCGACTTTTAATTTACTTGATTTTACTGATCTCTAAGAAAAAAAATGCACTATGAAACTGTGAAATAGTATGAGACTGATGTATTACAGTATAGTTCTTCATATCTATAGCAAATACTGTCACCAGTCTTGCATCACTAGCAAACAGTGCACATCGCTTGCAACTTGCAAGACCAAATAGCCTACTGCTAGGTCTACACACGTGCAATCAGAAATCTGTGCTCGTGTTGTATAACCATTCCGTCATTAAAAGAAAAGAAATACACACAGTACACACACACAATTAATGATTAACATTCTCTCTCAGAAGAAATTTTATGATAATTAACGAACAATAATCATGAAAGTAATATAATTGGTGAAAAAATTGTCAATCCAAGAATGACCTATATATTTTCATGAAAAAGACTGAGGAGGCAGCTAGCATAGGAATTTGAACACTTCTTATTTACACTTCTGGGGGGAAAGTGATTTTCTTACAAATATTTTATCTTAATTTTGTTTTCTCCCACGCATTACATACACATCGATATTCTAAACATTTGTTGTAATGTTGTATCTGCTGATCATGCATGGAACTATATTTTTTCAGAGCAATTGTTTGAAGAGTACTTTAGTAATACATCTTGAATAGATAGTATGCACTGATCGAATATATATATATATATATATATATATATATATATATATATATATATATATATATATATATATATATATATATATATATCGAAACCACAATGCTACAGTTCTGCAGCTATATTTACAATGAAAAAAAATGATGCAGATATATGATATTTAAAGCCAAAATAAAAATGTTCTTTTTTTTTTGAACTGTAAATTTATATCCCATTTGGGATTTTTATCCCAGATGGATTATTATAGTCGGTGTTTTGGCTAATACCTGGTACTAGGGTAATTAAGACCCTTTGAAGTTAATATTTGGGAGTCAAAGAGAATTTTTGATGGTCAAAAAATATTCTGGGTTTGCTTTCAGTTCTTATATTAGCTGTGCTTTCTTACATCATAATTTGATGTATAAAAAAATTGAATGTTAAATATCATTGTACTTGTTCTTTTATTTACACATTTTACCAATTCGGCCATTTGGGTTTCTCGAAATATCAGTCAAGAGTCTCTGAGTTCCGCTGACCTTTCTATTAACAACATCAGCCTTTTTGACAAAGCCAAAATGAAATATATATGCTGATGTCAGATATGATATTTTTTATTCTGACTTCTGTTTTTGTTAGGAATTGGATAGATTGTTCAAAAATTTAGAAAGTTCAAATATAAGTTAATAAACTGATTCTATCTAGGCAACAACATTGAACTAAATTTTTAAAACTTGTTTATGTATTTTTTCTGCATCATGATGACCCTTGGTGATGTTTAAGGGGGTAAAAAGTATTTTTTTATGCAGAAATTATGCAGAAATTTGAGTTAACAGAAACACTGATATCCCATTTGGGTGATTGGTCCCAAACTGTTTATTTAACTTTAAGTAAAGCCATTCATGTTCATGTACCTGAGTTACTGAAATGCTAACCCATTTATGTCTTATTAAAGTAATGTATTAATTCATCTTTGCAGATCATTTTTATCTTCTGCTTTACAGTCAAGGTATTCTTTTTTTTCTTTTATGGCTTATTATATAACAGTAGGAGGTGTAAGGGATTTGTATTAAACATGCTTTTGTATATGTATTATGTATGTGGACAGATAGCTCATTTGAGCATACCGGTACTTCTATCTAGAGTTTATGGGTTAACTTTCTATTTTGGCAGATTGAGTCCTTTTATTTCCTCTTTTTCATATGTTAAGTCTACATACTGTAGACATACTTTTTTTTGTGTGGGATTAATTTCCGCTATGTACGCGGTCACAATTTATCCACAGAAATTTGTCACATCGTACTTAAGATTCATTGAGGAGATATAATAATGATCCAAAATATCCCCGTAATTTTATACTCAAGGATTGAAGAGAAATTGTGATTCCGCTGAATTTTGATCCCATGGAATAAAGTACGTTTACAGTAACTTAAAATTGATGTATTTTTATGTTGATGGTGTGACTGTTGGGTCAAGCGCAGATGTGTGTTTCAGTTTTAACTTACATCTTCTTCAAACTGCATGAAACATTTGGAATGTCTAGACTGTGAAATCACATGACATTGGATGCTAGTTTGCATTACCATAATGTAGTCTGAAAAGTGCAAATTTTAACAAAGAATATTTAATCTACTATTTATTTTGCAATATCCATTAAATCAAGGTGAGTTTATTATTTGTTGAACTTTAATTGATACTGCCAGAACTTAGGTAGCAGCGAGATGCATAAGCATTGCATTAGTAGGTCTAGGTTACTTACTTCATCCAAGTGTTGCTTTAAGAGCTTAAGAGTGTCAAGCGATGCTTCCCACTGCTCGCTGGGGTCGCTACAGATTCTTCGGGTGCGAGCCCCTGTTAAACAAAAAAATATTTTAGATATTGTTTTCAAGCTCATACATAGGATCCATGTAATAGAGGTAAAATTACAGTCGTTTTTGAGTCAAGGTTCGAACTCCACTTAAAGTTTCTCAGAAGCTTGCAGGGGTTTTGCCCAATGATCCCCACCAAACACTGCCCTAGTCCTGCTAGGAATCTTGGCAGACCCCAGACTGTTTGTCATCTAATGGTGGCTTCCCTAATGCAAAATCCTGGATTAGCAATTTTGATTTACATCAGAATAGGTGAATTTGAAGTCTCTACATAGCCCCTGAACAATATGTTAGCCTGGCCATAATGAGCGTTATTTGTACAGTGCATTCAAAATAACCTAGCTGTCTACCCTAGCAGCTATGGTCTTGAATACAGCCCATATATACTTTTAGAGTAATCCAGATCGCAGCCATAATATTTTCTGCATTCCTCCTTACAAAAATTTATGTTATTAGTCTTTTAAGTTTGAGTTACAGTTGTCTCATGTTCCCCTGTAGTCTTACTGTGATTTATCTAACTAAGTACTATCTACATGTTGTTACTACAGCTGGGACTTGTTGCAATTCTTGTTCCCCACTTTCACTGAAAGTGGGGGATATTTTGGGTCTGTCCTTCCGTCTGTCTGTCATTATGTCTGTGTTTAGCACTTTGGTTTAGGATAATATCACAAAAAGCTTTTGCAGTGAAATTTCATATGAGAACTCCTTATGACCCAAGCAAACCACTATTAATTTTGAGTCAGAAAGTCAAAGGTCAAGGTCAGACATTTATACATTCTATCTGTGTGTAACACTTTTGTTTCTAGACAATATCTCAAAAAACCTTTGAGCTTTTGCAGTGAAATTTTATATCACAACTCTCTATGGTGTAAGGAAAAATCCTATGGGTCAGAAATTCATACATTGCAAAAAATGTGGTTTGCAGATTATAATGATATCTTAAGTTTTCCTTGAGCTTTTTCAATAAAATCTTTTATCATAACTCCCAAGGACTTAAAGAAGACCTCTTTTTAGTTTGAGGTCAAAAGGTCAAGGTCAAAAATTCATATCTTGCATAAAATGGTTTCCTTGTGACAATTTTATTCCTCTTTGAGATTTTGCAATGGAATTTTGTAGTTTAAGTCAATATGACTTAAAAAATACCCCATTGATTTTGAGGTAAAATACTGTAAAAAGTCAAAAACCTTTGGTTAGAAATTATACTGCATAAATAGTTTTCGTATCATAAATAGTTTTCATTTCATAAGTTCAGTTCTCCCTCTCTGCAATGAAAAGTAAAGTCATGAATTTCTTAAACATGAAAAGACTGCTATTGACTTTTAGGTCAAAAGCTGAATGTCAAGATCGACCTTTTTTTTTCTCTGCCTGCATTTTTTCAGGTCTTCTATCATTTTCTTTTTTTCTTAACTGGGCAGCACAAATTCCCTGAATTAGCTTGTTTTAAATGTTTATGTACAATATTTAGATATTAGAAGTGTAAATTATAAAATATCAGTGGCGGATTTAAGGGGGGGGGGGCGCACCCGGCGCGCGCCCCCCTAAAATTGTCAAAGTTAGCATAAATCATTGTTTCGTCGAGAAAATGTAAAAATTTCTATCCGTACTCGGTAGACCACATTTTTACCTTACAAAATCTCTAGAATTCAGGAGCTTCCGGGGGCTTCGCCCACTGGGCCCCCACCTGGGCTTCGCCCCCAGACCCCCTGCCTACTTTTGGTGCCCCCTCTAACTTAAATTCCTGGATCCGCACCTGAATATGAATATGTTAGTACATTCTATGGTAAATATTTCATAGATTAGACTTGGTAACTAGAAAATTTTGATTTTTAGGTAGTAACATATTTGAATCAGTAATGTTTAATTACCATAATATGCCAGGTATATGCAGTAAAAATACAAAATTTACAAACTGTGATCATGAGGAACATGATATGCATTTAATTTCAAGTAATTGAGAAACATGCAAAAAGTACTTTAAACTCAATCACGTCAGAGCAATCTGTCAGGCATGGCTTTATTGTGTCAGAGCATGTATACATGTATAGCTTTTGCAGAGACATAAATAACAGAGATTCGCAACTCTGCTATTAACATATACATGTACATGATGATGTATTTACTAAAGTATGTGATGTCCCGGTATTACATAAATATATTTTTTGTGTTGCTTTATTGCATAAGGATTTTTCTTCGACAAACACACAGACAAGACATCACGTCTTTGAAACACTATTGTGACATAATTACGTTTATGTCTCGAAGGTCCCTTTTCGCTTGACGCAACTCAAATAGTTTCTGATGCATGTAAATGCTCTTTAATGTACTAATTAAGTCATTTTATTTATTATCACAGAAAGAGCCAAACTATTGATAAACTTGTCCTTTAAAAATTGTTACAAGCTTCTTCTTTTTACTGCAAACATAAAAAATGCTGCATGTTTTTCTTTTAAATGCATGAATGCTCAATATATTTTGCTCTGAGATGTAGTACATTATGTGAATTATTAGTAAGTTTATAACACTCCTGCCAGATGGCTGAAAAAAAACTGTGTTATTTTAAACCTTATCACATGATATAGTAAAGGTTGGCTATGCAAATATATCTTCAAGTGTACAGATGTAAAAGCTTCCCCCTATTGAGTTTATAGATAGACAGCTAGTTCAGTCAGATTATAATGTTTTATGTTTTGTGCTTTGTAATGTTAATGAATTTCAGCTGTAAGTATCAGAAATTAATGAATCAAAAAGAAAAGGAAAATCCCAAAGTAATAAATAATTTAATTATTATTATATTAAACAATATGTTTATTTGGGTTTGTCTGTGATGTTGTCTTTTGTATATTGTAGAATGTCTATATCACTGTCTAATGTAAATGCCAGAGAATGGTTCACCAAGACCAGAGAGGGTGTCAAACCATGGGCTGAGTTCTTCAACTTCAACAAGTTTAAAGTTCCCAAGTCAGTAGCACCTGTTCCTAAGCGGGTGGTACGAAACATTGAACAATTCCAGAGTAACTACATGTTTGTCTTTGGTGGTCTTATTGTTTTCTGCATGTAAGTATAGAGGTACACATGTACTGAATTCATATCAATTATCCAGTACTCGTCAGATGATAAGATCTGAACAATCTGAGATTGATTCTTCATTCTTGACAATGAATAGAAACAGAGAAGAAAAATAAAATATTACTTTCATTCAGAACATTTTATTTATGTTTTTGTTGCATTTCTTTTAAAGCAATTGGTGGGAGTTTGCCAGGGTTTTAATTGCAAGTTTTACATTTCCTTACAAGGGATATTCCAGTGAAAATAACTAGGATCTGAGGGAGATGTACCAATTAAATGATTTTAAATTAGTTCATTACTAAAAATTGGGGGTCTATCCAGTTTTGAGCTAAAGAGATTAAAATACCAAGTACATGTAAAATAAAACTTACAAGTTAATAAAACCCTAAAAAATTTATCAATATGGAATTTTTGCTGTAATATTTTCCTGTGGCCTACATGCAACAGTTATCATTGGAAGATTTTTAAGTTTTCTGCCTTATATTTCTCTGATCTACTACAATGGAAAGTATCTCAGCAGCATAATTGTAGAAATTTCCAAAAATGTATTGAAAATGCATTGAAAATTAATCAGTTACTGTTTTTATGGAAACAAACACATCCTTAATATTAAAGTTTTAATGGATTTGGGAAACTTTTTAGCAATACACATGTACAGGATTTGTCAGACTGTGATGTAAAAAGTTGTGTATTTTCCTTCCTGAAATTTGAAAAAATCATTACTATCATGACATGGAGAAAATTTTATTTCATAAGATGAAAATAATGCTATCTATTCTTTTAAAATTCATTAATTTCAGTTCACTTTATGCTCAAAAGTTTTAGAAAAAGCTGTTTCATTTACAAGTGTTTCATATTAATTGTTTCAGTTTGACGTCCCCCTTACTGTTGGTGGCAATAGCAGTCTGTCTTGGAGCTTGCTACATCATAAGTCTGAAAAACCAGGAGAGAAAAGTCAGAATATTAGGTATTCAGCACCATGTGCATTTGCTACGTACAGATTATACCAAAAGTTTTATCTCATACAAAGATTAACCAGTAAAATAATTTAGTCAACACTTTTTTATGTTTTTCAAAACATTGTTTAATTTAAACATTACAGGTATGAATATCTTTGTTGATTCGTTGTCCATTTTATTGTAGGGAAAGAATTAAGTTTGGTCCAGCAGTATGCTGCTGTTGGATTGTGTTCTTTTCCTATTTTCTGGTTGGCTGGGGCAGGATCAGCTGTTTTCTGGGTCATAGGTCAGTACCAAACTAATGCTTGCTGTTAACTTATGTTGATGTGTTAAAGATCGATGTACCTTAATTTTATTAGATTGGAATTGAATGATGATGTATTGTAATTAGGATGTTTTGTGTAAATATGTTTTGTAGGTGCCTCCTTCTTTATTATCATGCTCCATGCTTCAATGTACATAACAGCAGAGGAGGCAGAAGTGATAGAGCTGGAAATGGAAGAAGTCTAGAAATTCTTCAGGCTCTACTTCTTATACTGTGGCAATATCATATTTGTCTCTACAGAGGGCAAGGGAACTCATCATTTTCTGTTTAGTGAAATTCATTGTATTTGTGACCATCAGATGGGGTATTATTTTACAATATTACAATATTATGGATGTATAACTTGTTATACAATCATTTTGATATGATGACAATCTATGTCCATACATGTAACATGTCAAAATTTTTACTTGCATTTAACTGTTATCACATAACCTAGCTTTTCCTATGCCATTCCAAGTCTCTCCCATACAGAGATTTAAAGAAAAAAACACATTTATTCCATGAAGATTCTTATTTCTGAATATATATGTGAACAAATATTTTCAATGAAACTTTTACTTTATACATGTATATTTTTAGATGGAATTTGAAATGTTGCTTGTTGAACTTCAGTAGATCAGAAAATAGGTGTTTTAACAAATGTGTATTGAGAAATCAATACACATACATGTACTAGTGATGTGTCTCCATGCAATCATTTATTTTACTTAAAATTTTATGCTCACTTTTAAAACAAAAATCAAGATCTACTGTGAAATCACTAATTTTCATTGGGGTTCAATTTTCCTTGTTTTTGTGGTATGACGAGACCCAGGAAGTACTATGTCCTCCATGAAATGTAAAGTTTGAAATATATAACAACTTGACACTTCAACACCCACAAAATCATCCCCACAAACCAATAATTTTTCCTCGAATACGATCTCACAAAAATATGTGATTGGGATTGTTAAGTGTAAATTAAATCCCCCCCCCCCCCCTCCAGAAAAAAGATAATCTTAAGTTTGAGTGTAAAGCAAAGTTATTTAGGCTGTAATAGACATACATGTAATTTTATTTAGAGATAATATAATTTTCTTTTCTAAACTGTCATTTGTCAACTGTTTTTTTTTTTTGTTTTTTCCCAGCTGTGGATAATTACATTTATATGAAATGTAAGATTTTGCCTTATCAATTTTTGAAAAACATTTAATTTATTTTGATGTCGTATCTTTTAGATGTACATGATATATGTATATGAATCTCATTTATTGTTTTAATCATATGAAGAATTTTGTTATCATGTAGATATAGGGACTTACATGTAAAAGTGATATAAAAGCATGTAGTCTTAAAAAAGATGAAAATACTTGTGATACAATGTTAATTAGTTATAAGTGATAAAATCATTTTTTTTATTAGCAATGCATGCCTGAGCTGAAAGTTCAAGTGAGCTTTTCTGATCAAATTTTGTCCAGCTTCTTTCTGTCCATCCTTTTGTCCATCTGTCTGTCTGAAAACTTTTCACATTTTTGATTTCTTCAAGAACTACTGTGCCAATTTCATCCAAACTTTTCACAAAAGACCCTTGGGTGAAGGGAATTCAAGTTTATTCAAATGAGGGCCACATCCTCTTTCAAAGGGAGATATTTAAGAATAAGTGAAAATTTAGTGACATCTTTCGAAATCTTCTCCTCAGTAACAGCAAAGACATGATTAGTCATACTGACACGGAAGCATCTCAGGTAGTGTAGATCAAGTTTGTTCAAATCATGACCCTGGGGAAAAGGTGGGGCCACAGTGGTTGATCACAGTTTTACATAGGAATATATAGGAAAAAATCTTTTAAAACCTTCTCAAGAACCAATGGGCCAGAAGAGTTGAAACTTAGTGAAAGCTTTATTACATAGTATACATTTAAGTTGTTCAATTGATGACTCCCAGAGCTACATGTAGGATGGGGCCACAATGGGTAATAAAAATTTTACATAGGAATATATAGGAAAAAATCTTTCAAAATCTTCTTTTCAAGAACAGCAATGGCATGACAAGTCATATTAATATGGAAGCATCCTCAGATGGTATAGATTTAAATTTATAGCCTCCGGGTGAACATGTAGGGTGAGGCGCCACTAGACGATCAAAGTTTTACATAGAAATATTTGGGGGGAAAATCAGCTGATGAAGAATAGCAGGTCCAGGTGACTATGGTGAGCATTGTGACCTATGGGCCTCTTGTAAATATATATATATATATATATATATATATATATATATATATATATATATATATATATATATATATATATATTCAGTGATTTAATGCGTTTCTGGTGTTTTATTTTTTCTTGATAATACCAATGTATTTTGGCATGCTTATGAAGGAAAATAAATATTTTGAAGTGAATAAAAGTTAACTATTTTAGAAGCCTTTCATTTTGGGGTTGTTTTTTTTTTCAGTGTTATCATACGTCAAAATATGTCTATTGAATAATTTTTGTTTACTTTTTTGGACAGTTACAGATTCAAATTTCTTTTGTTTAAAATTCTATATTAAAATAATTATCCTCGTTCACAATCTGTTCATACCAAAAGGTTAGTTACAATATTAACATGAGGGGGGATAACATTTACATAAGTATTTAACAAAAAAAGTTGACTAAATTTTATGGATTGCAATGTTATTGTGCTCTGTTAGCAGGGAATGCGGTGGTGTGCATTTTTTGTATGCAATCTGTTAAGTTGTGACATCGACAATTTGTTGATTGGACAACCTCGGGAAAGGTTTTAATCTGAAATTCTCAAGTTCTTAAGAATATCAGTTGAATATTTTTAATACCGATTGCATAAGATGTGGTTTCACTTGATCTTCTTATGGGAAAGTAATCTATTGAACTGATTCCTAGGTACAGAACAGGTAAAACGAATGATGAAGAGTGGCAGGAATATATGATTATTCGTTGTTTAAAGCAGGGATGGGGTCAATTACTTTGAAATGAAATTAATTACTTTCAAATACATTGAAAAATTTGTCAAATACTTGCAATTACAATTACATTGATTTTTACAAATGTAATTAATTACTCTCAATTTAAAGAATGTAACTAAATACATTTCAATTACTTTTGTTTTCTTTTCAAAACTCTTGAAGAACAAATATATGTAAATTTAAGGTAGGGGAATATTTAAAATAAATAATGTCAGGTGTCTGTCATATTTGTGTGTCTTAGCAGCATAAGACCTAGTCCTACATGTACATTTATCAATTAATTGACTGCCTTTATGAAATCTGATTAAAAGCAAGTTTTCAAGAGTTTATGAATCAACCGTAAAATTCTCTCAAATTATTTCAGCTACAGGTAGGCAAGCTAAACACCTTAAATTGCAAATGTTGACAAATAATACTTGTTTTAAGAATAACTATTTCAGATACCAAATGCATACATGTATATAAAGGTCTGTTTAAGTGTTAAAATGGTGATTCAATATTTATTTCTTTTCTGAAGTACATGTATATAAATTGTAGAGCATTCTTAATAGTATTTAGGAAATCACCTCTAATGGTCATAACTTTGAATTTAAACAAAGCATGGTATAAAATTTTGGAGGGTTGTTTGATGGCAATTTACAGCTGGGAGTTGAAGCTACAAAAAATTGAAATGTTTTAATGCCTATACCAATGAGAGGTAGATCAAAATTTTTGATAAACATTAAATTAGTATTAATTCTTTATGTGCGTTATAATTAAAAAAAAAAACTTATATTTTTATAAACAAGCCAATATATCAAATTCATTTATGAGATATAAAAGAGTTTAAGATTTTGAAAAACAGAAGGGTTCCTTTGAATAAATTAGAATAACTGTAAAATGTGACTGTGTTGGAAATATTTTCCTATTAAATACACATTATATGTATTATGTTAAGTAATTGAAAAGTAATTGAAATTACAGGGTATATTTTCATTGTAATTAATTATATTCAATTACATGTAATTGAAAAAATGGTCAATTACAAAAAACTTCCAATTACTTTGAAAAATGTAATTAATTACACTCGATTACAATTACTTTTATCAATTACCCCACCCCTGGTTTAAAGTTTCATCAATTACAGTTGAGAAGCCCAGACGAGAGATTAGATATAAATGTAGATATAGGATCATCGTTTCAATCATGCAGTGGGTTTTGGGTACGCTTCATTGCCAGGAAAAACCCGGATAAACTTGAACCTTGAACCTTTATTTTCACTAAAGCCCCCACATGGGGTATATTAGTACAATAAGAGTTTTAACAATTTAACAAATCAACATGTGAACAGTTATCATAATGAAAATATATATATATATATATATATATATATATATATATATATATATATATATATATATATATATATATATATATATATATATATATATATATATATATATATATATATATATTATACCTCATTATTATAATTCTATACAACGAATGAAAAGCATGACAACGACAGGGAAATATGAAGTTTTATGAACCTGTCACGTGATAATCTAGAACCAATCAGATAACGCGTTGTATAGAATTATAATAATGAGGTATAATAATAATATATATATTTAAAATTAGTTTTTGTTTGTTTCGGTATAATGAAGATTTATTCGGGAGAAGCCCTCGGGGAATATAATTTTTCTTGGCTGAATAAATCTTCATATTTCACTTACAATCGTGCAATAAATGTATAATATATTTAAAACTAATTTGAATATAAATCAGCTCAGCATACATTTTTCCTCATGTCACAGTATCAGCCACAATTAAAAAGTTCATCAACGTAATTAATTTTCAGCAAGTCAGGTTTACAAGCATCACATACAGTGTATGATGTGTATCTTCTTTAGCTTTCATTAGGATATTCTTTATTTCGATACGTATCATTTCCGGGAAGATAACTCTGTACTGCACAGAAAAGTATTCATTTTCTACATGGATTGCGTTTAGATATAACACGTGTATAAACGTTAACATAATATTAAACATGTTTACATCTAAACAGTTAATGGAGGTGTTTATTTTCTAAATACAAATTTACAGTAATTTTTTAATGAGTAAAGTAATATTCTAGGTTTAAAAAGGAAAAGAAATCTAGTTTGAATTGCAAATAATACTGGAGAATATACAAATAATATCTTACTTATGATGTGAGAAACCATACTCACTTTTTAACAGCAATAAAATAAAGTAAGACTTCTCGATCCACCATGGAGGTTGGACGAATAAGAACAACACAAAGGAATAATAATGGTTGCATTTATACCATATCACTGTATAAAACGCAACCATTATTACTGTTCATGATGTTCAACAGATGGTGTCTCTGTTAGAAAAGTTACTCCAGGGCTCGAGTTGCTGGACATCACTATTGTGCTTCTTTTTAATATGCGGTTTTATATATATACAGTATTCAATGTCCTTTTTCACTGAAATGTGAAAATACATCTGACGTTATAAAACTGATAAGTGGAATTTGAACACATTACCTCATCCTCTTTTGATAAAGCTAAAATATACACTTCCCTTTCGTTTTATCTGAGTACACATCGGTGTGTTGATGATAAGATATCGTTTTCTATTGTTTTAGAGTGTGTAAAAATGATCAAATTATCATTTGATCCGTTTATATTTACATCTTATGTAAGTTTTTTTTTGTATTTTTTAAAATACCAGTATATAACGTAAAAAAAAATATATCCAGCTGATATAATAAATTGCGTGTTATGAACTGCTCCAGGGTCATCTGAATGCTCTTTCTATCCATGCATATTGTGTCCTCAAATTATATTACAAATAATACTTTACATATATTTCTTGCTACTTAGAGAGAGAGACAGACAGAGAGGAACAGTTGATGTCTCAGTATGCGGGGTTAAATACTGGATATAAAATAGTAACATTTATCCATAATATTAGAAGTGTGTGTATGAGTGTGTTTTTGATTTTTCAAAACGTTATATTTTGACCATTTTTGACAGAATTACAAGAAATTGTTGCACGCTTGTACAATTATAATGTGTAATGTTGCTGCATGGACTGTGTATACGAGGGTTGTCCCAAAAAGTCGTATACAATGTTTATAATTTTGTAAACATTCAACCAATACTAACCAAATTTTGCACAGCCATAATTTATTAAATGTTCCTTTAAAAAGTGGATTTTTAATTATATATCTTTAATAGTAATAATATTATGATGATTTGTAGGAAGGTCGATATGGTCTATCGGCGCACGAACAAAATGCGGAATAATTTACGCATTTAACTATTCCAATTGCATTTGTTTCTCTGGTAATATGTAAAACATCGAATTCAAATTTATATCAATGAAATCAGAAATTAAATCGTAGTATTTTGTTAGATTTTCACGTCAATAGCATATGAGACAGATGATTGGTTTCGTTATTTTCAAAATGTTGTTGGAATTGAGTTTGCTGCAAATGACGTCGTCAAACGCCTTAGCGGCGCATAGGAATGCAATAAAATTGCTTCAAATGTGGTCTGTCTACTTCAAAGATGGAAAATATGAAACAGAGGTGACATATAGCACACTAAAACTCTAGTAGAGAATTTTTTTTTAAAATGGTATACGAGATTCTAGGACAGTTGTTACCTCCGTACCGAAGATAGTTACGTCTATAAGTAGAGTACTTTGTTAAATTCAAACGGTGAGGAACGTTATGGGTCACGATCGACGTCAAACTTTGTGTTTTGCCTACATGTACAATGTAAGGCGACCTTTCGAGGACTGAGATTTGAATCTGATTTAAAAAAAAAAAAAAAACAACTAAGGACATTGGTGGGTTTTACAGAGCCCTTCAGTCAACAGTGATTTTCCACTTGAAAAAATAACGAGAAGCTTAAAAATGATCATGTCGTTATAAGAGACGTAAATTACGTTTGCTTTCGTGCGCCGATGCACACTTATATGCTTTCTTCATTTTCACATTATTTTTTTATTAAATGAGTTATGATCATGAAACTTGAAATTCATTATCATAAAATGTTGCTTTTTACTATGAAAAGAAAAGAAATTTGATTTAGCAAAGAAAAACAAAATTATTTCCCTGTCTACAACTTTTTGGGACAACCCTCGTACATGTTACATGATGTCTTTGTGAAAAACTGATACCCCCGTATGGCAGGTCATGGCCAACGTTCAAGTATTTCAAGAGGTCAAACCCTAAGATAAAAGTCATGAATTCAAATATGTTGAAACCCAAAGAAAGGTCTTGTCACAAGAAGTACACATGTGAAATATGAAAGCCCTTGCACCAACTGTTCAAAAGTTATGTCCAAGGTTAAAATGTTTACAGGCAGACAACAAACCAAAAACTATATATATATGCCCCATGCCCGTAGCAACGGTTTTAAAAGTGGGGGGATCAACCTCCCAAAAAAAAAAATCCTGAACCCCCCCCCCCAAAAAAAAAAAAAGAAAAAAACAAAAAAGGAGTAAATTGTCAAAACTTGAAAATCTTATCTTTTGGGGGTTGGGGAGGGGGTTGAACCTTTCTGAAACTCTTTTTGGTACACTTTTCTTTCAAATGCTGGAATTTGCCCCATTGCATGCTCGACCTTACAGCAACAAAACAAAGGGGAGGGGAACAGCATCTAAATGAAAATTTGCATATTAAAACTACAGCAAGATTATATTCAGAAAAAAAGGGGGGGGGGGCTGCGTACTATACGGGCCTGGCCCTCGAATCTCTGATTACAGGGGCATAAAAATATACTTATGATTATCTTTTAAGAAACAATTTTCAGGGTTTTAGAATTTGAACCTGATTCATGTGTAACAATTAAGAATAAACTTTTTTTTTTCTATGTTGTCGACACAGTCCTGTTGACTTGACCACAGATTACTCAAGTTTTATGTAGATTCTTATGCTTATATGATTCGGGACCATGCATTTAAAACTCAGTTTGGAATTAATTGAAACATTACAAAATTAAATGTATCTAATCTTAAAACTAGTTCTTCGACCAGATGTCTTCCATCATTGTCAAAGTTCCATGAACCACTGTGGTTAAAAATATTAAATATATTCTGAACTCTTGTAGATTGCTCAATTTATTATCAAGACAATCTTTTTTTTAATTAATGAACTGGAGAAGGTCTTGTTTGAAAAAATAAAGTATGTCCAAGAATTACAGGATATGATAGAAAAAAAAAATTCAAAATGTTTAAATTTTTTACAAGGGACTATATGTTATAATGGTCTCAAATGGCCCCCCAAAATGAACATCTGAATCTTACTTTATATAGGTTTACATTGCACAGCTATACAAGTGAAGTTTATTCACGAATTTCAATTTGATCCAAATACTATTAATTTAGAAATATGACATTACAAAGTTCATTTTTTCCCGCTATTTTAGCATACATTGTATAAAACTGCTTATATTTTCAAGCATTTTCCCCCAGAAAATCTTCAGCGCAAGAAAGAAAAAACATATTTTCACAAAGATGTAGCTATCTCAGACTAATAACTGACAGAAAAGGTTTGCTTACAAGTTCAAAGCTGCACTCCATGTTTCCCATATGAAAAACCTCGAGAATAATGCACATTATTGTCTTATTTTGACGGAATTGCAAAAATAACATCATTTCTGATGTCATAAGATGTATAGATCTAACGTATACTCTTCTACAAAATAACAAAACATTTTAGTATACCCGAAAGTGTTAATTAACAGGACCAAAATTGACTTTTATTTATAGTCCTTTTGACCTAAAAACATACTTTTCAACTTTATAAGATTATTGTAACTGTTGAAAAAAAAACTATCCTTATTGGGTGGTGGTGCAGAGGTTAGCTTGGATAGATTTGAAACCGGTTGCCCCGGGTTCGAGTCCGGTTGGTCCCTGAAAATTCTGTTACATTGTCAGCTTGGGCAAGTTACTTTACTGGGGCACCCTCTCAACCCAGAGGTTATAATGGGTACCTGGCATATGAGACGAGCTGGCTATGTGGATGACAAAGCATTAGCACTGTATATATATCAGTTCGGCTTGTATTTCCCACAGGGTGCTGAGAATGTTGTTGATGGTACAGGTCTCGTCTAGTAGAGTCGTGTGGGGCAATGTTCTTTGCAAGCAAGACTAACTAAAAAACCCTACCTTCACTATTATTTGCAATACATATATACATATGAGACTCAATCCAGTGTCTGTCTCAGTTTCGTTTCTCTTCATCCAAAAGTCTGGTTTGTGCTCACCCCCGTTTTCTCTTTATTCAGCAAAACCTTGTTTGTGCTCACTCCACACTATCTGGTCAAAAGCTACTTTATTAATTAATACAAATGAGCTTCTAAAATACCTGAATTACAAATTCAATGTCCAAACAAGGCCTTTCCTTCCTCATATACCAAAAGATTCCGACATACCATTTTGTTAATAGCATCTGTCATGGTGCAATGTAGATGCAACGTTCAACAATCTCTGCTTAGAACAGCTGATAAATTGTATTACAAAGATTTTCATAGAAATAAAAAGAATACAAAGAGAAAATGATGGACACTTTTATTCTATACTACAAATCTACCATAACCATTATTGTGTAAATGATCAGCTACAATAATGAATTTGTATAATATTCATACTTATGTGATGTCTAAAACATTCAGGTATACTTGTTAACAAATAACAGAAAATCAGTGACAAAGGCTAAAATGGGTACATAAAATAAATACAAATTCTTAAATGCTTAACACATAGTCTGGGTGTTTTATGAGCTAGTATGCCTGTGTTAATAAAATGTAAACAAAAGTACAGACACAATAAATTTAGGCACACAGACAGACATCCACACATATCCTGAGCAAAAGACTGTGACCCCATTAAGATCAGCAGTTTGTTTTAAGAAAGTAAAAAATATAAGAGAAATCATTAGGATTCCATTCATCCCTTCATCAAATGTGGGTAAAAAAGTCTTTTTTTCAGAATGCTACACTTAAATCATTGTGCCCAATCAGCGATAAACTTACTATTGTCAATATTATAAATGATGAACATTCTGAATGTAAAAAATTGAAAAAAGGAGAATTTATGTTATTTGATATAAAAAAAAAGATAATAAAAAAAAAACACAAGCTTCAAAAGTCTGGAAAAAAAATTATAATCAGATGTGTATAAGGATAAAAAGATAAATGAATACTCATTAATCTGGAAGACAGCTGTTTCATTACTGCATGATATGTCTCAGTACGTATATTCAGCATTTCAATATTACATGTACATATAAAACTATATGATCCATCATCCAGGAATTACCTGGTAATCATGGGAAAACTGAATAAATGCATAACTGAAAAGTGATCTTTCCTACAATAAAAAAAAATACACAAATAAATAAAAATATCAAAGTGAGATTTTCACAGACATACAAAATTTCCACTCAAACATTCTCAATTCTAGTGAACAAAACTACATGGACATCAAAGTGAGCAGCACCAATAAAACATTTACATTTCATGAACCAATGACAACACACAATAATGAAATTTACAAAATCTTGCATATTATTCAAAGGACAAGTTTATATCAAGATCTAATCTTCCAACTGACAGGCAATTAAAACAGAATACAAACATTGTCTTTTTCTTCTAAATTAATACAGTCAAACCTCTTTATCTAGAACTTGATGAGGCCAAAAAAAACCCCAGAGATATCTGAGATTCCAGATATTGAGGTTCAGATACATTAAGTGGTTGGAAATTCCAACTCACTTCAACATAACCATGGTATTTGAGATATTGATCTTCAAGATACAGAAGTTCAACTGTATTTATCTTCCTTGCAATGTCCATAGTAAATTGAGAGGTGTGGTTATTTAATTATCTATTAAATGTAAAAAAAATATTTACATGCTACAAATAACAGGCAATTGCACAAAGTATTCTATTAAAATGAATATTTTTTATACATGTAAGTTATTACTGTTGCAAATTTTCTTTCATAAAGCTCCTGTATATATATAATGAGTAATCTCTTTAATATAAAATACAATGGCAAAAGTACAAAAAAAGGATACAAAATTTTATTTTATCTATTTATTTATTTATTTATTTATTTTTTTGAAAAGTGTTTCCTCTTAAACATTTCACTGAAAAAGGCACTTAACTTGAAAGGGAAAAGAGCCACACAGTTGTGTCAGAGCATACCAGTACCTCAATTATTTTAAAGTATTTCAACAATATCAGTTTATAAAGCTTTTGTGACTAGATGATTTTTAGTTATATAGATAGAGCTATGTTAAATAATAATAAATGTTGAATATATAATAACAATTACATAAAAATTTAAATTCAGACTTTTCAAAGCTTCATATAATTTTGAAGTTGCTGATTTAAAACAAAAAAAAAAAAAAAATCTATGAGTATCGATAATTTTATAACAGAAGAGTTATTTTATTTGTTAGAGTTATCTGCCTTGAAGTTTGTTCACTGAAATCTCTATTAATCATAATGTAAGTTTTCCTGTACAAAGTTTTGGCACATTCAAAATGTTTAAAACTAGCTTTCTAAAATTACCCTTCACTTATGAGTGATCTTACATACAAAGCATGACTGAAACTTGTACATTAAAATCAGAATCCGAGTATAAATTCATGTTATTTATAATATAAACAAAAAATGTTTTTAAATCAAATCATTAAAAAAAAATGTCTGGGTCACAACCACAAATGGTACACTGACAGAAACTATGTACAATAAATACAATTCATTACAATCTCGAATTAAATGTAAACAACCTTGTCAAGGAGTGATATATCTTGCAAATTTTACAACATATCAGTTTTCACAACAGTAAGGCACTTACTTTTACAACAGCTTGATATGTTCGAAAAAATTTGATGTTTCATGTGTAAAAAAAAATAATTTTGTGGAGAATATATCTAAATTGCCTATATGCAGATAAAATGAAACAAAGGCTTCTCAAAATGACTGCTGTTTTTTCTTCAAATGCATAGTTTTTGATAAGGTTTTCAGTTTTTAATATGATACAAGGCATATGAATCACCTGGCAGTACATCTGCACCAATTTATACTTATTTAGCCACATTGCACGGAAACAAATACAAAACAAAATGATTATTTTGTCAAATATACTCACAATATTCAAAATTCATATACAATTGCAAGTGTGTTATAAATGTAAGTATTGGTTTGTGCAAAATATATACACACATACATGTATTGCTGCTATTACTCATAACATTGTATAACAAAAAGAATATCTTAAATGTTCAAGCTTCAATAGGTCATTCCTTAACCATGACAAATTACACAGTTTAGTCTTTTTTGAAAATCCTATTTTGCAATCAAAAATAAAGAAAAAAAAAATTAAGTACATGTACATTGTACCAGTGGTTCCAACATATTTTGTCCACTGACCTTTGAATACAATTGATGACCATAGAAATTATTTCTGTTGTTGTTCACTAAAACAATTTTTTCAAAGCAGGTATGATGTATACCTGGTTTAGAAAAAGTTCTACTGCAGATGTGTTTACAGGCAACTTAAGTAAATATAAAGTCAACTCCCCAACCACCCACTGCACAAAATGACCTCATTAGTTAAATTCCTCCTCATTTCTGCCCACACAGAAGTAGAGTATACTGGCAATAAGCGACAGTGCTGTGGACCCTACGGCTACCCAGAAGCTCCAGCCAAACAGGAGTATGGTCTCAGTGCCGCGGTCCTTTGCTGTAAACACCTCAGCCTTGTTTCTGAGGTAAGCCTCTGCTCCAAATAGTGAAATGGCCACCGCCAGCAGAAGAACTGTAAAACAAGGATAAATATTTGTTTTAGAAATATATTTTAAAGAAAATTTATCCTGATATTATGTATATTATGATGATTCATATATATATATATAGTTCTGCGGCATCACCATGATCATTTCATCAAAATTGAAAAAAATGTAAGGCCACATAAACTTAATGTTTAGACTCTCATCCTGATTTGCCTAAAACATGGATGGGTGGAATTAATTAGTATCCTTTACAATATGTGGATATCACATTCTTTTACACAAATTCCTAAATCGTGTTTGCATTGTTATACTAAATGAGAACACAGACCTTTTTAAAGCTTTAATTACATTTCCAATTTCATCAATATGCAGCCAATGCCAGGCAGGTATATGTGCTGGCCCTTTATAGCAAACTTGATTCATTTGAAAAAATAAAGCTGCTTTGAGGAGGGGTGACAGGATATTTATTGAACACAAATTTTTTTCACACTTTCTGAATGGAGATTTTTTTTTCTATATGCTATATCTGCAAAATCAAGGCAATTATTACACACATACATGTAACATAAAGTAATGGTTCTTCATCTACTATTGTCACCATGTGCCATTAATTGGACATATATGTCTTGTTGATCATTAGAAAGGTGTAAAACTAAGTCCCCTCCAGGTGCCTCTCAGGTGGGGCAGTAAAACACTAAGAACTCAATTGTTACCTGTCGTCAATTAAACATTACAGCATTTCAACCATGTAAGCACTTTTTATTGCCTACTTTATGATTCTCCAACTTCTAGATGTAAGCAATTCCTTGTGTGAATGTTAAAATATTCGACCATCACTAGACAATGTGATGGATGATAACTATTAAATCTTTTGGAAATGTTGTGAATTTTTTTTAAAGCATGAAAATAAATTATAGATCATTTCAATTAAAAAGTACAACCAAGTTTTAGCTAACGGTTCATTATTACTGCTTAGTGTCCTAGTTAGGTGTGTTCAAATTTAAGCATATGCCACTATGTCACAAGGAATATATAAGTGAAATATGAAAGCCCTAGCACCAACTATTCAAAAGTTATAGACAAGATATAACTTTGTTATAGACAAGATTTAAGTTATTTTTCAAAATGTACTCCAAACTCAAAGGTCAAAATTATGAGGTCAAAAATGTTGGTACCAAAAAAAAAAAAAATCTTGTCACAAGGAATATAATGTACACATGTCATATATGAAAGTCCTAGCTAGCACCCACTGTCAAAACTAAAGTTTTTCAATAGCTAGCACCCACTGTCAAAACTAAAGTTTTTCAAACATTGATCAACTCAAAAGTCAAGGTCAAACATGTTGGTACCCAAAGGAAAGACACATGTACTACTGTGATATATAAAAGCCCTTGCATCCAATGTTTAAAAGTTATGGCCAAGATTAAAGTTTTTCAGATGTAGTTCAAACTCAAAGGTCAAAGTCAAGAGGTCAAAAATGTTGGTACAGAAAGAAAGGTCTGGTCATATGAAATGCACCTGTGATATATGAAAACTCTAGCTCCAACTGTTCACAGGTTATGGCAAAGGTTAATGTTTGGTAAAATTTTGCAAAAGTTGGTTGAACTTCAGGGTCAGTGTCAAGAGGTCAGATTTGTTGATACCCAAAGAAAGGCCTTGTCACAAGGAATTCATAAATGAAGTATAAAAGTTCTAGCACCAACCATTCAAACGTTAACGTTTTTGCTAGCTGACAAAAAACAAACAGATGAACAGTCCAAGGGACAGGCAGACAGAAAAACGAACAATCCAAAAACTGTATGCCTCCAAATCTTTTATTATGGATGCATAAAAACATGTCTCATTTGCATTTATAAATGTTTCCAAAACATGTCTCATTTTTTTTACAAAGATTTTGCTGTATGTATAGCTATCAGAATTTTTTTTTTTGAATATGCAACAAAGAAAATGGCATGCATGTGAATAATGGCAACTGAAGAGCTTCTGACATGAGTTTTGAATTATTGAAGCTTTCTTCTGAAACAGAATGATTTTTCCCTGCTGCCAAACTCCAGATCTCTCAGCAGAAAGATTGTGCAATAGAATTTCTCAGATAGCTCTTAAATTTTTATCACTGTAAAATCTTCTCCAAAGGTTGCATGTGAAGGGTTATCCTAAATTTAGCTTAGATAATCTTTTTTTTTTTAAATGGAGTAGCCTCTTTCAGCTGTTCATAAAGCAAACATACACTGCATCCCATTTAAAAGGTCTTCCGAAATACATGTACTCTAAAGTACATTTAAAGCTTTTAAATGTTCCACACATTCTACTTTAAAAGGGGAATCCTCTTCTATTTAAAAATAAGGCACTCCAAAAAAGATGAAGTTGAAATACAGATTTTCATTTTTAATATACCTGATAAAATGTCCTATACAAAAAGTTCATTTTTTGGCATTTTATTTTAGAGTTGAAATTTTTCTTAAGCAAAAGTATAAACTGTAATCAATATTGATGTGTATTTACGATGCATTACTTCCTGTTGGTTCTTTGGAAAATCATGATAGGTTTTACTGTATGCTCCTTTTCATAGCAACATGTACATCAAAATAAATTCATTAAAGAACATTTTTTCCTTCTTCCTAGTCTTTTCAATTTCTTACAATGCCTCTCCCTTAATTGTGAATTCAATGTAGTTTAATGTGTCATAGAAACTTCCTCCTACTTTCAAATTCACTTTTAGCAGTTCAGTGTTTCTCAGTCTGTTTTAATCTAGAAATGAAGTAGACATGCTATCCCAGATATGCTGATACATTTATCATTTAGTACAAATGTAATTAGCTTTGAAATTCCAGATTTACTTGTTATCAGTCTTTTACACTGGTGTTTCCTCAGCAAGTTATCCAAGCATTAACACAAAAATGTTTGGTGTTTATTTATTTAAAAATAATTTTATTTTATTTCATTAAATTTGAAATTAATTACATTTATCAAAAGTTAGGTGAAAATACCTGTGTCTGATAACTTTCAGTTATATTTGAGTACTTGATGTTGTATATTCATAACTTAAAACAGAATAATCCCAATGTGTCTTGTATTTTTATATACATGTAGTCAATGTATAAACAACTTGTACAGAATAGGTGGCAGTTACCTCTGGTTTAATCATAAGTAATTAACACTCCCATACACTGGAATGTATCATCATGGTTTTATGTAAGACATAAAAATATCCAAAACTGTGACATTGAATTATCTTTAGACTTGTAAATATTAATATTTATCTTAAAAACATTTACCACATTTTTCTTTAATTTGAAATTAATTTTATATAAATCTCTCTTTAATCATCCAATCTCTCTGCTGGTGAAATATGAATATTATATCACTGATTTATTATCTGTATGGAATATTTCTCTCATTCAATTCATAAACATAAAATCATTATGATGACATCTTTAAAACTTTGTCACACCTGGGCATACTGAGTAGCAAGTAGGGGGAGAAGACAAAAACAAAGAAGTGGGTCTGACACAAGAACCATTAGTCTTCCAGAGACAAAAGGGTTTATCAAATATACACCATAATACATACATGTAAGATTGGCAAAGGCTCCAGTTGCTTGGTATGGGTTACATCCCTTACAGGCCCAACAAAGAGAGAACAGACCAATCAGAAGAGACAGCATGGAGCTGGCTACAGCACATGACATCAATCCCTGGACAGCCTTGAACCAGTCTACAAGGTCAAAAATTCACAATTATTGGCAACAAAAATCTACACACATTAGCAACTTCTAAGAAATACCATGTATATAATATAAAACAAAATATTCCAAGTTCATATGGAATGCATTAATCAGAGATTTTTTTCATTTACTGGTGTATACAATTTAGAAACATACAAGATAGATTTATGACATTGATCTGTGCTAACACTGCTTGTGTATTTGCTCTGTTGATACTTATGATGAAGACCCTGCCACACAGCTGTAAAATATAATTACTTCCCCAACTGCTTAGTCTAACTCTTAGCTTAGAGGCTCATTATAATTGAAAATGGATGTACACACTGAAGATAGTTCTTTTTTATTTGTCTTGAGGTACATCAGATGAGAGAACATGCAAATGTTCTAATTCGACTGTTCATAAGAGCTCTTGAAATTCATATTTCTACTTGAGTAAGTTTTTGACAATATCATGAATATTACTTATGTGCTTAACTGCTTTGTTTATAAATATATCAAAATGTGTGGAATTTGTTAAACAGTTACTTCACAGGATTAAAAAAAAACAACTAGTTTCAAAAGCTGTAAACATACTGCTCTCTGAACATCAATCATTTCATTTTAGATTGTGTCACACATAAAAAACAAGAGGCCCAAGGGCCTTAACGGTCACCTGAGTACAACACAACAATTTAGAGAATCCATAGAGTATAAAATGAACTGAAAGGTGAAGCTTTGTTGCCCAAAAGCAAGAAAAATAGAGTGATCAGGATCAAAAAAGTAATGAGTCTACCATTCATTTACAGTTCATAAATTAGGTTCTAATATGTTCCCCATTTGACATTATCACCATACAGTAAATTAACAAACTATCAGTGCTTCTGTACTATCTTAATTCCTTGTTGAAATCTTTTACATTGGCCTCTCTTGGTCTTTGATGAACATTTAATAAGACAAGTTATTTTTGTCTCATTTTTATTTATCTATTACTTACAAGTCTACTTGATCATTAAAACTATGAAAGTACTTTTTGTATTATACAATAAAAATTCTTGCATAATTCTCTTATTCTATTAACCTTTCAAGTACATTATTTACAGTGATTAATTATCAAAAGTAAATGGCAAAGGGGAATAATTCCTCTCAGTAGATTACAAATTAATAGAGCCCTAGCTGGGACCAGAACACTTGACCAAATAGTCCAGATGTTCAAAAATCTGGTAAAAATACCCTTCCTTATTAAAACTTTTACTCTTTTTGCCTCTGATATGCCCAGGTGCAGAGAAGATTTTTAAAGAAATAATGCATTTTTACTACAGATTGATTATATTATCAATAGAGCCCCCCCCCTCCCCATCAAGAAACACCAGAGCCTCTCACCCTGGGACCAGAAGTTTGCTCATCATAAGTGATCACTTTGTTTATCTGCTTAACACTAAGGAGCAGACAAGATTATTTAATAGAATTAATGCATTTTCACTATATTATCAAGAGCCCTATCCTCACACCAGCACATCTGACCCAGGGGTCATGCAATTCACAACTCTGGAAAAAGCACTCTTGCTCATCATAACTATACACTTAGCTTCTTTGCTTTCTAACCAGAAGCAGAAAAGGATATTTTCAGAGAAATTTTGCTTTTTCACTATATATAATCATTAGAGCCCCCCCCCCCCCCCTTTCACCAGAACCCTTGACCCTGGGCCATGAAATTCACAATTTTGGAAGAGGCATCCTTGCTTATCATAACAATGTACTAATTATAGTTTGTGTAAATAATACCCAGGGGCAGAGAAGAAGGTTTTTAAAGAAATAATTCACCTTCACTGTAGGATATATATGGCCCCACCCTAGCACCAGAACCCCTGTCCCTGGGGCCATGAATATCACAATTTTGGAAGAGGCATCCTTGCTTATCATAACAATGTACTTTATTTGTTTAAATAATACCCAGGAGTAGAGAAGAAGATTTTTAAAGCATTAATGCATTTTCACTATATAATAAATAGAGCCCCACCCTAGCACCAGAACCCCTGACCCTGGGGCATGAATTTCACAATTTTGGTAGAGTCACTCTTGCTTATCATAACTATGTATTCAATTTGTTTCAATAATACCCAGGAGTAGAGAAGAAGATTTTCAAAGAAATAATGCACTTTCACTATATGATCTATATAACCCCATCCTAGCACCAGAACCCCTGACCCTGGGGCCATGAATTTCACAATATTGCTAGAGTTACTCTTGCTTATCATAACTATGTATTTAATTTGTTTAAATAATACCCAGGAGTAGAGAAGAAGATTTTCAAAGAAACAAAGCATTTTCACTATATGATCTATATAGCCCCACCCTAGCACCAGAACCCCTGACCCTGGGGCCATGAATTTCACAATTTTGGTAGAGCTACTCTTGCTTATCATAACTATGTATTCAATTTGTTTCAATAATACCCAGGAGTAGAGAAGAAGATTTTCAAAGAAATAATGCACTTTCACTATATGATCTATATAGCCCCGCCCTAGCACCAGAACCCCTGACCCTGGGGCCATGAATTTCACAATTTTGGTAGAGGGCTCAATGCTTATTACAATCATGTCAACAGTTTGACTGCTTGATGTCCAGGAGTAAAGAAGAAGATTTTTAAAGATTGCATTAATTTTGGTGGTTTTAGCCCCACCCCTCAGGCCCCAGGGGGGCAGGGACCATGAAATTCACAATTTTTGTCCCCCTTCACCCACAGATGCTATATGCCAAAATTGGTTGAAATTGGTTGAGCAGTTTCAGAGAAGAAGCTGAAAATGTTTAAATGTTAACGCACGACGCACGACGGACGACGGACGACGCACGACGACGGACAAAAATGGATAGCAATAGGTCACCTGAGTGACTCAGGTGACCTAAAAAAATAACTCATTATTACCAGAATACTAAATCAAGAATGCAAATTTATGTACTTCAGTTACCTGTACCTTAAATTCAGATTTCACCTTGAGGTATTTGTTTTTGAATTTTAATCATCCAATGCACAATGTACCGGTATACAGAACTAATTTTATTCAAAAAATTTAACAGTCTTGGAAAATAATGACATCTCATTGCTTTACATTTGTGCAAAAACTAAAGATATAACTCTAACATCAAGCAATGATTCAATAAACTGTAAATAATCAAATGTTTCAAATCTTTTATCTCAAAGCCTTTGAGTCAAACTGAAAGATAAAATTTTGATGAGTGTTTTTTGTCACATGCCCACAAGAGGTCAAAATCCTCTCCATCTTCACAGCTCAAAGCAAGAATCACAGTCTTACTGAGCAACAGTTTCTATGATGATAAAGCTCTTTGTTACCCACACAGAGATACAGAGTGTGAAACTTTCCTCTCTTTTATAATTAATTACATTTTACGCTTTATAATGAATTTTCACAGTAGTTTTGACATAAAGCTGTATTTTTTCATCTATATTATATGGAAGAACCTACCATTCATTTTTATTTTTTTATTTTTTTTTTTGGCTGTGTCAGTGAGAAAGATACAAACACAAATGTACTATGCATTGAATGATACAATGGTACAACTGCAGATATTTTTGTGTGGGAAAACCATTTATACACAAACCTTGCATTTCAAAATTTACTTCAATATTGGTATTCAATGTTTCTTTATGACTTTGAAAGACCCAGGTTTACTTGCATCCATAAACCTGGAGCATTTTTATTACTGTTTTATAGGTTAAGGATATTAATAATGCATTCAACATATAATTATCAAGCATTCAACATATAATTATCAAATATTAATACAAATTTTGAGAGTCAGCAAGCAACTGCTTTGTATTATAGAATGGGGTCAAATTTACAGCATTAAGAGAAAGTAACTCTCACATTCTCTTATCTGGATTATATGGATTAAATATGTCAAAGTGTTAAGGTTACATTATGTACAGTCAAATCTCATTATCTTGAACTCGACTGGACTGAGAAAAAACTTCAAGATATCTGAGTATTCGAGACATCAAGGGTTAAATACTTAAAGAATAAGCATGAAAAGTGGTTGGAACTTCCGATTCACTCAACATATTATCCATTGTATTCGAGGTATCAGTGTTAGAGATAAAAGTTTAACAGTATATGGCAGTTAAAGCTGTGTAACCATTGAGATGAAAAATGCAACAGACCAGATTGAGATTGGAAACAAGTCTCACTGAAACACAAGTCAAGTGCTCTACCAACTGAGCTATCTGACCACTGACGATCGAACCTGTCCAACTGCCACATTCCTTCCTCCTTAAAAGCCTAAGCCTCCGCACCAACCCAAGCTCTTCCCAGGCAGGTCTTTTACCTGTCACTTTAGGATATGGTGCGGATATGGTGCAGCACCAAATGCAAATCGGTGAGGAGAAAATGCGATTGACCATAAAGGATTCACACCCCCCCCCCTTTCGAATCACTAGTCAGATGCTCTACCAGCTCAGCTACCTGACTACTACCACTGTATTGTTCTGCATTTTAAAAACTTTTGGGGGGTGTTTTTGTATGTGTGTGTGTGTGTGTTTTTTTTTTCTGTTTTTTTTTAAGGTATAATCATTATAATAGTAAGGCCCAAAAAAATAGTCCTGTTTCCTACTACCAGCCTAAAAAAATAAGGTAGGTAGGTAGGAAAATTATTTTATTTTTTTTATTTCATTTTTTTCCAATGGAATTTTTTTGATATGAACTAATAAAAGATCAAATTAAACATGTCAAAGGTCAATATTGTCTTTAAAATTAAATTTCATGTCTTTTGATGCACAACTCAAGTGGTATTTCATGAAAGTCCATATTTAAAACAGAGAATTTCATGAAATGCTTGTTTTGTGTTAACACAGGAACTGATGACAGTGATAGAATGATGAAATTCTGGAAATTCATGATTTTTTTTCTTCCAAAACTAAAAAAAAACTTAAGGGTCGGGTGCCAAAAAAATCAGGGTTGGCCGGGAAATACCAGTTGTGGGAATTACCAGAGGTAAATACCAGTATTTCCCGTCCCGGGAAATACTACAAATTTTCTTTAAACTGGGAAATATTGGGAAATACTGGGAAATACAGAGTTTAAGATTTTTATTTCATTAATTCTTTCAATCTTATACAAAATTCAAAAATAAAATTAACATAAAAACAGAACATGAATAATATAGAATACATGTATGTTTCAAATTGCAACTTAACATATTCAGAATGTATCACTACTCCAGGTCCCATACCAATAAGCATTCTGAAACATTTCTCTGCTTGGCTGTATAAAACTGAAGTTTTCCAATTCAAATTTCTTTTCAGTTTTGTAAAATTATTAAATTATTAAGTTTATTAATTATAAATCCAAGAACAAAACAAACTCATTTTAATCCTTCTGTAAACACTGGAGTTATTACAAGCAATCATGTTGTTTTAACAAATTGCTCTGGACAGTTTTGTGCTCCTGTTTTGAGCAATAATTACCTTGATTAGAACTGAAAGGCTTCTTTTTAGGTTTTATATTATTATCCATTTCTGTACTGTATCTGCTTGTATCTTATTGTATATACTGATAAGCTGCAAAGCTCAAAGTAACAATAATGAAGATAGAAAGATATTTATACCATACTCTACATTTAAGAATTTTTTTAGAGCTTTTTTTAGTTACATGAAAAACCCAATTGGGATCTTTGGGTTCATTTCATGGTCCTTTATAGACTACATTTGACTCAAGTATCAAACAAATGATGACACTCATGACTGGTGTATGAATATACTGTTTTATAATCTTACAAATGAATTACTTGGAAACCAGAATTTTTTTAAATCAGGGACAATGATACCAGGTAGATATCTTAGCCAATAAGGGGTACTACAGTATAAATTCAGTATAATTTTGATTTTTGTCAATATGAATGAAATTTGTAGCTATTTCTTATTTCCCAGTATTTCCCGGGAAATACCAGTAATTCCCGGTAATTACCAGTATTTCCCACCGTCCTGGGAAATATGAGTATTTCCCAATTTTTTGCCAACCCTGAAAAAAATAGGGTTGTTCGGGTAGCAGGAAACAAGACCATTAATTTTTTTGGCTTAAAGGTTGAACACTGTCCAATAATTGAAATTCTCATAGTCATAAATAATTCCTACAGTTGTGCATAACTCAATAAATGAAATTTAAGTTGCACTAACAGTTACATGTAATAAAATCTATCCAACTTGGTAACTGTGCTGGAAATTAATAGATTTAATGAACATTCTTGGATCTACAGAATTTATAAATAAATGATATAAAGTTTCTAAAATTTCTGCTTCTGTGTATACCTCTCTGAAATTCTATTACATGTAACTGCTAGTGATCTCAACATGTAAATGTAGTAAATTGAAAACAATGAAAACGAAACAATACCTGGCAAATTCTTTTCAATTGCAAATTCATTAGCGAAAAACCATTGACAGTTGTTGAGTGAGCCTGAAGAAGATGGCCCTCCTCGGCAGTTCAGCCATAATCCACAATCACAGTCTGTAGCCGAACAATCACAGACATCAACTCGTTGATTTTGTCCGCCTGCTGGAACTCTTACGTTCAACCAGTTAGGCGTCGCAAAAGACACAATAGTGCCTACAGTTGTGACCAAAACACATATAATCGCCGTAATTACTAAACAATTCACCATTTTGTCGAAAAGTTTTGGGCCTTTCTCTCACAAAGATAACTGTGTTATCAAAACTTCCGTTCCAAGATCTTCTTCGCACTATTACTTCCGGTTTACAATTTCACCAAATATGTCGTACGTCAAACTGAAAAAGAAAACATTCACGTCCTTTCGAACTTTCAGAAAGAATTTGTGAAGTTGTAAACATTTATAGAATGTTTCCCAAGGATATTTAATCGTTGATTGAATGCATGACTGAATAAATTTATCTAGTTGGGGCACAATGAGGGGTATTTTTATCATTCGTATTGAACTGTTGAACCTTCGAAGATGTTTCTGTGTTCTCTAATCTTTATTACATCTCCCCAAACAGCCAAAATAGGAGAGGCGTGTTGCCTTTTACAAGGTTGTCTGTCAAAGTTCTCTGACCAGCTGGCTCAATCTGTACAAACAGTTAGTATGTTTAACTATTAACGGTTGATCAGTTGGTGACGGCGGGGCCAGTTCATGACCCAAAGATTTCCTATATGACATAAGTTCCATTTTCAAGTCAATTTAATGAAATCTCATACGAAAATAAATATATTTGTGAGAGGAGTTCAACTCTGTCATAATTTTCCGAACTTCCCTATAAGCTTACTGAATCAAGGTCATGTCTCAGATGTCAAGGTTATTGAAGTTGAACCTTGACACAGTAAAATGCCAGGGCTCTTCATCAAATCTCACAGATCACTGTCACATAACATTTGATGCCAGTGCGGCTTTGGGGAGAAATACATGTAAGGAGATACCTATAGCTGTTTCTTTAAACAGTTAAAATATTGCACCTTTTACATACAGTATTATTTTATATCGCCTACCTATTATAATGCATTTCTTCTCTGTGCATGATGTTTATTTTCTTGATTTCTACAGTAAATTTAGTTTTTCAAGGGACTGTTTTGATATCCTTCGTTCGGAATGAAACTTTTAAATTAAAAACCCATTCTTTGTATTATATATCCTTCTTTAATCTCTTAGAAGTTTGATAGTAATATCATGTTGTAAATTTTGAATTTACTAGGGGGAGGTAAATGCAAAATTTACAACATAATAGTTATCATGTTGTAAATTTTGCATTTACCTCCCCCTAGTAAATTCAAAATTTACAACATGATAGTAAATATACACATTCAGTGTTCATATTAAAGAATACAACACATCTATTTTGCTCATGTTACACACCTCTTATACATAAGAGGAATTGTTTAAGAGTACATGTAAATCGTTCTTTCTCGAACTGACGGTTCCTCTTTTTCTAGACATGTTATTTGACAATAATACTAGTACTATTTTGTTCATGCAAAACAACTAATTAAATGAACATTTTCAATCTGAACTCAATTCCGATTTGATCCCTAATGAGGACTGAGTCAAACGATAATGCAAACCATGATTACACTGTATATAATTATAACAGTTAAAAAGTACATGTTTTTCCCTTTCCAGGCACGTATAATCTATTCTATAATAGTTTTTAAGGGGGAAGCCAGAAAAAAAATTCAACTTGTCTTACCTACTTTGACAAACAAGAAAAATAATTTTTAAAAAAAATCCAAAATCGAAAATCGTATTTTTAAGGGGGGGGGGGAGGGGGAGGAAGTGGTGGTGGTGGGGGGAGGGGGTTAGAGTCCAATCTTTTTCATAACCATATTTTTATTCATACATTATCACATTATCCTGATTTGATTATACTGCAACCAAAAAGTGGGGAAGTGGGGGAAGGGGGGTGGGGCTGCCTTTTAATGAACATTTTCAACATTAAAAATTACGTAACTTTGGAAAAAAGTGAGTGGGACGGGGGATCTCCCGATACTAAATGCGTGTTTCCCAATTAAATAATTTCGACTTTCAATTTAATGTAAAATAAAGCTTTATTTTATCCGAAATAGTTCAATAAAGTATTACCTTTGTATGTATATCCAAAGTAAATAATCCTGAATTTCAAAGAAAAATAAAGTATCAAACTTTGTGCTAACTTTTTAATCCAAGACTCCTTTCTACAGACCTGTAAATCGAAATTGTTTCTATTGCATTTGATTAACTGCGAACAGAAAAATATATCAGGTTACGATTTATATGATTAAAAAAACTTCCGTCTTTAAGTATAGAAAATCACTTAATGATCTCATGCCCCTTTCTCATTATACACGAAGTCTATCAAGTAAACCTATTTCTAGCTTATATTCAGGATTTAAAGAATAAATGTATATTTTTCGCTGAAGAAAAAGTTATACGTAAAAGGAAATATTTTAAGTCTTCCTTGTCATATCTATATATACATGTAGCCTATATACCCCGTTAACATGCACATACCCCGTTAACACGGCCAAGATTTACACAAATAAGATGCTTCGTCCATCTCTATCACCATGATCTCAAGATTATGAGACGCTTTATAGAGATTGCCTTTACCCAAAAAAGTTCATTTAATTAACTCACTTGTACTCGCAGAGACGATTAATTTTTTAAACAATTTTTATTTATTTTTTTTTTTTTTATAAATTTTTATTATTATTATTATTTTGTGCAGAGGGGGAGTGATAAGAGTCGAAAGCACGAACCCCATTACCACTCTTTTAATGTATCAGTGTCTCTATAAAGCATCGGTGCTGTCTATAATTAGGACTTATTTATACGGTAAATATACAAACTGTAGCATAAAATTTGATTATAATTTTGCTTTAGTAAATGAACATATAGACTATACTCAGCAAAGGCAGATCCGGCGCCACGCGTGCGCCCCCGCCCCCGTTTGAATTTTTTTTTTTGGATATTTTGTTTGTATTATCATAAAATCAAGGGAAAAAAAATCTCTTATGTGTTAGAATTCGTCAGTTTATGGGGCTTCGGGACCCGGATCCCCACCAGAGCTTTTCCCAGGAACCGCTAGGGGCTTCGATGCAGCCCCCAGACCCCTTGCCTTCTACTGCGCCCCCCCCCCTTTGTGATATTCCTGGATCCGCCACTGCTAGGTGTAAATTCGCAGAGAGAAGGACACAAGTAAATTTATTCATTTGTATTAAAAAATAGTTGTGTGAAAATTGAAAATTTTGCCATAAATGGGGTAATATGTTTATAGAGGAGTATCTGAGATAATAGACACAATATAATTATATGATATATATAAGTATAAACACTTTTAAAAAATAACATCATGTACTTATATATAATGATCTTATTGATTACGTTAAGAACTAAAAACACTTTTTTAAAAAAAAAGGAATGAATAACTAGATTTAATTTAGAAGATATTTAGAAGATATTTTATTAGAATCAGAAACAAAGTTCTTATAAAACTTACAATTTCCACGCTACTCGTATAATACAATTGAATTGTCAATACTAGTATTTGAAGGAAGACATATTGTACAATCATAAAGATTAAGCAGCCAAACAAAAAGAATTAACTCCGTGTATCATTACAGTATCAAAAGAAATATTTTTTTATCCCATCAGTTGATTTACAAGGTCAAAATTTTCACATTTTACAAAGACATTACTGCAATTTCTTTGATGACAAAATGCCCCGCCTCTTTCCTAATTTTAAGATAACTCTATACACAAAAGAATAAGAAAAACACACACATGCATTTGTACAATCTTAGCTGTAAAAATTGTGGAGCAAATTTTTTCCAAGGTCAAAGATAACCGGAATGCCAGTATCATTAAGATCAAATGTCCTAGACTTTCGTACTTCTTCATTAAAAAAAAAAATAAACATTAAGATAACAATAACCAACCAGAGTAACTTGATAATCATAATTTAAAAGTCACATGTTTATTAGATTATCAATAACATAAAAACATAAAAAAAAATTAAATATAAAAATCAAAGAAAATGATCATAACCGAATCCAAGCAAAATAATAAAATTCTATGTTATATTCTCCCTCACTATGTTCGTCCGAATATAAAACAATTATATTCGAAGTATGATAGTAATGAAAAGAACTCATATGTTAGGAATGGTACTCGCTATAACCTTTTATTTTGCATTGCCTTATATAATTATAATATTGATTCAGTCTATTATAAATAAATTTTTCATTAATCAATACATTGAGAACCGTAAACATACATAAAATATCAAATACATAATGTTTATCTCATTTTTAAATATACGTGTATACCCGTAGGTTATAGCGAGACTCGATAATCGAACATGAATGAGTGAGGATATATATAGTATGTGATCACGTGATAAGTATGGAATGCAACGAATTTAATTTTATAAATTACCAGTTCACGTTGTGCCGCTAAGGCCATTTACAATAGTATTAAAGGAGGATGATGATGATCAGTTATTTTTTAAAAAGAACACAATTTGTAAAAGAAAACTTAAAGAGAAATACATGCGTTCAAAATACTCATGAAGCTACAGGGATCCTCCTTCCCGATCCAAACTCTCCCCAAGCACACAATCAGAGTTACCTTTCTTCGTCCTCATGCATTATTCAAAGAAACTAATCTTTCTTGCTCCAAGGCACGCAGCACCCCCCCCCTTTCAAAATAAAGGTGGTAAAAGCAAGCACAAAAATGCAGCATTTTAATCTTTCCACGGATCTACCTCGAATTAACTCTTCCTTCAAGCTTTACCAAAGCATGTCTTTTCCTAAACTTCAAATCCGAACAATTTAAAAAAAAAATAACTTGCAGGCAGACAAAAGGACTGGCAGAGAAACACTGGTAAAAGATGTAAATTCCCTCCACCTTCGTCGCCGGAGTTGATACTAAACTACAGGAATTAAGAGCTAAATTTATTCCAAATTTGGACCCAGAGGAAAGGAGTTTATAGCTAGGTAATACAAAAGAATTACACTTGTACAAATAATGAGCATTTACGCCTAACCATATGTAATATACGGAAAGATTAAGGACATATATATTTTGCAAATTTATATGTTGCATATCAAAGTATCGTGACAATATCAATAAAATAAGCTAGTTGCGTTTTTGTAATTTTATGAACCTCGAGTTCTTTTTCTGGACGTTTTTACTAAATATTCACTCAGTTTGGTGATCAATGATTTTTCTTCATTAATCATTCACCATATAACTTTATAAATAGGCATCCCAGTCCCTTGTTTTGCGAGTCATGTATATGTAAAGGTCAATACTTTGGACAAAAACGAGCACTGTTCGAAGGAAAATAAATGTATTTCGATCAAACAATTTCCAAAGAATAAATATTTTTCTATAATGTGCATGTAAAATAATGGCTTCAATAATCTGCTTCAATTTTACAATCTGACAAACTGCATACTTCTTGGGATATAGCATTAGAAGACAGTCATACGTCATACTTTGAACCGAGTGACGTTCTCATATATTGGAGAGCTGAAAAGTAATACAGATACATAAATTATAATTCACAAATCATTAATCATCAATAATTATATATATATATATATATATATATATATATATATATATATATATATATATATATATATATATATATATATATATATATATATATATAAAAGGAAAATAAAACTTAATAAAATTTCAGTAGATGCATTGTTTAAAAACTAAAAGTTGCTTCTTACCCACTCGTAAAAATAAGTGATTATTTTTTAAGATTAAGAATAGACATACCTTTTCTTTCTTCCTGAAAATGATTAATGAAATTTATAATAATAGATAACAATAATTCTTTTAGCAGATCGATGGATGATATTTTTATATACATGTTGTTATAGGAAACCTGGAAAATGTGTTACATGTAGACAATGTGATTGTACCTTTCCGCTTCTTTTTCTTGTGAGATTGGACGACTTCATAAGTACGGTCCTCTATAAATGTGATGGTCCTGTCGTCATTTTGTCTTTTGAAAATTGCAAAAATTGTAAAAGTATGAAAATTGAATACCTTGGTATTTTACTTGTTAAAAATCGACTTTCTACCCAACTCATTTCCACTTTCAAATGAAATACTTTACCATTTGTATAATTATTTAAAAGTTATCAAAATTATTTAAATATTTCATATATATATATCAGATTACCTGACTTTTGGTTGAGGTGGAGCTGAAAAAAAATATGTTATAAGGCTTAAGTAAGTTTTCTGAAAAACACTCAACAATGAATATTATGTTGTAATTTTCATATAATCATATTCATGTTCTCTGTATCTTTAAGAAAATCATAATCAATGTAGATATGAGTTTGATTAAAGGCGTTAATTATAGAGATACTAGATGAAATCCCGCGCAAGCGCAGGAAATTTAATTTATACCACTACCGACAGAAAATGTATTGTAGTTCTCTATTGACAGCCTACAGGCTTATAGCAGGAACAAATACTTTGTTCAAAATTCCGCATGAAGTAGATTTACCTATCCTACCCCCCCCACCCCCCACCCCGTTTTTTGTGTTTGTTTTATTTTTTGTTTTGTTTTTTTTTAACTTGAAAAATAGCAATTTCATTAATTGACATTTATTGTGAAACCTGTTACACTACGTTATGGATATTGTACTACAGATGCTCTTATTTCATTTCCGTCAAGGATAAAAGCAACGAATATGCACATTTTACTAATAAATTGATTGGGTGGGGTGGGGTGGGGGGATTCACAGGTACTTGGGTCTTGGTTTATAAATATGTTTGTACCTTATTGATATGTAAAAATGTACTTTACATTTTTACCTATAAATAAGGTATATACATATTTATAAACCAAGAACCAAGTACCTGTGTAAAAATTAGCTTTTAACGCCCTATGAATAGGCTGAGTATTTGATACAAAAGACTAAGCTGCAATAATGTAGCCCTCTCCGATTTTTTTTTCTTTTGATCTGATATTTTCTAGCCTCTCTCTCTGCCCCCCCCCCCCCCGAAAAAAAAGGAGAGGGCCACATTATTGCAGCTATAAAAGATTGTATTCAGAAATTAACTGTGCATTGATTAAAGCGAAAATTTTACATCTTTAATTGTATTTGAACAATACCTTATTCATTAATTTTCTCTTTTCATGTAAGCAAGTTTATTACGAAGTACAAATAGTACTTCGGGTTCGTTGCCACGATGCTCTCAGTAAGGAATATATACAAATTTTACCGATAAATTTATTAGGAAAACCTACTACATACATGTATATGTAATAGTCTTTCGATATGTAATTTTATTCACAACTTATAGTGTTATCAGTGATTAACCATTATACCAATTATGACCAATTAAACAAAAGCTTTTTATGGTCATGTAGCTAAAATCGCCTCGTTTTTTCCTTAACATCGGGCTCGATGCTCTAGAAGCTTCCGTCAATATAAAGATCAGTGAATGACGAAAATATTTTGCACATTTCCCTTTTTAATCGGTTATCACAACTTATTTCTTTTATATCATTTAAATCGAGTTTTGATTGAATAATTCAGTGATGACGTTTTATGTAATAAATAAACGATTGCTTGTTGTCAGTTTCATTAAAAATTGCCAGTAACTTAGATCCGCCAACCGGAAACGCCACCGTACTCACGTTTTGGCTATTTTATGGCTGTTTATAGAAAATGAAAGTAGACTTTTAATTTAATGTACGATACTTACTATGCGAGTGAAATCTAAATATAGTTTACGGACATCAGCTTGTATCTAGTGTATTGTTAGAGGAGTAAGTAAGAACTCTGGTGCACCCGTTTCGGAGTTTATTTGCAAAATTTATTAATTTATAAGTATAGATATGCAGTTATCTTCATATATATATAGAGAGAGAAAGCACTACAAAAATCAACAACACTGTATATCCTAAGTGTCGGATCTACTAAATAGATACAAGGTCAAGGATGGAAATTTATATAAAGCACTAAAAATGACCAACGACACGAACAATAGAAATTGTCAAATTTTCGGGACGCCTTGTCCCTTCCTCAGGACAAAGAAAAAAGTTAAGAAGTCATAAAAACAAAGGAAATAGAAAAACAAAAACGGCTAGCACTACTACTAAACTATCAAATACTATTTATTTACAATGTTACATGTTGAATTTGAATTTTATAATCAGTTGTAAAGAAATAAATCCGGACCGCTATGAAATGCGTCCGGTCTCTCGGGTGTACTCTGGTGAAGTGCGATTTACATAATTGAACGAATTAATTATAATTATTATATATATATATAATTTGCTAATATGGAAAAAAAACCTTGAATTATATTTATTGTGGTCCTAATGTATATATTTCATTTTTTCAGTATGATCAGAATTCCAACAAGACTGCCACATGAATTATACTAGTATATAATTTAGTACAAAACCACTTTATTTGAACATTCTAATCAAACTATATGATATAAACCAGAACGTAACTTACAATAAGTGACTATGAATGCTTTCTGTAGAAAACAATATAGCCAGGAGTATACATGTATTTTCACCTTTGAAGTCTTTCCAGAGGAATATTTAATTAAATGTAGTCCCTGAAACTAAGTCTGTTATAATTTAAAGTATTTATGCTTATTACACATTGACGGTGTATCAATAGCAAGTCGTTTTCTAACAAATCAATAAAATTAATTTTAAAAAGATACCTTTAAAATTCCGTTTATAAAAAATATTTACCTGTGCATCTCGAATTCCTGAACAAATCATGAAAGTGTATCCATTGCTGCCAATTTAGTGGTCTTTTTCTGACATTTTTTACCAAAATGGCCAGAAACATTGTAACCAAGACTGTTGAGAGTACAGATGTTGTTGTTACGAATGTGGCAACAGAGAAACAAGTATTATCGCCTATAAAATAAATCAAACATGAAGAAACAAGCGTGGCTTAAAAAGAAATTGGTGTAACTGTCGTTGACAAGCTTAGGCCTGAGAACGCGTGACCTTAATATTTATTATTTTTTGCAAAAAAAAAAAAAAAAAAAAATTACACGCAACATTTAATGATGAAAAAACAAAATCGTTTCCCGTATAACGGGATTTATTAGCGATAATCCAATTTTCGCTTTCTTTGTGAACAGTTTTAGATCGCAAGAAAGAGAAATAAATTCACATAAGTTTTCAACCGTTTACTGTATAGATTATATTACTTAGATAACTTTAATAAACCACAATTACTAGGAACGTATCATAGTATAGTTCAAAACATAAATGATGGTAAATCATGTTGTATGGTTTTTTGTGATCTTTCAAAGGCTTTTTAAAAACTTAAGGTATATCTAGTGATCTTCTCCAATGGTTTTCCAGCTTTCTTTGTCAAAGGTCACAAAAAGTTATGTACAAGGATCTGTTATCATCAAACAAGATATTTTTGGAGGTGTACCACAGGGTTCTGTTTTAGGACCACTATTATTTTTCATCTATATAAATGATGTTGCTGAAAATATTATTTCAATGTGTAGATTGTTTGTGGATGATGATTCCCTTAAATAATTACATGAGGGAGGAGTCGCCATAATGATCAGCCAGCAGGCAGTGAAATCACTCATGGAATGGACACCCATCAGCAAGAGAATCATAACAGCACGATTCTATACAAAATACAGGAGAGTGTCGGTGATCCAAGCTTATGCGCCAAATAATGAAAAGGATGAAGAAGAAAAGGACCAATTCTATCAGGAGCTACAAGAGACTTTGGATGGATGCAACAAGAACGACATCATAATTATCATGGGGGATCTCAACGCCAAGGTAGGGAGTGATAACAACGGGTACGAAAGAACTATGGTATCCATGGACTAGGTATACAAAATGAGAATGGAGAAAGACTGTGTAAATTTTGTCAGACCAACAGACTTTTAATCACAGGAACATTGTTCCCCCATAAAGATACTGTATCCACAAAGCAACAAGAGTGTCTAATACTGGAATAGCAAAAAACCTGATTGACCACCTTCTCATTAGTAGGTAGTGGAGATCTTCTGTTCTTGACACCAAAGTCCAGAGGGGCGGGGATGCCAACAGCGACCGCTATCTAGTGAAGACCAGAATCAGGCTACGCCTCAGCACACACAAGAACAAGAAGAAACCAAGACTGGAAGTAGAGCGCCTCAAAAACAAAGAATTGAAAACCAAGTTAAATGACTGCGTCATATTAGAAGAACACAAGGAAGAGAATTAAAGATATCGAGAAAATGTGGGAGCAGCAGAGAATGGCATATGTGAATTCAGCAGAGGAAATACTCGGCTTCAGGAAAGGCAGAAGCAAGCTTTGGATCAGCAAAAACACCTGGAAGGTGATAGACGAAAGAAAAGACATCAAGACAAAGATAGAAAGTGCAAAATCAGAAAGAGTCAAGACTAGACTGAAGGAAACCTACAGGGTGAAAGACAAAGCAGTCAAGAAAAGTGCGAGAGAGGACAAGAGGAGGTGGATGGCAGAGAAAGCTGAGCGAGCACAGAAAGCGGCCGAGAACGGGAGACAGAAGGGACTTTACAGCATCGTAAAGCAGCTGACAAGAAAGCGTAATAGACAAACAGCAGAAGTGAAAAGCAAGGATGGGGAGCTGTTGAAGAATAAAGAAGTGAGGCTTGTCAGATAGAGGGAACACTTTGAGGAAGCGCTTAATAGGGACACTCCAGAGTCACCACCACAAGATGAGCATGGAAAGGGTGAGGAGCTAGACATCTCAGTTGAGCCACCCACTACACAGGAAATAAGGGCTGCACTGAAGACGCTTCGGAATGGGAAGGCCCCTGGAACAGATCAAATAACATCAGAAATGCTAAAGGCAGACCTCGATCAGACCAGTCAGGAACTGAAGCACACCTTTGACAAGATATGGAAGGAGGAGAAGGTGCCCAAAGAATGGACCAAGGGATTGATCTGCAAAATTCTGAAGAAAGGCAAGTTACAGGACTGCAACAACTGGAGGGGGTGGTGACATTGCTGCCCCTAGCCAGCAAAGCACTCAGCAGAATCCTCATCAACAGAATAAAGGCCGGTGTAACGACGAAAAGTGACCCCCGTAGAATATTGACCGGGGGGTAATTTTTCTACGTAGAAATTCGACCCCCTGGTCAATATTCTACGTAGAAAAATGACCCACTTTTTTTTGGAGAAATTATGTCCTGGGGGTCATTTTTCTCTGTGTGGGTTGTAGAAAAATGACCCCGTAGAATAATGAGCCTGTGTCCTTTTTTTAATACAAAAAACTGGTTCTGGTAAGAATATTCTTGTTAGGCAAATACATAGGGGTGCAGCCTAAAAGCTTTAAAGTTTAAATAACAAAAGGTTATACTTTACCTTATGTGTACATCAATAATACAAGATCTTTTATCCCATTAAAGGAAAACAAATAACTAGGCTATTATGATGCTCGATGACTATGAGAGCAAAAATGTTCTTAGATTTGTTTTATCACATTTTATAAAATAAGTTTCCACTATCGTCATTTAAAAAAAACAAGATTTTTTACCTAGCCGGTGTCAGAAAGAGAAACTTATATAAGAATAAAAAATGCCTGGTTACTGTGTATTATTGTAATGATCCTCTTTAAATTTTACTCTGGGTAAATAATGTAAAAAAGAATGAAAATAAAGTCTCAAGTTTTTTTTTCTTCAGAAGTTACAAGGATTAATGTTTTCGAACCCTACCGAAATAAATTTGCGTGAAAAAAGGAAAATTGTTAAGAAAATTAGATCTGATATATATCTTTGATTTTCTAGTATAAAACTTCTCATAAAAATATAAGGAAGATCAAATTTGTGTAAAAATAACAGACAGGACTAAATCAATATTCCTCTTATATTCGATCTCAGGGACACAAAAAATGGTTTGCTCAAAATCTTTACCAATGTCGTTTGCTAGTGTCAACAAAGCCTAAACAAAATGAGGCTTAGTTTCTCTGCCTAATTTACCTATTTTCATCTACATATTCAGTCATTTTTATATTGTGACGTCACAAACGTGGAGCAAACATCCGGGGCCATTAAACTTAGATGAGCTCACTTTTGTCTCAGTCTCACTTTTCTACTATTAATTCCTTCGGTAAAAGTGAGACTGAGATCAAAAGTGAGCTCGTCTAAGTTTTATGGCTACGGAGCCTGCTATTTATATAATAACATGTTTATGACTAAATGTGTGCCAAATTTCATTTTGATCTGAACTGTGGTTTTATAAATAAAGAGATAGTTCACGAACTTTTTAATCACCCCTCGTAGTTCCCTAAAAATATAAAAAAAAAATGTGCACATATAAATTTAAGAACATAAAATAGAACAATCATATCCAAAAATACTTTGATTTACTATAGTAAAAACTTTGATACTGCATTAAACTATAGTTAAGTTTGGTAAACTTTAGGGGTTTTTTTTGTTAGAAACTATTAGTGTTTTTCATATAGCGATCGTGATACAAACAATATACATGTGTATATAGTGTTTCATAGTTAATGTTATTTAGATACATTCGTTTTTTTTTCCCTACGATACAGATAATATTCTACGGACAATAAATGCACTGTAAATACACAAATTACAGGGGAAACAAGAAATCTATGAGCCAGTGCTCTCTAATGATACCCAACCCGCACAGACAGACGGACAAGATTTGTACCAAAATGAATACCACTGTATAGCATGCCGAACCAAAGAGTGTGTTAAAATTTCAAGCATCTGCGATGAGTTGTTGCAGAGAAAACTGCAACGAAAAAAATGTTTCGGACAGACAGACAGACATAAACACTCACCTCCACACACAACAGAGAGATTCGCAGGGTAAAAGGTATATACACCCATTTCCTTCGGGGTTAATCATATTCATGTAATAAATAAGGATAAAAGAACCTAAAAGAGGGAAAAAGATACTTCATGATATTAAAAAGGAAGCACTAATTACAGTTGATGATAGCATACCGACCCTCCCCAACTTCGGATAAATGCATATCACATCTCATTTCTAAAGGTTTAATAATAAAATATAGTGAAAAAGTAGGGGGTCATTTTTCAACGTGTGTAGAATTACCGGCCTGGAAGGGTTTTCTACGGTCGAAAAATGACCCTACTTGCCGTAGAAAATTGACCGGGGGTCATTTTTCTATGGAGAAATTTGACCCCCCGGTCAATATTCTACGGGGGTCACTTTTCGTTGTTACACCGGAGTTGACCACCACCTTAGGAAAGAACAGGCAGGGTTCCAGAGAGGGAGGGGACTATCAATAAGATCTTCATCCTCAGGAACATCCTGGAGCAAGTCAACGAGTGGAATGCTACCCTGTACATCCATTTTGTGGATTTTGAGAAAGCGTTCGATTCGGTGCACAGAGACAGCCTTTTGGGTTATCATGAAGTAATATGGAAAAAACTGATTAAGATGGTCAAAGCCCTGTATGACGATTTTCAGTTTTCTGTAATTGACGACAATGAGACCACAGCCTCTTTCCCTGTGATGATCGGCGTCAAACAAGGATGCTGTATGTTAGGTTTCTTGTTCCTCTTGGTGATAGACTGGGTGATGCTACAGACAGTCAGAGAAGAGAGAACGGGAATTCGATGGGTCTTTAACACTATGCTTGAAGACCTCGACTTTGCGGAGGACATTGCCCTTCTGTCATCAACAATGAACCATCTTCAGTCCAAGACAACAAAACTGGAAGACAACTCAGCAAAAGTTGGGATGGAGCTGAATGCCAAGAAGTGCAAAGTGATGAAGATAAACAGCAGGAGTGAATCCAGCCTGATAGCCGGAAACAGCAAAGCCGAAGAGGTGGACAGCTTCACTTACCTTGGCGTCAATGTCACCAAGGACGTTGGAGGTACTGGTTACATCAGGAAGAGGATAACATTGGCCGGCGCATCCTTCAGAAGGCTAGCCAACATCTGGAAGCCCACAGACATCAGTAGAAAGATCAAAGTCTTCCTCTTTAAGAGCCTGGTCCTCTCCGTATTGTTATATGGATGTGAGACTTGGAAGCTTACCAAGGCAGAGGAAAAGAGGATTGACATCTTTCAGACCAAGTGGCTCAGAAGGATTCTCAAGGCCAGATGGCAGCAGCATATCCCAAAGAAGACAGTTCTAGAGATGGCTGGAGCCATCAGTAGCGATGTGAGAAGGAGGAGATGAACATCGATAAAGTTTAACTTTAATTCTCAAAACATTCAATAAAACAAACTTAGAAAAACTCTTCGAATATAGTTTAAGTCAACGAATATCGTAAATACAAGTAGACTTCAGAAGAATTCGTCCTTGACCATGTTGACATATAACGACAAACGCTCTAAAATGAAAGTAGCATACCGACGACACCCTTGATTTGCTCGGGACAGAATATAGAATGTAGAAATATGAATTTGATGCTAATAAGGCAAGAGTCTGAGGTACGTTTCTCTTTTCTATCACCGACCGAGAACTGAGCTGATTTGCTTAGCATTAGGAACGACGATAATATCCTAAGAGAGATTTTAAATAAAAACTCACACTCGTGATCTGACAGTTACATAGACATAACATCCCCGTCTGTCGATCAGTCCTGTATGTCGTCAGTTTTGTTTTTATTTAATTTAAAATTTCTGTAATCGTTAAGCTAAAACAGACTAGAAGTAACGATTTGTTTCATTTTTTTTTTTACAATAAAAGCTAGGCCAAGAAAGTAGTTCCGGTTGAGAGATGTATCGATGTGTAAACTTTTTCTTGAATTCGTTCTCGTCCAATCAAAACACAGGAAATCAGCAAATAAAATTAAGATTGGAATTATTGTATATTAAATCAGGATCTGTATTATAAATGAAACAATATAAATAGTCCCTTATGTTTATGTGGAAAAAATGAAGATGTTTACCACTTCTTTTTTGCATGCAAAAATTATTCTAATGCAAGAAGTACTCTTTTTAATCGCTTGTTCACTCTTGAGCTGGTTTCTATTATTATGTGTTGATGTTAATTTGCCTTTACAGATAAATAATAGTATTTTTGCTGATGTTCATAAAATTTATTGACGAAACATATAGATTCACTAGTTGATATGTTATTTAATTGCTTTTTCACCTGTTCTAACTGCATTATTTTTCTTTTAATTTGCATGAGATATATTGTAATATATAAGGAGAGGAATTTAGTAAGTTGTTTAGAACTTGTTTCCAATCCTTTTGATGTACTCAATAAAATATGTTCAAAACAATACACCACTTGGAGAATCGCTGAAATAGGAAAACGCAAATTAAAGATCATAGTAGTGTTTTGAAATATTTTTGCTTCTGTGTTACGGAGGAAAAAACGTTACATAAGGTACGTCTTGACGAAGTTGAATTTAAGAAATTTATTTACACCACACATTTATCTAGCTTTTCTTGAAATGAATGAGAAACTCTGATACAAAAGCCAGGAAAAACTCGTCGATTTTAATGATTGTGATCCATTAATCAATTTAGTAATCTGCAGTAGAATTATATGTTGACAAATTAATGATTTTAAAGGTCATTAAAAAAAAATTAAATGTGGTGAACATTATGGCAAAAATGTAAACAACTCGATTGCACATTAAAAAAATATAGATTTCAGGATTTATAATAAATATATTTAATCATATGAATAATATTAACTCTCTAATATTTATAATTAGATAATTACCATTGTAAACATTTATGTTTATCGTTTGAGCATACTGATGTGGAGAAAAAAACAAACACGTAAACCAAACGTAATCACCCCCAACACCCCAAATAACATGGTTTTCATACGATTTGCGCAAATGAAGTCAATCACGTAATTAACAGGCCCGTAGAACGCGGGGGGGGGGGGGGTTGCCCCCTTTTTTTCTGAATGTAGTATTTTGCTGTAGTAAAATTTTCCTTTAGATGCTGGTTGCCCCACCCCCCCCCAAACTTTTTGATGTTGTAAGGTCGAGTACTGGCAAATTCTAGGATTTATTTGTCCAGTAAATTAGCTCCCTTTTTTTGCTTGTCAGATTTTTTTAGGGTGTTCCCCCCCCCCCCCCCACTTTTGAAACCGTTGCTACGGGCCTGATTAATGAAGGTGCGCCATATTCGAATTATGCCGTATTTAAATTCCAGAACTTATTTAAGAAGTGCACCTTATATTCACCTTGTAACAGTTCATACTACGTTAACCATACTACTACTTATAAAAAGGAACCGACCATTTTTAGGTTTAATGTAGAAGTCCTTTAAGCCAAATTATGAAGTTTAAGAGTAATTTTAAAAATTGGTTTCTATGAAATTGTTTATTTCTTACTTTTTATGGTTATAAACTTTTTTTGAGAAGTTTTGTTGTAAGTAACCAAGTTTAACTTTGATTGCAATCGACAGTAGCACGCCTTCTGGTGGAATTGTTTGGAGGCTATAAATGTCAACTCTGACCATGTGTCACCGTTACTCGTTTCCTTTTCTATCAGAAGATCCCCGCAGTACCAGGACCAATAGAGGCGAGGGTTTCCGGCAGAGAACACACGACAACGAAGGATAATTGGCGAGTTTTCCTCCACGTGCACCTGTGTTTTGTTGATAAGTTCAGGGAAGTCTACCGGTGCGTCTTAAAACAACAATAAGCACCAGTATATTGAACCAAATACTGTAGTAGTTACGCAAAATTAGTAATTATATCATCATTTAAGCTTTCGTATTTAAACGTGTAGATGCACATACATTTACTTACAATATACAGTGACATTTTGTGTATTTGATGGTTTATTGTAGTTAAATCTTGTACTTGTAGCCTCACAAAAACAAGATTCTCCGTTTTGCCAAGGCTCAACCGCAAACACGATCTTTGACGAGCACCCATAGTTACTAATCCTTCTTTGGGAGAGCGTTCTCTCTCCACACTTCCAGATCCAGGTTATTGGTGGGTTACCCATAGTGGAAATACGACAAATGAAAGTGAAGTAGCTTCCAACTGCCAATGATGTAAGTGATCCCGGGTTTAGTTTCGGATTGTTAGGTGGCAAATCTAAAAAGTAACTTGATTACACTTTTCTTTTACGCTTTAGATTTTCTTTTTTTCATTTTCGACAAAGATCATTTTTTTCTTGAAAGAGCATAATATATTTACAAAACTTACTAATACGAACATAAAAATAATAAATTATGTTTAGAATTTCCCGACACCGTAGATATATAAATGATATTACATAACAAAATCCATATCATGTACCATTTCAGTTTGATTAGCCCCATACAGATGTATAAGCTTTAGGACCGATTACCCGATGGTTGATACATCACATGATATGGATTTTAGTATGTAGTGTTCTATTTACCATATATTTAAAATATTTTTAAAAAAAATATGAGTCTATCTATATGTTTCAAAGTCATATAAAAATGTTGTTCCCTTCTTTGAAATGCAAAAGAGCAAAATCTGGGTCACTTGAAACTTACTTTGCAAAGAAATTTTAGTAAATGATTTGAATTGCATGACTTATTGTATATTTCAATAAATAAGTTAAATCTTTTAATGTTCCTTTTTGCATACCGGTCTGTTATGTTGTATGGGTATATGTACAGGCCGTTTATAATGGAATCTGTGTATTTTAGTAACTAAGGATATCATAAATACAAGTTAATTTAAAGCATTAAAACTATCCAAACTTTATCATAGTAAAATCTGTAATAACCTACCCATTTAATCCTTTAACTGGCAAGTTTTGAGTATCCTTATTTAATGCCTATGCTCAAAATGGGGGTGCAAAATAAAAATAATAATTGACAACTTCATTTGAATGAAAATTCCTACACTAAACTTACAAGAAAACAGTTTAACACCCCCCCCCCCCCCGGTACTAGGGAACAGTGCAAAAAGGCATTTTAAATTCTTAACTCAAAAATTTCTGTACATATAAAAGTTCTTACAAAAGACAGTAATTGTCAGCCGATCTGATATTTCATCGTATGACACATTTGTTGAATGAGACTGAGCCCTGCAGTAGCAGTTAGTGTTGTCATGTTCAGGATTAACAGTAAATTTCAGAGTAGACGACCGCTTGTTGTTATTTATGTATCTGTTGTTATCAATTGAATTTAACATGGACTTTCCAGCACAATTCCAGGTCCACTTCACAGCAGAAGGCACTGAGAGCGGCACTTTACACATTAAAGATACTTTCCGACCTTTGTACACTTCGACGGGAGTCAATGCCAAAATATCCGGGCTAGGAAGAATGTCCGTCGTCACTAAATAATTAGAAAATTAAACTCATCAAAATGCAACAAAATTGATAACTTTTTTTCCCTAGCTTTTCCATTACTGAGATCAAAAGCGAAGTCTTGGTATACACGAACTTCTAGGATTTTTTTTGTTTGTTTTTGTTTTCAAGGAGGTCTTAAATGAACAGCTATGCCGTAGGTATTTAAAAAATGTTTCAAGTTTTTTGATGCTAGTGTATAGGGTCTGTAAGATTCTCACTGTTTAATTAGACAAGTTCTCGGTAGTTTCTATAGAGTAACACAAACCAAAATCTGATGGATGAAATTGTGTTTGTAAATTACAACTAATAATTATAAATTGGATAATGGGGAGATTAGATTACGCGATACATCACTGAAAAAAAAAAAACAGTAATTTTGTGCAAAACATTATCTTAAAAAATACAATGAAAAAAGTTGCCAAAGGACAAACATGCCACTATTTCGTTAGATCAATTGCAAAATATTTCATGAATTATCACATACCTCTCGACAATAATATAATCAAAAGTACGAAGTCAAATATAAATTCTTGCATTAACATCATGAGAACTGGATTTTCTCTGATGTGTTTAAACTTCAGTTGTGTGTCATTTTACTGTCCTCACTTCAGTTTAAAGTGTATATTTTTCATCAATGCTTCACTTTCATGAAAGTTACACAAAATGAATATATATATTTTCAATTACTGTTAAGCCCATTGGTTTGTTTAAGTTTGCATGATGTAGTCTTTAAAAAAATTTTAATGTTACATTTACAGTGCAACTTTGTAATTGCCAGAAATAAATTTGAATATCTATAAAGTGCATTTTCAATGACCCTTAAAAAAGACATCAACTTAACTGAAGTGAATGACAGGCTTCCAGTGGAGGTTTGTGAAAGTAGACAGGAAAGGAATGCTTCGAATTTTTCATAGAAGTTATTTTATTTTCCATTGATGTACTGTTAATTTGCTTGTTCAAAAGGACAAACTTTTGTTTTTATAAAATTAATGTCTCAGCTTATCAAGATTTGGTAGATTAACAAAATTACCCTCTTTCGTGTGGAAATATATTTATTAAAAACTTGTTTTTAAAGTGCAGGATAGTCAGGTACTTAAGTTTGTAGTGTTAAACATGATTATGTATCCATAGCAGGGGAGGGGCATTTTCTTGCGTTAGTGTAGGGGGAGTGAATGACATTTTGTTGAACTGGCATTGGTATTGATAATGTTGGACGTTAAAAAATTTATCAAATTCTATTTGACTGAAAAAATTTAGAAAAAATTAAAGTGTAATGCTTATAAATGTTAGATGAACTAGACCTTTTATACAGCATTCATCATGTAAAACATTACTGAGTCATTTAAGTAAATGAACTTTGATTAAATTGTTGCTAAGGGAACATGGGAATATAATAGTAATAATGCAATAGTTCAGAAAGATTTTTGATAAGTTATTCTACTAGTGTAATTCAAGGCACATTTATATGCAACATATTGGCCATATAATACGACTTTGTTTGGGGTGAAATAAGAAATTGCTTCTCAAAGATGCATTTTATTTTATTTCATTAAAATAAAGTAAAGCATCTTGTATGTATGTTACTTAATTTTCACTGAATGAGAATCAAACACACAGCCTTACTGTGTTTATGTTCATTTCTATAATTTTCAAAAAATCATTAAAACTTAAAAGATAACAAAGTAATGGGTCATAATAATCACGTAGTCGACAGTCAATCTTTCTTTTTTATGTCGTTTACTTTACTTTATAACTATTGTTAATTGATAATACGTCGTCAATATATCTTATATCTAAATGTTGAGTTGAAGGCCACAGCAAGTTTTTTCTTCTTCTCATGTAGAAGTTTTTGAATAAATTCTCCTTCATATGAATACAAATATTGGTCTGCTAATAAAGGGGCGCAATTGGTACCCATGGGAATTCCAACAGGTTTTGGAAGACTGATCTCCAAAAACTACATACTTGTGTGTACAATCAAAATCATGATGTTTTTTAACAAAACAATTTCGCAAATGAGTTTTTCCAAATTCAATTTATTTTTTGAATAGTCATGTGTTTATGAATAAAATATCGTTTTTGATGTCTACATGAATGGGCGTAATTTTGATGAGAACGGTTCCTAAACAAAATTCAAAACAAGCACGTAGGGGGAAGCCTCACTATTGTTAGTTAGGGGAGAAGAGTTACTATATAGACCCCCCCCCCCCCACCGCCAAAGGAAAACACACTTTATACCATCTTCCGGGGATGGGGTATCACTATGAGGAAAGTCTCACTTTATTTATCGGATATTGTGACGTTACCCGTATCGCACAGTATGGAATCGGTGTATTTAGTAATTACTTATCTAAATAAGTGAGGGAGGGGTGAGGGGGCAACTGGCTTTCAAACGAATTTTCCATACAAAATTTACAGCAAAAAAGGGGAAGGATGGTGCGACAAGCCTATGCAAAAGGGCTTTTAATTCATAATTTGAGAATTATCGTACATATAAAAAGTTTCAAGATTACAAAAGACAATAATTGTCAGCCGATCTAATATCTCATTGTATGAAACATTTGTTGAATCAGACTGAGTCCTGCAGTAGCAGTTAGTGTTGTCATGTTCAGGATTAGCTGCAGAACTGTAGCTCTCTGGTTGAGAAAATTCGGACAGATCTGTCCGAATTTTCTCAACCAGAGAGCTACAGTTCTGCAGCTAGTTCAGGATTAACAGTAAATGTCAGTATAGACGACCGCTTGTTGTTATTTATGTCTCTGATTGAATTTGACATGGACTTTCCAGAATAATTCCAATTCCACTTTACCGCAATTCGAACTGATGGCGGCACTACACACTTTAGAGACATCTTCCGGTGTTCGTACACTTCGACAGGGGACAATGCTAAAATTTCCGAGCGTGGAAGAGTGTCATCATAACTAATAAATAAGAGAACAGATTGCAACAAAAAATAAAACTTGCCTAGCTTTGCAATTATTTGACATCAAAATCTTCTTACATATTTATTGTTTTTAGGAGGCCTTAAGCCTTGGCTAATATTCTTAATTAATAAAAGCTATGATTTAAAGAGACACAGTGAATTGTAATCACTTATTTCCTTACTGATATTTCAATCATTAAACGAGATTCATAAAAATTAGTATAGCAAAGTTTTGACAAACTGCTCAATAAGGCATACAAAGAATGCTATATTTAATCGCCGGAAAACAACGCTTGTATCAACCGCATCAATGTTATCCTGTATGTCATCGTCACGTAAAACTCGTGTAAAACCATGTTATCGGAAGGTGCAAATGTAAAGAATATGCAGGCACGTATCATCGGAGGGGAGGGGGTGGGCTGCCTCCTTTTTTTGAAGCGTAAATATTTACTCTTTTTTTTTTACTACGAAAATGTTCATTGAAGGGAGAGGGGTTAGTCCCCTTTTTTGTAGAGTTTTGAAATCCGGTCATGTTTATGTTAAGAAAAAATTTTCTAGTGAAAAAAATTTGAACACTCCCCCCGCATTAAGATTTTCGACTTTTGGAAAAAAAAATTGTCCTACATTGTATTTCCTTTTTTGTGCTTGTCAAAAATTTTCAGGTAAGTTGTAACCCCCCTCCCCATTTTCAAAAACGATACTACATGTACGTGACTGAATGTGTTTCTGATTACTTTTTCCCCGCATA